AAATGTAAATATTTGGAAACTTAAAGCTAAAATGTGCTACTCTTAAAATGAATTAGTTAAAAATTACTATTTGAAGTCATATGTGACTAATTGTCATAGCGTCTCTAATAATTATAATTATAATTAGTCAAATTCTATGGAATAAAATAGTTAAATTAGTAGATTTAAATTAAAAAAAAAGTTGCTACTGCTACGGTATGAAATCGGGTCTCCCAGTTGTCAAGTGGATGTCTAATCGCTGCGCTACCGACACTTTCATAAATTATAGTAATATATTTGTCTATAATTGTTATTAATATTAAAATTTTTTGTGGTTGCTGTTTTGAGCTAAACTTTTTGCGTATTTATGTTTGTTTTTTTGTGCCATTTAACCATGTAGGCTTTATGGCGTTTTATTCACGGGCTGAAGTTAGCAACAGATTTTTAGTCACGGACTGAAGTTAGTTTTAAGTTAGTTGACAGTTGTCAAATTTTATACAATCGTTAAAATAAATTGCCCTTCTTGTAAAATAATCATGTGAAAATTATTTTATTATCTTAATACAAAAATAAATAGTTATAAATAGTTTCTCACCGGCAATACCTATTTGAAAAGTTTTTATGAAAGTTTGAATTTTAGTAAACTAGATTTAACTGAAAGCTTTAAAAATTTGGAATGGAGACTCCACCGTAAGTTGCTCATAAAAAATTCTCTTCACTTTCACTGTGAAAAACTTCTTCATATCAGATTTAAACGGTTGTCAGTCCATTTTCAAGGGATAAATTTTGATTTACATATACAAATTTCACATTTTGAATGGCTACCGGCGCGTGTACAGTTTCCCAAGTTAAAAATTCTTACCCAAGTTACTCTATTTTTTGTAGATGTTGCTGTGTACAAATATTTAATTTAAATAATTTTTAGATAATAATAAGTATTTGTCGTAGAAAAAGTATAGTAGGTATGCAACTCGTTTATAATCTTTTCTGGACACTCCTTTAATTAAACACTCGCTCGTACCTAATTAGAATTTGTGACTAAAATGGCGTTCATCAAACTCAGCAATGCTTTTACTAATTCAAATAGTGTAATTTTTACTATTAAAAATTTATTGTGTTAAAACTTTAACGTAATCAAATAAAGATTGTCAAAATTGCGGTTAAAAATAGTTACGGTCATTCCGCTCTTGTCGCGTCTTAAAGGAAAATAACAAATACAATTATTAAAAATTTCATAATAAACGATATTTTATCTATACAGGAAAAAACTAAAGGCGACAATTATATCTGTATAAACAAACGCCAGTCTGCATTTTCTCGGAAGATATTTTTGAAACAATACAGTATATTGTTGTATTTTACTACTAGAATATGAAAAAAACCGATAATTATAATTACTTAGTACAAACAACTAAAAATAGGCAAAGAAGTTATTATCTTCTCGACTGCAAATAGCATATTATTTAAAAATAATTACATTATAATAGATTCTGGGACGTATACAGTTTTATAACAGTAAAACAATTTTTCAATAAAAAAAATTCTCCGAGTTACGAAATATTTCCCATACGCAATCAATGGATTCGTATAAAATGAATCATCCAATTGAACAAAGTAAACAGTTTACAGTTGTAAATTTTATTGGCCAATAAAGTGATCTGTTGCACTTAAATTTTATAGATTAGTTAACAAACCATCGATTTCGAGAAACTATTAGACAACTAACTGAAAATTAAAAGGAATCCTGTGAATGAGTCTGTTGACTAAGTTTAGAGCATAGTGAAACAATGTTTGTGGGAAATATTTGTTTCTGAAAATTCTGTTTCCGGGTGAACAAGATCAAAGAAAGTCCATCTTTCATCTGAGATCTATCAAATAAAAGAAACATGTGTGTACTTTTAGTTTTTTATAAATACATCACTTTGGCAAACTCTGACATACACAGTTAAAAATTTATAAAATTTGTGTTAAAAATAATGCGTGTTAAATAAAAAATGTAAAAATTTACATAAACTTCCTAGTGTTTATAACATAAATGATATAATATATATACATATTATGTTACTTGATACAAAAATTATAATAATTATTTAAATCTTAAAATTTCAAAAGATTTAACAAACATTAAAAGTTAAGCAGTTTTTGAGATATAGTCAATTCCATATTGTATGTAAAATTTCAAAAAATGTTCTACTTTTATAACTTTTGACAACATTTTCCTGGATACAAATGGCTGTTGACGAGAATTGTTAGTGGCTGCTTTTTCGCTATGACATTTTTGACTAATTAATTTTTAGAAAGTAAGTTATATAGTGATTTCTTCGTCACAGGACATCTTGCAGAAAAACAGTGATTTAAATACAGTGCATGATAGAGAACATAAAAACTAAAGGCAACAAACTTAATAAGTTCGGAAAATACTTTTAACATACCACCCGAAAAAATATTAGATATATATAAATCATCCTGTTCCGGCCTAAACATTATAAATGCTTCTCAAACTAGAGATATTTGCAACAAACTATTTTAGAAGTCAGACCAAGGAATTAGTAGTTACCCTCAGAATCCAGAAAAGGGATGAGGAATTCGAAAAAGAAATATATGCATTATATGATTTTTACAAAAACGAATTAAGAAAAATACCTAAAACAGCAATTTATCTTTAAAAAGTATTTAACAATTTATGTCATTTTATTAAAGTTGTTGTGTTTATATAAAAATTGTATGTCCAAAAACAATTACCACTATACTTTTTTGCATGTTTTTTATAAAACTATTATTAAAAATTCAAATATTCTTATTTTTAAGTGAACGTAAATAAAGTTTAAACAAACAAATTATCCTTTTTATATATTTATAAGAAAAAAACTAAAATCTTTAAAACAACGGCATATATAAATTTTAAACAAATAATATTCCTTAAGTGTCCAATAACTATGTGGTTTACCCTATCTTTTACTTTTCAATATTCCTTTATACGTAGCCAATATTATTTATTTTTGCAATCCTCCTGGCACAAAAAAACTCATTTCCGCAATACATTTTTTTCAAACTTTCGGAAAGTTTCGGGAATTTTCGAAGGAAAGTTTCTGGAAATTTTCCCATCTCTAAATATTATGTATGAAGCGTGAGTAATCAAGGATGTGCCTTTTCTCTTATTTTACTAATTATTAATATTCAGTGGTCAATTAGCTAATTGCCCGTTGTAAATTACACACACGGCAAGTTGACAAAGAAGGAGTTATAGTTTCCAAGACACAAGTCGCCTGTTTGAAGCGAGTCAGCTCCCCACTGAGTACACAAAGAAGATCCTGTTTGCGTCGAGCAAATAAGGAAGTGAGCAGTAGGTAACAGTTTCCTCTAGAACTTGGGTGTATTCGTCTGGAATACTAACAAGTAATGCACTAATGGCCTAGCCATAATGAATTCGTGTTTTAGTAAAGTTAGGTACAGTCCCACCAAACCACTGTGGAGAAGGCCGTGCTTTGATTGGTTTATTGCTTTCTATAAAGATCATCTTCTATAGAAATTAAAGTCGCACACTTCAACCTAAACAGTAAAAAATTAGTATATTTAACATATTTCTTGTGTCCCAGAAAGTCCACTCAAATTTTTTAGTTTTTTTTATTTTTATGACTTATGTTAATTTTTAACATAACAGAATGTGTAATTTTTATATATATATGTTATAACTGCAAAGTTAATTTAACAATTCGTGTTGTGTTAATTTTATTTTTTTAATGGTTATTTTAACCTAAACTAATAATTAATATGATTTAAAATCTCTATAACTTTAACAGAATTAAATATGTTAAATTTATTTATATTTTATTTATTTTACACAAAAAAGTGTTACTTTAACAAATAACTTTCTATTGATTTTACACAAATAGTATGTCTTCATTTAATTATTTTAATTTGTTATTTTAACAAAATTGTTTAATTAATATTTACATTATTAATTGGTTATTTTTATTTATTTTAATAAAATATTTATATTAATATAAGAATATTGGGTTTTGGGCATAAAATAAAACATGTAAGTAGGTATGTAATAATAATGATTTACTATACAAATAATAATAATAAATAATAATTGTTTTATATAGTTATTGGACATACAATTTTTTTATAAACACAACAACTTTACATAAAATAACATAAATTGTTAAATACTTTTTAAAGATAAATTGCTGTTTTAGGTATTTTTTTTATTTCGTTTTTGTAAATATCATATAATGCATATATTTCTTTCTCGGATTCCTCATCCCTTTTCTGGATTCTGAAGGTAACTACTAATTCCTTGGTCTGACTTCTGAAATAGTTTGTTGCAAATATCATTAAGTTTGGTATCTCCAGTTTAAGAAGCATTTATAATGTTTAGGCCGGAACAGGATGATTTATATATATCTTATATTTTTTCGGGTGGTATGTTAAAAGTATTTTCCGAATTTATTAAGTTTGTTGCTTTTAGTTTTTTTATGTTCTCTATCATGCACTGTATTTAAATCACTGTTTTTCTGCGACGAAGAAATCACTATATAACTTACTTTCTAAAAATGAATTAGGCAAAAATGTCAAAGCGAAAAAGCAGCCACTAACAATTCTCGTCAACAGCCATTTGTATCCAGGAAAATGTCGTCAAAAGTTATAAAAGTGGAACAGTTTTTGAAATTTTACATATAATATGGAATTGACTATATCTCAAAAACTGCTTAACTTTTATAGTTTTTGACGGTCTTTTCGGGTTCAGGGGACAATTTTACATAAGGTAAATGGTAAATGTCCGGGAAACAAATAGAGTATGATATTTTTTTAAATTAACACAAATAACTTCTTAAAACAATTGACATTTACATAAAAAAACAAGTTTTTAAGAAACTTTCCTTAAAATTGAAACTTTCCGATTCCCATCTCTAATAATTATTATAATATTCACCAACTGGTCAACATGTTTCGTTGATTTTATCAAACGGTTAATTTTTTTTGTAAATGTACCTATCAACTTATTATTGTTTCAGGGATACATGGAACCATGGAAAATAGACACTGAATGCCCATTGCAGCCCCATCTACAAGATCTCTTTAGCAACATAGTGGAGATACATGAATTTAACAGGTAAACATTTTTTATAATTATCCTCCTCGTCAAACAGGATTATAACCACAATTTGCATTTCGATAAAGAAAACTCGTTCCATAAAATAAATTTGCTTACAGAAAATTACTAAAGGAGCTCCGCCTGGCGGACTGCAACCCAACTGAAATAGCTAAAGTATTTCTTCAAAACCACTCCGGCTTCTCGGTGTACAATGAATACTGCACAAACTACCCCAAAACAATGGACATCCTCGGAAAACTACTGCGGGACGAAAAAATGGTGCCCCTGTTCAGAGAGAGGCAAACAGACTTGAGGCACGCCCTGCCGCTAGGCTCGTATCTCCTAAAACCGGTCCAAAGGATCCTGAAGTACCATCTCCTGCTGCAACGTCTCTCGAAACAGTGCGAACGCAGCCACACCTCCACGGTGGACCTCGCTCTGACGACGATGACAAGCATTGCCGCCAACATAAACAACATGAAGAGGAAGCACGAGAACGCGGTGAGGGTAGTGACGTAAAAAAACGTTTTTTTTCAAATTTGAAAAAAAACGTTTAAGAAAACATGTTTCTCTACGACTACATAAGAATAGTAACATTCTAAAGTAATTTTTGATCATAGAAAGGATGTTTTTCTGCAATACTGTGCGAGAATATTCCTACTCTTGTTTAAGAATGGTCACAAGTAACGACATCTCCTGGTTATTTACTAAACGTAAAAAAATTAAAAATATTTAAATATTACTGTATTATTTATTTATTAAAAAATAATTGCAGTTGTTTAATTAAGGTTTAGGCACAAAAAATTAGTTATATTTATTCTTTTTCAAATATACAAATCAAAATTATAATAAATTTGATATTAAAATGATAAACCAGTTACCTACTATACCGGCTTTGAAGTTTTGACAGATTCAAAAAGTTAAAAAAAGACCTTTAAAATGTATAAAAAGAATAGATGTTGACATAGATTACTTGTAAAATTAGTTTTGTATTTGTTACAATGTTATTTTTTTTATTAGTTAGTGTAAATAACTATTTTAAATTATAATAACGATTTAGGCATACCATTTGTTTAAATTTATTATAATTTACATTATAAAATTGTGACGGCACAAAATGGTTTGACAATACAAAAAACTTAAATGTCAAAACCTGCTTGGTTTCTTTTCTCTGTTTAAAATTATATAAGCGTTACTATTCTTACGTAGTCGTAGAGAAAATAATGCCTGAAACACGTTTGGAATAGCATATTCCACTCTCGTAAAACCGTCACACTCGCCTTCGGCTCGTGTGTCAAATTTTTCCTCGAGCGGATTATGCTGTATTCCAAACTTGTTACAGAATGTACTATTTTTTTTTCAGAAAAAAAACAAAACATTGTTTTTTTTCAAATTATAAAAAAAACTTGCACACCGTTTTTTTTTGTTTTTTCAAATTATAAAAAACAGTTTTATAATAATTAAAAAAGTGTTCGTTTTTTTTGTTTTATAAAAAATTTACAAAACAATGTATGACAAGTGTCGCCATTTGTTATTAACAGATCGCTTTAATCACAGAAATGATTATCTTCAATATCGATGCGCTAAAAATTAAACTGAAAACTTTTCTGTACACGATACTGACACGTCGGAGGGGCCAGAAGAATTTGACGTTGATTCTGATTATAGAGATTTTTAATTTTAAATATTCATTGACATGTAAGATTTAAATTCTGCCTATTTTTTTTTATAGATAAAAACTATTTCAGTTAAGTTTTTGTTTTAATTTTCATAGACACTCATGTATGTTTATTTTAGAAGCAAGTTTTTATTTGGTGTTTTTATTTAAAACCCTCTATTATAAATAACGATTACCCATTTTAAAGTTTCGAAAATTTTCTGCTTTAAGCTTACTCTTTTCCCTTATAATCTCTATTAAGGAAAAAATAATGTTTCTGAAAAAATAACATTTTTGAAAAAAAAAACAAACCCCTTTGTTTTTTTTCTAAAAAAACATGTTTTTTTTCTAAAAAACATGTTTTTTTTTTTAAAAACAAAACGTTTTGTTTCTGCTTACATCATTAGTAGTTATGTAAAAAAACGTTTTTTTTTCAAATTTGAAAAAAAAAAACGTTTAAAAAAACATGTTTTTTTTTAGAAAAAAAACAAAACATTGTTTTTTTTCAAATTATAAAAAAAAACTTGCACACCGTTTTTTTTTTGTTTTTTCAAATTATAAAAAACAGTTTTATAATAATTAAAAAAGCGTTCGTTTTTTTTGTTTTATAAAAAATTTACAAAACAATGTATGACAAGTGTCGCCATTTGTTATTAACAGATCGCTTTAATCACAGAAATGATTATCTTCAATATCGATGCGCTAAAAATTAAACTGAAAACTTTTCTGTACACGATACTGACACGTCGGAGGGGCCAGAAGAATTTGACGTTGATTCTGATTATAGAGATTTTTAATTTTAAATATTCATTGACATGTAAGATTTAAATTCTGCCTATTTTTTTTTATAGATAAAAACTATTTCAGTTAAGTTTTTGTTTTAATTTTCATAGACACTCATGTATGTTTATTTTAGAAGCAAGTTTTTATTTGGTGTTTTTATTTAAAACCCTCTATTATAAATAACGATTACCCATTTTAAAGTTTCGAAAATTTTCTGCTTTAAGCTTACTCTTTTCCCTTATAATCTCTATTAAGGAAAAAATAATGTTTCTGAAAAAATAACATTTTTGAAAAAAAAAACAAACCCCTTTGTTTTTTTTCTAAAAAAACATGTTTTTTTTCTAAAAAACATGTTTTTTTTTTTAAAAACAAAACGTTTTGTTTCTGCTTACATCATTAGTAGTTATGTAAAAAAACGTTTTTTTTTCAAATTTGAAAAAAAAAAACGTTTAAAAAAACATGTTTTTTTTTAGAAAAAAAACAAAACATTGTTTTTTTTCAAATTATAAAAAAAAACTTGCACACCGTTTTTTTTTTGTTTTTTCAAATTATAAAAAACAGTTTTATAATAATTAAAAAAGCGTTCGTTTTTTTTGTTTTATAAAAAATTTACAAAACAATGTATGACAAGTGTCGCCATTTGTTATTAACAGATCGCTTTAATCACAGAAATGATTATCTTCAATATCGGTGCGCTAAAAATTAAACTGAAAACTTTTCTGTACACGATACTGACACGTCGGAGGGGCCAGAAGAATTTGACGTTGATTCTGATTATAGAGATTTTTAATTTTAAATATTCATTGACATGTAAGATTTAAATTCTGCCTATTTTTTTTATAGATAAAAACTATTTCAGTTAAGTTTTTGTTTTAATTTTCATAGACACTCATGTATGTTTATTTTAGAAGCAAGTTTTTATTTGGTGTTTTTATTTAAACCCTCTATTATAAATAACGATTACCCATTTTAAAGTTTTAAAAATTTTCTGCTTTAAGCTTACTCTTTTCCCTTATAATCTCTATTAAGGAAAAAACAATGTTTCTGAAATAAAACAACATTTTTGAAAAAAAACAAACCCCTTTGTTTTTTTTTCTAAAAAAAACATGTTTTTTTTTTTAAAACAAAACGTTTTTTTTCTGCTTACATCACTAGGTGAGGGTGCAGGAGATTTTGGCGCAACTATACGGCTGGACAGGGCCGGACTTGACCGCTTTGGGGGAGCTGATAGCCGAGGGCACGTTCAAATTGATCGGGGCCCGCGCCAAACGCCACGTTTTTTTGTTCGAAAAAGTATTATTGATGGCCAAAAGGAAGGAGAACGGGGTTTTGGTCTACAAAAGCCATATTATGGTAAAATTAGTTTCATATAATTTGGAAAAACTTCTTCTAATAATCATTTATTTTAGTGTTCAAACTTGATGCTCATAGAACAAGTCCGTGGGGAACCCCTTTGCTTCCACGTCATTCCCTTTGATAATCCGAAAATGCAGTCGACTCTAAGGGCAAGATCCACGCTAACAAAAAGGGAATGGACTTTGCAAATAAAAAGGGTCATTATCGAAAATTTTGGTGCCAAAATACCGAGTCATGCTAGAGAATTAGTGATGGAGTTGGGACAAGACTTAAATGAAAATGGTAAGTTGAATTGCTATTCTTAACATGTCTATTTTTAAAAAGGGGACAAATATATTTTGGAGAAATATTCAAACTAAAACACAATGTTAAAAATACAATTAAAAATGTGAAAAACACATTTTAAAACGCAAGAAGGTTGCAATTGCATTTTAAAATGTTAAAAACAACTTAAAAAAAAATTAATATCAAAACAAATGTCAAAAATACTTTTTAAGACTTATTTAAAAATGTTTTAGAAGGTTTACAAATGCAATTAAGAATGGTAAAATTAAATTTAGAAAAATATATTTAATGTCAATACTTATCTAAAAAGATCAAAAACACAGTTTAGAATGTTAAAAATATTTTTTTATGTCAAAAATAAACCAAATAAGTAAGAAATGTAAAAAATACAATTAAAAATGCTTTATGCATGTTAAAAACATTTTAAAACCTTAAAGGTTAAAATTGATTTTTTAAATGTTAAAAACAAATTTAAGAAAAAAATTGAATGTCAAGACTTGCAAATGTTAAAAATACTTTTTAAGACCTATATAAGAATGTTAAAAACACAATCTAGAATGTCAAAAATACAATTAAGAATGTTAAAAACATTCTAAAACATTAAATCTTATTATAGGTTACAATTGCACTCTAGAATGTTAAAAACAAATTAATAAAAAAATAGAATATCAAGACTTACTTAATGTCAAAAATAAATTTAAAGGCTTATTTAAAAATGTTAAAAACAAATGTTAGAAACAAATGTTAAAAACACTACACATTGACAAGTTGGGGCCTAATGGCGTTTTAGTCACGGGCTAAAGTTGGCAACAAGTTTTTAGGTACAGGCTGAAGTTAGTTTTAAGTTAGTTGACAGTTGTCAAACGTCATACAATCGTTAAAATAAAGTGCATTCTGGTGAAATAATAATGTGGAAATTATTCTTTATAATAATACAAAAATAAAAAGTATTAAATAGTTTTCCAACGCCAATACCTATTTAAAAAGTTTATATGCAGGTTTGTACTGACCTTTTGATTTTGCCGGCAGTAAACTAGATTTAATTAAAAGCATTAAAAATTTCGGGTGAAGTGCCCATAAAACATTCTATTCACTTTCACTGTAAAATACTGTTTCTATATCATTATTTAAACGGTTGTTAGTCCATTTTCAAGGGATTAATTTCGATTTACACATGCAAATTTGATATTTTGACTGGCGCGCCGGTAATACAGATTTCCAAGTTAGAAATTGTTAAGGGAGTTAGTCTATTGTTTTATAGATGTCGCTCAAAACAACTATTTAATTTAATCATTTTTAGATAATAATAAGTATTTTTCGTAGAAAAAGTATAACATGCAACTCGTTTATAAACTTTTCTAGACACTCATTTAATTAAACACTCGCTCGCAAGCTTGCTCGTGCCTAATTAAAATTCATGACTAAAATGGCGTTTATCAAACCTGATTCATAATATACTATTTAAGACTAGCTAGTCTTAAAAAGTATTTTTGACATTTGTTAGACTAGTCTACTTAAATAAGCTTATTTAAAAATGTTGAAATGTTACATATGCCTATTTAAGAATGTTAAAAACACAATAACTCTTTTTAGAAGGTTTAAAAATGCGTTTAAGAGTGGTAAAACTAAATTTAGAAAAACACATACTTATCTTTACAAATTTAGAATGTCAAGATTTTTTTTTAATGTTAAAAATACAGTTGAGAATGTTAAAAACATTTAAAATGTTAAAAACAAGTTTAGAAAAAAATAGAGTATCAATTGAAATTCTATTGTTTCCTAAATTTGTTTTAACATATAAAAATTCAGTCTTAAGACTTACTTGAAAATATGTCAATACATTTTAAGAATGTTTAAAACCCAATTAAGAATGTCTAAAATACATTTGAGAGTGTTAAAAACAAATTTATGAAAAAATAGAATAATAAAACTTAATTGAGAATTGCAAAATATAGTTTAAGACTTATTTAAGAATGTTAAAACAAAACACCTTACTTTAGAAGGTTTTAGAATGTTATAATTAAATTTAGAAAAAACATAAAGTATATTATGTTAACTTTTTTAAGAAGTTTAAAATCACAATTTAGAATGTAAAAAAACAATTGAGAATGTTAAAAACATTCTAAAACTGTTGAGTGAAGAGTACTTCTCAATCAACAGTTTCAAATTTTGAAGAAGAAAAATGTTGCATCTTGTTTAAGAAGGTAAAAACACATTTTAGAATGTGAAAAATCTTATTTTATTATGTCAAAATGTTAAAAACACTTTACCTTAGAAGGTTACAAATGTGTTTTAGAATGTTATAAATAAATTTAGAAAAAAAGCATACAAAAACATACAAAATACAATTTAGAATGTTAAAATCAAATTAAGAAGAAACATATAATGCCACTTTTTATTTAAGAAGCTCAAAAACATATTTAAGAATGTTAAAATTCGTATTTTGTAATGTCAAAATGTTAAAAACACCTTACTTTAAAAGGTTACCACGGTGCTCGGGAAGCAGCTTTAAATGAAAAGATAAGTTTCATGTTTTTTTTTTGTTTTTATGTATTTATTGCAACAATAGAAGTAATTTTTTGGTATTTTTAGGATCGCTTAACATGGCCGTTTTTAAGAAAATATTGAATTTATAAAAAAAAATTGGATTTTTCGAAACATCAATTTATATTGTAATAAACTATCGTAAAAGCAATATTAAAGTGTATACGTACGTTTTTTAACAACTAAAGTATCAAGCAGATTTTAAACTTACATACATATATACAGTGTGGCCCACTTAAGATGGAAACACCCCCGTAACTTTTTTATTTGTAACCCGATTTTATTGAACAAAGGCTCAAAAGATAGAGAATAAAAAACTCTATTAGAGCTGTTAAAGTTGTTTTCAAAGTCACCCGACACATGCCTACTATAATTTTTTTTTCTGTGTCAAAATAAATAAACCGTTGTAAAATAATTATCAATCGATTGTTTTTAATGAAATTTGGTATTTACCCATTTTTAAGCATGCCAAATTCAGTGGCGTACTTATTTTTTTCGTAAAAATTACCCTAAATGTTTTTTTTTAATTTTGACACAGAAAAAAAATTATAGTAGGCATGTGTCGGGTGACTTTGAAAACAACTTTAACAGCTCTAATAGAGTTTCTTATTCTCTATCTTTTGAGCCTTTGTTCAATAAAATCGGGTTACAAATAAAAAAGTTACGGGGGTGTTTCCATCTTAAGTGGGCCACACTGTATATATGTATGTAAGTTTAAAATCTGCTTGATACTTTAGTTGTTAAAAAACGTACGTATACACTTTCATATTGCTTTTACGATAGTTTATTACAATATAAATTGATGTTTCGAAAAATCCAATTTTTTTTTATAAATTCAATATTTTCTTAAAAACGGCCATGTTAAGCGATCCTAAAAATACCAAAAAATTACTTCTATTGTTGCAATAAATACATAAAAACAAAAAAAAAACATGAAACTTATCTTTTCATTTAAAGCTGCTTCCCGAGCACCGTGTTACAAATGCGTTTTAGAATGTTATAGGTAATTAAATTAAAAAAAGTACTATGTCTAACTTTTTTAGTTTAGTTTAAAATCACAATTTAGGAAGTAAAAAATACAATAATTGTATTATTAAGAATGTAAAATACATTCTAAAACTGTTGAGTGAAGAGTACTTTTCAATCAACGCATTTAGAATGTTAAAAACAAATTAAAAATAAACATATAATGTCACTACTTATTTAAGAAGGTCAAAAAACATTTTAGATTGTCAAAAATTGTATTTCATAATGTCAAAATGTTAAAAATACCTTACTTTAGAAGGTTACAAATGCGTTTTAGAGTGTTATAATTAAATTTAGAAAAAAACAAAATACCAGTCTTACTTTTTTAAGGAGTTTAAAATCACAATTTAGAATGTAAAATACATTCTAAAACTGTTGAGTGAAGAGTACTTCTCAATCAACGCATTTTAGAATGTTAAAAACAAATTAAAAAAAAAACATGATATCACTATTTATTTAAAAAGGTCAAAAACACAATTTAAAATGTCAAAAACTTGAATGTTATTTAAAAATATTAAATCTTATTGTAGAAAGTTACTATTGAATTTTAGAATTTTAAAAACAAATTTAGGAAAAGATTATTTTATTACGATATCTATTTTACAGAAACTGATACGGTAAACGAAAAGTGGTCCACAAAACCCTACTCAACCCCGGACTACTTGGAGCGCCGGTCTAGAGTGCGCAAATCCGGCTATCTGACCAATCGCAGGGCCTCGTCCCAAGACCGTTCGTTCGCGTCGCTGAGCAACTGGCGCCGGAAGTCGGAGCCCGACATGATCCCGCAGTACACCACCAAAACCATGCCGAAAAGAATAACGCAGTTGAAGAAGGTCAAGGCAGGAAACGCGACCTTTTACACTGACCTGAGCGATTCCGAGAATGGGGACAATGCGAACGAGAGTTTGGAGAGCTTGCCGAGAAACTTGACCGAGAGTTCCATGGATGTTTTTGCTGAAAAAGTAAGAAACATTCAATATTATTATTAGCATACCCTAGTAGCATAACTGATTAAATAACTAAATATAAGTAAAATAACGTTTTTTTAAACTTGTTTTTTAACTAATTAGTTGTATTCAAGTAGGGATCTACCGATACCGATATTTATATCGGCCTATCGGTTATATCCGCCTCATTTGCCGATTATCGGTATCGGCCGATACATTTTTTTAAATGAAAAAAAAATATATAAACTGCGCACCACTCAATGTGTCGCGACCAAAAAGTTCGTCCTTTTTCAAAACGGCATAACTTTTTTGTTTCTTGAACGATTTTATTTTGGTCTGTAATGTCTGCTAACCCCATCCTCTGGCAATTCATGATAAAGATATTAAGCCCACGGTTCTTCAAGTAAATTTCCTACAGGGTGATATGTTAAACGGTGAAAAATTTCAATAACTTCATCCAAGCCCCGTTTGAAAAAAGAAATATTTTTTCTCGTTTTTACTTTGAAATAATGAAGAATTATGTCTTACCTTGAAATGGTTTTCAAATTTTTCGAATTGGAATCTTAGCAACGAAAATCTAATTTTTTTTTACAAAAGAGTACATTTAAGGCTTTTTGGTAGGCAATACACTCAGTCTTTTTAAGAACAAGAAAATAAGATGGTATAAGATTGTTCCTTGAATAATTCTGAACAAGCGACAAGCAACAAACTTCCATTATTTTCAAAGGGGCCTAAGTAAAGACCACTTTTTCAAAATGACATTTTGGTAAAAATTTGCGAAATCTAAACCTGAACCGATATTTACGTTCGTGACATGTTTTCTTTATAATTTTGACCTCCTGATTGTGATTCAGTTGTCAAATTTAAGTTTCAGATAAAACCAAAACCACCAAGAATCAAAATTCGAAAACAATTTCCGGCTGTTAAATGTCTTAATAAAATCCGAAAAAAAATCGTCGTTGCTAAGATTCCAATTCGAAAAACGTTAAAAACATTTCAAGGTAACACATAATACTTCATTATTTCAAAATAAAAACGAGAAAAAAATTATTTTTTTACAAACGGGGCTTGGATGAATTTATTGAAATATTTCACCGTTTAACATATCACTCTGTAGGAAATTTATTTGACGAACCGTGAGCTTCATATCTATAGCATGAACTGCCAGAGGATGAGGCTAGCAGACATTACAGACCAAAATAAAATCGCTTAAGAAACAAAATAGTTACCTATGTAGTTTTAAAAAAGAACGAACTTTTTGGTCGCGACACATTGAGTGGTGCGCAGTTTATATAAAAAAATACACTTGCATCGAAAATACATCTTTATCGGCAATTAATTGTAGGGGGGTCGTCCATATAATACGTCAGCACGTTTTTCCCGTTTTGAACCCCCTCCCCCTTATCATCAATCGTCATCATACATAAGTTAAAAACTATAAAAAAATTCTTTAAAATCTTGATTTTTTGGGTAGGCCGATTATCGGTATCGGCTAAAATTTCTATATCGGTCGATACCTATATTCAACCATTAACATTTTTTTAAGGTTTCTATGAACTAAAAAATAACCCTTTAAATTTACCAACCGGTTTCTATAACCCTAAGGTAAATTCAAAGGTTATTTTAAAATTAAACTAATGAAAGAAACCTATTGTTAATATTACTAAATATTACTAGGTAAAAATTTGGTTTTAAAGTCAAGTTAAACTCTTGAAATAACCTAAATGTACCTATAGATAAATTAAGGTTATTTTAAGAGTTTGAATTGACTATATATAAATAAACCATGTATTTAACTAGTTAGTAATATTACTTATACGTTAAAAAGTAAGTTATAAATATTATTGATAAATTAAGGTTATTTTAAGAGTTTGAATTGACTATATATAAATAAACCATGTATTTAACTAGTTAGTAATATTACTTATACGTTAAAAAGTAAGTTATTTTAAAAGTAACATCTTCTAATTTTAACCTTTGAAAATGGTTAAGACTAGTTATTTTTTAGACATATTTTGGTTTACTTTAACTTTTGATATAACTTTTTGGTAAATTAACTACAGCTTTGGTTAATTTGTATATATTTTTTAACCAACAAGTTATATTTTACAAAATATATTTAAGATTGATGGTAAATTAACGTTAATTAATAAACTGGTTAAAAAAGTGATGGGTTTGCAGTTTTTATTGTTACCTGCATACAAAAATTAGTCTCAAAACAGCTTTATATATAAACCTATAGGTTGGAAATGACATTAATTTTAATAATTTGATTTATTTCAAAAATAAGGTAATTTAAACAAACCAATATTAATACATCATATTATTTTATGTTTCAAAGTATTTTAAATCAATTTCAAACGAAATAAAGAAAAAAATAGGCAAACAAAAATATTTTTTTTTATATTTATTTACTTTATTTCTTATTTTTTTACAAGCGCATTTAAAATATGGAAGTATTATTTACTAAGTAGTGCTTTATCAGAAAAAACATGTCTCATTGTTTTTTCCCTTAGAACTTTCTCTCTTTAAGATATTAATTAATATATGTATTTATAAATATTATATATATTTATATATATTATAAACAAATATATTTATTTAAAATTTCCGGAAAAATTGAGCCGGAAAATTTGGGAAGTTTTCAAATATATTTTTTTAAATTTTATTCAAAGGACAATACGAAAAAATGCAAAAGTTACTTTTTCTGAAATAAATCAAATGTTTACGGCTAATAACCTTATAATGGTGAATTTCCGATGCTGATGATAATCATATTATGATTATAATAATTATAGAAATATTCTACCAGTTGGTAAAAAATATATATTCGGTGCTGTATTAACATAACTTTTATTTGAAACTTCGATTTATAAAATAATAAAATTATAATTTTGTTATTTAAACTCATTCATTATTTTGTGGTTGGATATTTTTAATGGGCCTATTTTTGGAAAAAGGACCCAACCGACAGTATATTTAACGTTTACATTTATTTTCCAAAATATAATTCATTTTTTCCCAAAAAAGACAATTTTTCCAAGGCCTGGAAAAAAAACGGAAAAACAGTTTTTTCTCCATATTTTTCGGATTTTTTCCGACACTTTAAAACCCTAATATGTAAATATATATTATATGAGTATTAATATTCAGGAGCGACTTTTGGTTCAAGGATCCGTAAGTCTATAGATATACATAACCATATTGGGTAAATAATAATTATAGAGTTATAATAAACTTAAACCTGTTAGTTATAGTTTAAGTTGACTTAATTAAGAGTTAAAAAGTATTTAAAATAGGGTAAAATAAACCAAAAACCACCAAATTATTTTTAACCAAAAGGTACATTAATCAAGAAGTTAAATTTAACTAACATAACAATTTACTATAATTAAATTCCCCACTTATTACAAAATAACGTTAATTTATTCAGTTGTGCTTAAAATTAAGAACCAATTTTCAAGATTATAAATAGCTTTTCTTCGAAAAATAAATATGTCACCACAACTTTTTCCCTCGAGGTCTCCAAATGTCAAGACATACTTATGAATGTCATATTGCAGAATGTAAAACTACAGTTAAAGCAAACCCTATCTTTCAGGCTGACGAGCCGGACAGCCCGCAGGCGGAGCAGCGCTCGAACCTGGAAAAGATCGTCTCGGAACTGCTGCAATCCAGCAGGCCGGAATTCAGCAAACTGCTCACGTCCAATCAGCCGTCGTTCGCGAACCGACAGCGTCGCACGCTGCCGATCGATCCGGCGACCGCGACGTGGTACGAGGTCAGGACGAAGAACCCGACCAAGGCCGACTCGCTGCCGAGGTCGTTCCAGCTGAACGACGGGATCGAGGACGAGACGAACGAGGACGGGAACGTCGAGTGCAAGAACGAGAGGCTGATCGACACGTCGTTGAAAGAGAATCCCGACGATTGCGAAGAAGAGCAACAAGAAAAGTAAGTTTTTCTTGAACAGTACTAACATCACGTCACCCACTCACTTACAACGCCCTCTATCTCTCAGAATCCCAAACACACTTATCATTGACATGTCAAAAGTAGAAAAGAATGTTAAAACAAATTTAGTCAAAATATAAGATATGGAAACTTATTAAGCTAAGAACTTAAAAATTTTACATTGAAAAATATTCATTTGGAAAGTTGCAATTGCATTTTAGAGACTTTTTAAGATTAAGATTATTTTTTCTAAATTTTGGAAAAATTAATCTTTTGTTATAAACTAAAAAAAAACAAATAACAAAAACCCAAATGAAAAATGTTTATTTGAAAAAAGTGTTTCTTGATGAGATCTACAATCTTTATTACATTATCCATTTTGAGTAGGATTCTGGTTTTGATTCAATAATTTTTCCCTTTTTCCAATTTTTTAATTGTCCAAAACCAAACCGTTAAATCTCTAGTCAATTAGAGATGCGACTTGAAAAAAAACGGTCCGTTTTTTTTGTTTTTTTTTTCAGGTTTTTTTTCATTGTTTTTTTTCAAATGGTTTTTTTTCACATTTTAGGTTTTTTTTTCATTTGCCTAATTTTTTATGTTTCCATGCATGGACTAAAATTAGCCACTAAATGACTATTATTAAATGTAAATACAGTCTCGCGTTATGCACTCGCCACAACCACCGATTTGACCAATAAGGGCCGCGCTTGTTTTGATTTGGTCCTAAAAAAAGTAACTACATATAATATTTTTGATTCAGCGCTTGATTTTTCAAAAAGCTACCAAAAGCACTTTTTTCATGATTTTTTAAATTTATGTAGAGTATGAAATTTTTTTTTTCAAAAAACAATAGCAAATTCTTGTAGAACATTTATTCATTGGTGGTTAGAACATTCCGTGGACCAAAAAAGAAATAAAAAAAATCGTTTTTTTTATTACGGTATTTGTTAGAATTAAGCGTTGCACGTTTTTCATCTAAAAATCTCAAAACTATAAACTTCAAGCTTCAAATTGCTTTTTTACGGCTCCAATACAACCATTTTTAACAAATATACAGCTATCCGAAAAATCGCAAAAAAAAATCCTTTTTTATTGCTATTGGTTTTTAATGTGGAAACTACCAAATAATAATAAATCAGATTTTTTAGTCTTGGTCAAAATTTTCAATAATAAAAAATGTAATATATTCTACATTTTACTCAAAATTTCATTTTGAAAAAAAAACAAAAAAAACCGTTTTTTTTCTAGTTTTTTTTCATGTTTTTTTTTCAAATCTGAAAAAAACCCGTTTTTTTACATTTCTATAGTCAATACTTATTAATAATGTCAAAAACTTATTTTCGAAGGTTTATTTAACTTAAGACTGTTAAAACCAAATTAGGAAAAGTTAAGAATGTCAAAAACCACAAGTATGTCAAAAGTACTTGTTAAAACTTTAAGAATCTCACACTTTTAAATTGATCTTAATTTAGATGTTTGCAAATGTATTTTAGATTTAAATTTAAATCTCTAGTCAAGATGTCAAAAACTCATTTTAGAAGATATGTTAAAATTAAGAATGTTAAAAACAAATTAAAAAAATTGAGAATGTCAAAAACCACAAATATGTCAAAAATACTGTTAAAACATTTTTAAATTGCTCTTAATTTGGATGTTTGCAAGTGCATTTTAGAAATTTAGTTTTTTCAGAAACATTTAATTAATATTCAAGACTTATTTAGTAATATCAAAAACTCATTTTAAAAGGTTTATTAAACTTAAGAATGTTAAAAAGAAAATAAGAAAAATTGAGAATGTAAAAAACTACAAATATTTCAAAAATACTTGTTAAAACTTATTTAAGAATCCCAAACACAAATTGCTGTTAATTTAGATGTTTGCAAATGCATTTTAGAAATTTAGTTTTTTTTAATCGTTAAATATCTAATCAAAACTTATTTAATAATGTCAAAAACTCATTTTAAAAGGTTTATTTAACTTGAGAATGTTAAAACAAATAAGGAAAAATTGAGAATGTAAAATCCACAAGTGTGTCAAAACTACTTGTTAAAACTTATTTAAGAATCCCAAACACTTTCAAATTGCTCTAAATTTAGATGTTTGCAAATGCATTTTGGAAAGTTTTTTTTCGTTTTTTTCCCAGTCGTTGGAAAAGTTGTCTTCTTTGGGAAAAATTGACTTTTTTCTGAAAATATACAAAGCAATTAAATTTATTACAGAAAGAAAAAAGTAAACATTGAATTGATTTAAGAAAATACACGTAAACGTTAAATATACTGTCGGTTGGGGGAGTCCATTGAAAATATCCATTTAAAAAATAATAAATGATTTATAAAGTTTAATTACAAAATTATAATTTTATAATTTGATGTGTCAAATAAAACGATGTTTTTTGCGACCCATAGAAGATTCTTACGGAATTATAATAATAGGAAAAATTATTATAATCATGCATACAGTGTGACCCATTTGTTTGCGACACCCTATAAAATCTTTATTTATTGTGCGATTTTAACCGGATTTGTTTTAAAGTGTAGAATTTGATAAATTGTATTTTTGAAGCAAAAAACGCCATATTTTTACAAAATACAAGGCCTACTATGTCAGTTTTTAAGAGAAAATTTTTAAGAATTCATATATGAATTCTTAAAAATTTATTAAAATATATTAGCGATTTTTTTAAACAAAATCTAAGCACGGCACTGGATTCACCACCCCTCAAAACGATCATATACTAAATTTAATTGAAAAATTTTAAGTAGAAAATGCACAATAATAACTACAAAAATTTATTCTGTCAAGTTATCCATGAAAAAACATTGAAATAAAATTAAACATGGTACTATTAATATAAGTTCAATTTTATTTCAATGTTTTTTTCATGGATAACTTGACAGAATAAATTTTTGTAGTTATTTTTGTGCATTTTTACTTAAAATTTTTTAATAAAATTTAGTAAACGGTAGTTTTAAGGGTTGGTGAATCCAGTGCCGTGCTAGGATTTTGTTTAAAAAATCGCTAATATGAATTCTTAAAAATTTACTCTTAAAAACTGACATAGTAGCATACTATTAGTAGGCATGGGCGCCGGAAGGAATTCGTCTAGGGGGGGGCCTTAAAGTTTTTTACAATTTTGATAGATGTTATTTATAATCAAGTTGTACTGTAGAAGTTTACATTAAACTTAAGTCAAATAAAATATCATCTTTATACAGGGTGTCCCAAAAGTCAACGAGATCCTTTGGAGGACTGATAGACCAACTCATGACAAAGCAGAAAATCAAAATATGACCTTAGTAAAAAATCGTTAGTTTTTGACATTTTATGAATTTTGTAAAACTTGACACTTTAGATTAGTTTTTCGAGTGCTACAGCTACAAAATCTGCTATTAATTTAATTTTGAATTGTAATTAATAGCAGTCCTATTCAGGGTTTTTGTGTCACCGTCAAATTATGGAGTACCGGAATTTCTGGGTATGAATTTCCAGGGGGGGGCCCGGGCCCCCCCCTGCCCCTATGTAGCGGCGCCCATGTTAGTAGGCCTTGTATTTTGTACCAATATGGGGTCTTTTCCTCCAAAAATACAATTTATCAAGATCTATACTTTAAAACAAATCCACAATAAATAAAGATTTTACAGGGGTAAATGGGTCACACTGTATATGATTATAATCGAGTAAAATTTTCCAATTTTCAGTTTTTTTCTGAAAAAAAACGGCTTTTTTCGCTGGCTCAATTTTTCTGGAAATTTTAAAACCCTATTCAGAACTGTTAAATGTCTAGTCAAGACCTATTTAATAATGTCAAAATTTATTTTAGAAGGTATGTTGAAATTAAAAATGTTAAAATCAAATTAAGAAAAAATTGAGAATGTCAAAACCATAAATATGCCAGAATCTTAAACACTTTTAAATTGCTCTTCATTAAACACTTTTAAATTGCTCATTCATTAATCATAAAAACCAATTGTTTTAAAAAAAGATTCTCTTAAAAAAATTGTAGATCCTGCTCAGAAGAGAAAATCTTTGACAATTCAAATTAAAGTCTTAATTTAAACAAATTTTTTTATTTCAAAATTTAATTTAATTTATTTAAATGTTAAAATAAAAAGAATTATTTCGACTTTAATTTGAAGTTTCAACAATTTCTCTAATAATTTTTTTTATAAGATATAATTATAATTAATAAAAGTAGTACATTTTTATGTTTTCTGAATTTCTAAGCACTAATTCAATTTTGTTTATGGGAATATAATTTTCTGATCACGCAGGATTTTTTATTAGGAATACACAGTAAAAAAGTTTTTCCTATTGGCACACTGTAGAAAAACATCACAAAAAAACAATAGCACAATATTAATAATTTCCCTTTTTTCCAGTGATCTCTCTTCTCAAGTAGACGAAAGTGAAGACCATCCTGAGCACAGGATCTACCGCAAAAGCGTCATACGCCTGTCGGTAGTGCAACGCCTAAAAAACCTGATGTTCGAGGAGCAAAAAATCCAGCAGAAATCGCCGAGCGTGCACCGGATGGGATCGAGAAGCACGGGGGAAAAACTGGCGCACCCCGACTACGCGGACCCGCAAAAACTGTTCGCGAACTCCCGCAACTCCAGTCAAGTGAGCCTGTCCGCCGAAACGGACTTCATGGGCGAAAAAGAGCATCTGGATTTGAGCATAAACGAGAACGACGTACTTAAGGAGATAGAGAAGCGCCTGCAGAGTACAAATTTCGAGCTGAACGGCGGTTCTAGTCACAAAAAGGTAAACTCTAGTCACAATCAGAATTCCGATTATTACGAGTCCATTCTGGACAAAAACTTGACCGAAGAGTACGTCAAAGACGCCAACGGTAAGCTCATCGCCAAACAGGACAGCTTCAGTAACGGAGACAATAAAGCCATATACAAAATGAAGTACAGTTCACAAAATATCATCAAAAAAGACTCCTTTAGTATTAAGAGACCAAATAGAGCGCCGCCACCCATTCCCACAAAACCAACGTTCATCAAAAATGAAATATCGAAAAATTTCATGATTAAGTCTGAATCGTCCATGGGGACAATAAATTCCAATTTTACTCAGAGCGGAGGCACTAGAACCTCTCAAAGTTGGGTTAAAACTGTTGTTAACCGATTTGAATGATATTCGTAGAATTGTTGAGGTCATTCAACAATTTCCTGTTTCAAATGTGCTATATTCTGGCTGTTTTCAAGTATAATTAATTTTAGTTACATTAATTGAAATTAATTAAATTGTACATAGTTTTATCGTACTGTATTATTGCACAATTTTAACATAGTCTTATATCAAATTGAAGATATCAAATTATACTTAAATATTTATATGTATATGAGCATAAATTTTAAAGTGCCAAATAAGAGTATATTTTAAATTATTGTTGAAAATAGTTATTACTAATAGTTTTGTAAAAACGTTACTATTTTAAATAAAATGATTAATTATTTAATAAATATTTTATTTTAAACCCCCCAAAAAATAAATAACTTTTATGGTAAGTATGTTTTTACATTTTAGTTTTCTTACCTACATTTTTATTTTTCTAAATTAGTTAAAATGTGTTTTTTTAAATCAGGCATATTTTTGGGAATCACAGAACATTTAGGAAATTTCAATGGAGTTTCCATAAACTTTTTACATTCTTCTTTAGATGGTAAAACCACTTTTCCATTATCTTTCAAACTTTTAATTACCTCTAAAACAAAATCTTTAAAAACTAGTTTTTAAGTAAATTATTACCTTCACTTTTCACAAAAAAATCAGTAGTAAAACTATTCCAATGTTTTTTATTCTTAAGACAAACAAAATCCATATCATCACTGATAACATATGTACCTAAATGCAGACGAATCATACTAGGTTCAGCATGATACCCAATTTTAAAATTATTTCCTTTATTTTTCCCCGCAATTTCACCCCCAACTTTCTCCATATGCTTTAATAAATCTAAATTTTTACTTGTGACCGCCTTTAAATTACTATAGTATATTATAGTATATTATAATATCTTCTTTAGGTAACACTAAAAAATGAAACACAAAAAGGTAAACTCTATAGAGTTGTGACTATAGTCAGTGACTATTAGTCACAATCAGAATTCCGATTATTACGAGTCCATTCTGGACAAAAACTTGACCGAAGAGTACGTCAAAGACGCCAACGGTAAGCTCATCGCCAAACAGGACAGCTTCAGTAACGGAGACAATAAAGCCATATACAAAATGAAGTACAGTTCTCAAAATATCATAAAAAAAGACTCCTTTAGTATTAAGAGACCAAATAGAGCGCCGCCACCCATTCCCACAAAACCAACGTTCATCAAAAATGAAATATCGAAAAATTTCATGATTAAGTCTGAATCGTCCATGGGGACAATAAATTCCAATTTTACTCAGAGCGGAGGCACTAGAACCTCTCAAAGTTGGGTTAAAACTGTTGTTAACCGATTTGAATGATATTCGTAGAATTGTTGAGGTCACTCAACAATTTCCTGTTTCAAATGTGCTATATTCTGGCTGTTTTTCAAGTATAATTAATTTTAGTTACATTAATTGAAATTAATTAAATTGTACATAGTTTTATCGTACTGTATTATTGCACAATTTTAACATAGTCTTATATCAAATTGAAGATATCAAATTATACTTAAATATTTATATGTATATGAGCATAAATTTTAAAGTGCCAAATAAGAGTATATTTTAAATTATTGTTGAAAATAGTTATTACTAATAGTTTTGTAAAAACGTTACTATTTTAAATAAAATGATTAATTATTTAATAAATATTTTACTTTAAAACCCCCAAAAAATAAATAACTTTTATGGTAAGTATGTTTTTACATTTTACTTTTCTTACCTACATTTTTATTTTTCTAAATGAGTTAAAATGTGTTTTTTTAAATCAGGCATATTTTTGGGAATCACAGAACATTTAGGAAATTTCAATGGAGTTTCCATAAACTTTTTACATTCTTCTTTAGATGGTAAAACCACTTTTCCATTATCTTCCAAACTTTTAATTACCTCTAAAACAAAATCTTTAATAAAAAACACAAACTACCAGTTTTTAAATAAATTATTTACCTTCCTTTTTCACAAAAAAATCAGTAGTAAAACTATTCCAGTGTTTTTTTATTCTTAAGACCAACAGAATCCATGTCATCACTGATAACATGCAAATGCAGACAAATCATACTATAGTACCTATAGGTTCGGCATGATACCTAATTTTAAAATTACTTCCTTTATTTTCCCCCACAATTTCACCCCAACTTTCTCCATATGCTTTAATAAATCTAAATGTTTACTTGTGACTGCCTTTAAATTACTAATATCTTCTTTATGTTACACTAAGATATGAAACACAAAAAGGTACAATCTAGTCACAATCAGAATTCCGATTATCACGAGTCTATTTTGTCCATGGACAAAAACTTGACTAAAGAGTGCATCAAAGACGCCAACGGTAAACTCATCGCCAAACAGGACAGCTTCAGTAACGGAGACAATAAAGCCATATACAAAATGAAGTACAGTTCTCAAAATATCATCAAAAAAGAATCCTTTAGTATTAAGAGACCAAATAGAGCGCCGCCACCCATTCCCACAAAACCAACGTTCATCAAAACTGAAATATCGAAAAATTTCATGATTAAGTCTGAATCGTCCATGGGGACAATAAATTCCAATTTTACTCAGAGCGGAGGTAGTAGAACCTCTCAAAGTTGGGTTAAAACTGTTGTTAACCGATTTGAATGATATTCGTAGAATTGTTGAGGTCACTCAACAATTTCCTGTTTCAAATGTGCTATATTCTGGCTGTTTTTCAAGTGTAATTAATTTTAGTTACATTAATTGAAATTAATTAAATTGTACATAGTTTTATCGTACTGTATTATTGCACAATTTTAACATAGTCTTATATCAAATTGAAGATATCAAATTATACTTAAATATTTATATGTATATGAGCATAAATTTTAAAGTGCCAAATAAGAGTATATTTTAAATTATTGTTGAAAATAGTTATTACTAATAGTTTTGTAAAAACGTTACTATTTTAAATAAAATGATTAATTATTTAATAAATATTTTATTTTAAAACCCCCAAAAAATAAATAACTTTTATGGTAAGTATGATTTTACATTTTACTTTTCTTACATTTTTATTTTTCTAAATGAGTTAAAATGTGTTTTTTTAAATCAGGTATATTTTTAGAAATCACAGAAACTGTATGACATTTCAATGGAGTTTCCATAAACTTTTTACATTCTTCTTTAGATGTTAAAACCACTTTTTTATTATCTTCTAAACTTTTAATTACCTCTAAAAACAAAATCTTTAATAAAAAACACTACTAACTTTTAAGTAAATTATTTCCGTTCACTTTTCCCAAAAAAATCAGTAGTAAAACTATTTCAATGTTTTTTATTCTTAAGACAAACAGAATCCATATCATCACTGATAACCTGTAAATGCAGACAAATCATACTAGGTTCAGCATGATACATAATTTTAAAATTACTTCCTTTATTTTCCCCCACAATTTCACCCCCAACTTTCTCCATATGCTTTAAAAATCTAAATGTTTACTTGTGACCGCCTTTAAATTACTAATATCTTCTTTATGTTACACTATACACTATTATAAGATATGAAACACAAAAAGGTACAATCTAGTCAAAATCAGAATTCCGATTATCACGAGTCTATTTTGTAACATGGACAAAAACTTGACTAAAGAGTGCATCAAAGACGCCAACGGTAAACTCATCGGCAAACAGGACAGCTTCAGTAACGGAGACAATAAAGCCATATACAAAATGAAGTACAGTTCTCAAAATATCAAAAAAGACTCCTTTAGTATTAAGAGACCAAATAGAGCGCCGCCACCCATTCCCACAAAACCAACGTTCATCAAAAATGAAATATCGAAAAATTTCATGATTAAGTCTGAATCGTCCATGGGGACAATAAATTCCAATTTTACTCAGAGCGGAGGCACTAGAACCTCGCAAAGTTGGGTTAAAACTGTTGTTAACCGATTTGAATGATATTCGTAGAATTGTTGAGGTCACTCAACAATTTCCTGTTTCAAATGTGCTATATTCTGGCTGTGTTCAAGTATAATTAATTTTAGTTACATTAATTGAAATTAATTAAATTGTACATAGTTTTATCGTACTGTATTATTGCACAATTTTAACATAGTCTTATATCAAATTGAAGATATCAAATTATACTTAAATATTTATATGTATATGAGCATAAATTTTAAAGTGCCAAATAAGAGTATATTTTAAATTATTGTTGAAAATAGTTATTACTAATAGTTTTGTAAAAACGTTACTATTTTAAATAAAATGATTAATTATTTAATAAATATTTTATTTTAAAACCCCCAAAAAATAAATAACTTTTATGGTAAGTATGTTTTTACATTTTAATTTTCTTACATTTTTATTTTTCTAAATGAATTAAAATGTGTTTTTTTAAATCAGGCATATTTTAGAAATCACAGAACATTTATAACCTTTCAATGGAGTTTCCATAAACTTTTTACATTCTTTAGATGGTAAAACCACTTTTCCATTATCTTCCAAACTTTTAATTACCTACCTCCAAAAACAAAATCTTTAATAAAAAACACAAACTACCAGTTTTTAAATAAATTATTTACAGGTCGTCACTTTTCACAAAAAAATCAGTAGTAAAACTATTCCAGTGTTTTTATTCTTAAGACAAACAGAATCCATGTCATCACTGATACCTAATTTTAAAATTACTTTCTTTATTTTCCCCACAATTTCACCCCCAACTTTCTCCATATGCTTTAATAAATCTAAATGTTTACTTGTGACCGCCTTTAAATTACTAATATCTTCTTTAGGTAACACTAAAAAATGAAACACAAAAAGGTAAACTCTAGTCACAATCAAAATTTCGATTATTACGAGTCCATTCTGGACAAAAACTTGACCGAAGAGTACGTCAAAGACGCCAACGGTAAACTCATCGGCAAACAGGACAGCTTCAGTAACGGAGACAATAAAGCCATATACAAAATGAAGTACAGTTCCCAAAATATCATCAAAAAAGACTCCTTTAGTATTAAGAGACCAAATAGAGCGCCGCCACCCATTCCCACAAAACCAACGTTCATCAAAAATGAAATATCGAAAAATTTCATGATTAAGTCTGAATCGTCCATGGGGACAATAAATTCCAATTTTACTCAGAGCGGAGGCACTAGAACCTCTCAAAGTTGGGTTAAAACTGTTGTTAACCGATTTGAATGATATTCGTAGAATTGTTGAGGTCACTCAACAATTTCCTGTTTCAAATGTGCTATATTCTGGCTGTTTTTCAAGTATAATTAATTTTAGTTACATTAATTGAAATTAATTAAATTGTACATAGTTTTATCGTACTGTATTATTGCACAATTTTAACATAGTCTTATATCAAATTGAAGATATCAAATTATACTTAAATATTTATATGTATATGAGCATAAATTTTAAAGTGCCAAATAAGAGTATATTTTAAATTATTGTTGAAAATAGTTATTACTAATAGTTTTGTAAAAACGTTACTATTTTAAATAAAATGATTAATTATTTAATAAATATTTTATTTAAAAACCCCCAAAAAATACATAATTTTTTTGGTAAGTATGTTTTTACATTTTACTTTTCTTACCTAGGTATATTTTTATTTTTCTCAATGAATTAAAATGTGTTTTTTTAAATCAGGCATATTTTTAGGAATCACAGAACATTTATGACATTTCAATGGAGTTTCCATAAACTTTTTACATTCTTCTTTAGATGGTAAAACCACTTTTCCATTATCTTCCAAACTTTTAATTACCTCTAAAAACAAAATCTTTAATAAAAAACTAGTTTTTAAGTAAATTATTTACCTTCACTTTTCACAAAAAAATCAGTAGTAAAATATTCCAATGTTTTTTATTCTTAAGACAAACAGAATCCATATCATCACTGATAACATGTAAATGCAGACGAATCATACTAGGTTCAGCATGATACCTAATTTTAAAATTACTTCCTTTATTTTCCCCCACAATTTCACATCCAACTTTCTCCATATGCTTTAATAAATCAAAATGTTTACTTGTGACCGCTTTTAAATAACTAATATCTTCTTTATGTTACACTAAGATATGAAACACAAAAAGGTACAATCTAGTCACAATCAGAATTCCGATTGTCACGATTCTATTTTGTCCATGGACAAAAACTTGACTAAAGAGTGCATCAAAGATGCCAACAGTAAACTCATTGCCAAACAGGACAGCTTCGGTAACGGAGACAATAAAGCAATATACAAAATGAAGTACAGTTCTCAAAATATCATCAAAAAAGACTCATTTAGTATTAAGAGACCAAATAGAGCGCCGCCACCCATTCCCACAAAACCAACGTTTATCAAAAATGAAATATCGAAAAATTTCATGATTAAGTCTGAATCGTCCATGGGGACAATAAATTCCAATTTTACTCAGAGCGGAGGTACTAGAACCTCTCAAAGTTGGGTTAAAACTGTTGTTAACCGATTTGAATGATATTCGTAAAATTGTTGAGGTCACTCAACAATTTCCTGTTTCAAATGTGCTATATTCTGGCTGTTTTTCAAGTATAATTAATTTTAGTTACATTAATTGAAATTAATTAAATTGTACATAGTTTTATCGTACTGTATTATTGCACAATTTTAACATAGTCTTATATCAAATTGAAGATATCAAATTATATTTAAATATTTATATGTATATGAGCATAAATTTTAAAGTGCCAAATAAGAGTATATTTTAAATTATTGTTAAAAATAGTTATTACTAATAGTTTTGTAAAAACGTTACTATTTTAAATAAAATGATTAATTATTTAATAAATATTTTATTTTAAAACCCCCAAAAAATAAATAATTTTTATAGTAAGTATGTTTTTACATTTTACTTTTCTTACCTAGCTATATTTTTATTTTTCTAAATGAGTTAAAATGTGTTTTTTTAAATCAGGCATATTTTTAGGAATCACAGAACATTTATGACATTTCAATGGAGTTTCCATAAACTTTTTACATTCTTCTTTAGATGGTAAAACCACTTTTCCATTATCTTCCAAACTTTTAATTACCTCTAAAAACAAAATCTTTAATAAAAAACTAGTTTTTAAGTAAATTATTTACCTTCACTTTTCACAAAAAAATCAGTAGTAAAACTATTCCAATGTTTTTTATTCTTAAGACAAACAGAATCCATATCATCACTGATAACATGTAAATGCAGACGAATCATACTAGGTTCAGCATGATAACCAATTTTAAAATTACTTCCTTTATTTTCCCCCGCAATTTCACCCCCAACTTTCTCCATATGCTTTAATAAATCTAAATGTTTACTTGTAACCGCCTTTAAATTACTAATATCTTCTTTAGGTATCACTAAAAAATGAAACTTGGCTTTCGGATAAACATCTTTAATAACTGTCACTAAATCATCGGTTTTCACGATATACTTTGGATCTTTCATTGTATTTAGTAAACCCATGGCCCAGTGACCACTTGGTTTCGGTTTTTTCGCATTTCCTTGCCCTGGAACGTCTTTTGACGATCTTTTCGGCATATCTTTGAATTTAAGTAAATATAACCTCAGTTTTGCAATCAAGAAAATTTTGACAGTTCTCATTGTTTAAAAACTGTGTAATGGTAGTTGCATATCTTGGTTTAGTAGAGAACTACTAAACCAAGGTTGCATATTATACACTTATATTCCTGTAATCTTAGGATTTTGTAAAATACTTGGCTTTAGTATATTTAAAATTGTCTATGTTTTCTTTTATTTAAATAGTTTATGAATGGTGTGATAATTTTTTCATTAATATATTAACATTTGTATATGTGATTTTTATTCAAAGTAATTTTTGTCTAATGAAAATGTCAAAAATGTTTGTCAACAAATAAAAAAAAATGGCGACAACTAAGCTTGTATGGTTTTGTTAACTTTATAAATAATCGAAAATACAATAAATAAAGGGTATTAAAGCATGGTTTTAGCATTTAAGTTATTTTTTGTTATATTTGAGTGGATATTAACTATAAAATAGGGCTTAAATCGGAAACAACTTAACCTTAAAAGTGAATTTGTGTTTTTTGATCATTTATAAATAAATAAGCAACAATGTGCGATAGTGATGGTGAAAATTACAACAATGAAGAGGTTGTCAATCTCACCGGTTTCCTATTTGGCAACATTGACGAGTCCGGCCAATTGGAAAGTGATGTTTTTGACTCCGAATCACAAAAACATCTTTCTTCGTTGGGAAGGTATTTTTTTGGATAAAAAATATTTTTCGGGGTTATTAATGCGTTGATTTAGGCTTGGACTCAGTTCATTTCTCAAGGAAATGATTGGAGATGAGAAAATCAAAGAGGAAGAAAATGATAATTCCAATGACGATTCACAGGATGGGATTACAGAAAATCAACCAAATGAAATAGAGAGTACTGATAATGTTGACTGTGTGTATTCTTATATTATAAAAAAATTTATCATCAAAAGTATATTGTTTTAGATGATAATAAATCTCCTTCTGCAGAGGACTTTTTTGACATAAATGAGCTTGCTGAAGATGATCAAACTAAAAATGTCAATGAGGATTATGATGCTGAAGATGGGGAAAAAGGGGCAAATGATGAGGCATTAATGCCCCCACCCCCAAAACCTATAGAGGGTAAGAATGATGAAAACGATAAGAAAAAACTTGAAACTCCTCTGGCTGCCATGTTGCCCTCTAAATATCAAAATATTGATGTTACCGAGCTGTTTCCTGATTTTAGACATGGAAAAGTAAATATAAATGATATATTAAATCACTTATTGATTATTAATTTTACTATTTATTAGGTTTTGAGGTTTTCAAGGCTATTTGGGCCAGGCAAGCCAAATAGTTTACCGAATATTTGGAGAAATGTGCGGAAAAAACGTAAAAAGAGAAAGCAGAAAGTCAATGACAGTTCCACACATGATAGTGATTCCAATTCTGAGGAGGAAAAACCAAAAAATAGGGGGTGGTATTTTGATTACCTCCAAGATGTGCTTCCAGAACAAATCAAAAGTGATGATGAGGTAAGAAAAGTAACGGCTTACAGTTTAGAAAATTATTATTATTAATATTATCTTCATTTTCCAGCTTCTTGTTTATAAGTTATAATATTCCTATTACATTTTTATCATTTCAATATATTTTGCTGTAGGTCATTTTTATGTTTTTAACATTTTTATAGTTTTGAGACATACATTTACATTTTTAGGGTTTTTGTTTTTAAATTTATAATTAAATTATTTATATTTTTAACGTTTTTAGACATTCAGGGTTGGAAAAAGTCATGACATAAGAAAGTAAAAAAATCCGCTTTTTTGATTTAATTTACCATAGTTTACAAAAAAAATAATTTTTAAAAATTATTTAATAACTACAAAATTTTATTTTATCTACATAACTACGAAGATTTTCTCTTTACCTTGGTAAAATTGTAATTTTTGAAAGAGAAGCATCAAAATTAACGCATAATAAGTAAAAAAATTCCAACTCTAAAACGCCTTTACCAATCTTTATAAAATTTTGGATAAAAATACTTTAACTTATATCTCAGTTTACGTGTTTAAGGGCTTTTCGAAAAAATATCCTTAAAGCCCTTTTATTTAATAATAAAAATGGCTCGAAAAAAACTTTTATAGGGATTTTTTTTTAAGTATCTTAGTTACTGTTTGTTTGATTTGTAAAAAATTTTAAGGGTATACTAACAAAAATACGGTCTTTAACAGCATAGTTTTTTTACTTAAAAAAATATTCCATAAAAGTTATATTTCGAACGTTTTTTTAATATTAAATAAAACGGCTTTAAAAAAACCCTTGAACACTAAACTGAGATATAAGTAGAAGTATTCTTATACAAAATTTCATAAAAATTGGTAAAGGCGTTTGGGAGTTTGGAATTTTGACGCGCAGTGTAGTAAGCCAATCAGATTATGCAATTTTCATTGTTCTTGTTTATTTTACTTTCCGAAAATAGTATTAAATTTTAATAAAAGCGTTAAAATTAAATGTTAATCAAAATCCTAAAAACTATAAGCAAAAGTTTGAATTAATCCGTGACTTAAAAAAAAGTCATTTAATTTAATTTAAGATTTAAATCACTAAATTTATGCCAACCAATTATTTGTTTGACTGTTTGAAGAAATTTTAAACATTTTTGGCCAATTTAGACAGTTTTTGGTCATTTTATATTTTATTGCCGAAAATACATTTTTAATGATCTTATCTCATCATATCATCCTTCAATGTGTAAATAATAAGGATATACCTCTATATATAATAATAATGTATAATACTTCTAAGGGTATTTTTTATTTAAAAGCACAAGATTGGATAATTAGGAAAAAACGTGCTTAATTATAAGCCTATTAAAATTAAATTTACCAGGGATTCTCAAAAATCGTTATAACTTTGTTATTCCTGTAAATTTAAAAAAAATTAGCTTTATATATCCATCTTTTGTTTTTCTAATACCGCCGACGGTGGACTAGTGGTTAGTGCTGACTACAAGCCGAAGGTCGTGGGTTCGAATCTCACCAGGGGTATGGCTGTTTATTTGTGTTTGTCCTATTGTGTAATAGACCATCGGAGGGGACTTTAAGCCCGCGGTCGTCCGTTCCTACCCCTAACCCGCACAAGCCATTCAGTTGGCTTATGGGACTTCTTAGGAAGTAAGGGTGGAACTAAAAGAGCACTTTTGTATATACTTTGTATATACTTTATGTAGCATGGTGCGTTTTTATAGAAAAAAGTCAAGTTACTCCAATCTTCTAGCTTGATTATCTTTGGGGTTGGTAAGATTCCTAAAATTAAAAAGTCGGGGATTTACGAAATAAACTGTCAAGATTGTGACAAGAAATATGTTGGACAAACTAAAGAATCCATCCAGGAACTGGCGGAAATCGACATTTTTATTTAAATCTACAAAAAGGTACCGAGGTATTTTGATACATTGTTGGATTCCTTGATTTTTTTCTAACCATGTAAAATTCCAATATGGCGGCCATAGGAAAAACTAAAGATGGTGGTTTTTCAAAATCTAGTGGACAAAAAACACAAATTGGATAAAAATGTAAAATGTAAAATGTATGTTTAAATGTGAAGCTTGTAAAGTAACCATGTAAAATTCCAATATGGCGGCCATAGGAAAAACTAAAGATGGTGGTTTTTCAAAATCTAGTGGACAAAAAACACAAATTGGATAAAAATGTAAAATGTATGTTTAAATGTGAAGCTTGCTTTTTTCTAAATTCCCAAGAATAACGATTTTTGGTTTTGACAGTTTTTTTTAAATTATTTGAGAACCGCTGATTTTTTCCCCAATTTTCAAATGCCATTTTAATAGACTTGTAATTACGCAACTTTTAAGTAATTCAACGGACCTTGTATCTCTTTAAATAAAAAAGATACCCATACAATTATTTTTAATCGTTTTATTAGGAAAAATTCCTGAAAGCTGCGGAAGTGTCCTCGGTAAGCGAAAAAAGCGATGGCGAGAAAAAAGACGAAACGGGCCCGAAAGTGGCCGATTGGCGATTCGGACCCGCGCAAATTTGGTACGACATGCTCGAAGTACCGGAAACCGGCGACGGGTTTAACTACGGCTTCAAAGTTGGAGAAAAAAAGGTAATTTTAATTTCACTTAAAGCACTGTCATTTTTTAATTTTTAATTTTAGCCTGAAGAGATTAAGGAAGAACCTGAAGTAGAGCAATCAATTAAACCTGAACGTATCATAGACGACGCCTTTTTAATGGTTACACAACTGCATTGGGAAGATGACGTTGTTTGGGATGGTAACGATATAAAACACAAAGTAAGTGTGCCGACTTTTTTATTTATTCGGAATTTAACAATGTCAAAGAATGTCGAGAAATATTTGTAATGTTTGTTAATTGAAATAACCCAGCAAACACATAAGTCTGATTATGTAATGGCCCATTACATAGTTTCATGGCTTAATAATGTCATTTTTAGCCAAAATGTTTTCTGTATATAAAACTTACATAAACCTTTAAATTAAAGGCTTTAATTATCCTTTGGTTAACGCCATATTTTAAAAATGACTCCCAGTCTAATTCCTATAGTTTTATTAGTTTATTATTCCACATAAAAAATAATAATAATACCTAATGGTTGTTAAGTTTAAATGAATAAGTAGGTATATTTAATTTTACAAATTTTTAAACTATTATTACAGACAAAATACCGCCAAAGAATTTAGTAGAAAGGCTTTATTGATAAGGTCAAAATTAGGGTAATTGCGAATAAAATAAATTAATAATGGCAAGGAAATCCTGGTTTTCTTTGTTATAGAGTGAACTTATTTGAAAATATATATTTTAATTTTAAATATTTCCTATTTATTTTAAGGATTTTTTTATTTATTTAAATATTACACAGTACAACACGATTTTCCTCCTATGAAAAAATTTAACAGATTTTAAAAATAAAGGTTAAAAAACGTATCCATGTCTCACCGTTTCACGAAATCATGTAATTTAAATTTTTCATACAGTCATTATTATTATTTTAACCTAAACATATTTTTAATTCTCTATTTTGTTATAAATCATATTTTTTCTTCAAATATTTTATGTTTTTACATAATACAAAAATTATACTTAGAGAAAATAACAATTTAATTTTTTTAAGTAAAAAAAATATTTCTGTTTTTAATTTTTGATTTATTTTTTAATAAAACCTCAGATTTGTATTTATCTTATATTAAATATATGTTGGAAACAAATCTTGATCTTTTAGTTTGACGAATATACATTGCTTTCGAATCTATTATAGTGGTATCACAACCTAAAAACTCCACTTGATATACAGGGTGTTTCACATTCGTGGTCCATTGGAAGTTTCTGGAGAACGGAAAAAAATATAGATTTGAAATTTAAAAGCGTTTATAATCCATTAAGTCTATTTTTTAATATTTTTAACAAAATGCAACGGTTTTACCGGAAGTGACATCAACTTTGTTATTTTAAATAGAACACCCCATATATTTTTACATTTTTAAATTCTACATAAAATTCTGAGTAAAATTACTATATGATGTCCTATACCTAAAGTGAATAGTTTTCTAGATGTTTGCTATTATATTTACGGATAGGAGGTAAAATGTTTGGAATCTTAAAAGATTGTTTAAAAAATTACATGTCAATTCTTTAACATTTTTCAACAAATTACCCGAGAAAACCCAGGGCAAATTGGGCTAACTTGAAACGTTAATAACTTTTTTATTTTAAATGCACGCGGTATTTTGACATGGAATCTTTTAAACAATGTTTTAAGATTCAAAAAACTCCACCCCCATTTCCGCAAACCTAATAGCAAGAAAGTTATATGCTATTTTTAATTGACGCGCATTTGTCATATTTTAACGGAAAAAAATAATAACTCGAAAACTATTCGCTTTAGGTATAGTACATAATACAGTAATTTTACTCAAAATTTTATGTAGAATTTAAAAATGTGAAAATTTATAGGGGGTTCTATTTAAAATAACAAAGTTTATGTCACTTCCGGTCAAACCGGAAGTTGAATTTTGTTTAAAATATTTTAGAAAAATAGGCTTAATTGGATTATAAACGCTTTAAAAATTTCAAATCGATATCTTTTGCCGTTCCTCAGAAACTCTCAATGGACCACGAACGTGAAACACCCGTATTTCGTAAATGTCCAACACCCTGTATATAATTAAAATAATTTTAAAATAAATAATTAATTTTAATGGTTGTCCATTTATTTAGTGAATAAATTTTTCATACAAATGTATTGTCTATTGTCAAAGCTGTTATATTATGTTCCGAATACCGTGGATAACATTTTATTGGATCGCACTTACAAAAAAAATGACGTGATCTGAAAAAACGCCGAGACACGGGTATCATTTTTTTAAGTGAAAAGAAGGGAAAATTTTGTAGTACTGTGTTATGGATTCCATTTACTACCTAATAAACAGTTTTTAAAATCAAAATTTTATGTTTTACTTATACAGGTCTTTATTACAACACATTAATTAAATGGATAAGTAAAGTATTGGTTTAGAGTGTGAATTAAATGTGGTTTGTTTATATTTATTGGGTCGGAAATTCCACTATAACCGGAAATTATTCCGAACGTCAGAAATTCTATTGTCTAATAAATATATACCTACCACATTTAATCCACCATATATCCATTGAAAATTATTTAAATAACCACTATAGAATCTTTAACACCCCATATCAGAAACTTTAGCATGCCACATTTGTACCTTTAATCTGCCTTTAGCGCGCCATATCAAAAAATAAAATGGTTCTTGTAAGTGCCTTTATTGACTGCAGTTACATGCCCAATTAAGGTGAACGCGTCATAATATGTACAGTTCCATTAGAGTTAGCCTTTATATGGCCTTTAGTTCATTAAAGGCATGTTTATAAAGGGCCATTATAGAACCTTTACGGTTGTGTTTACTGGGAATGTTCTTGGACTTACATTGCCTTAGTATTTTTAATCACAATTAATTAAAAATACCGTTACAATGAAAGTTGAAAACTTTTCTTTCGTTCAACAATAATGTCAAGTAATTCTTAAGAATATCCAAACCATATTTAAAAATCCATTCTTGATGTATTAACTTCCAAATAAAAAGTTTTTATCACACAATCGCATGCATTTTGAAACGAAATAGAACATCTTGCTTTCATAAAACCACACCGCATAACACACTTTTATAATTTTCGATTTTAATTTTTTTCTGCAAATACGCTAACCGTGTGACGTGGCAAAGCAGTTGTTTCTCTTTTTTCACTAACAGGTATTGCAGAAATTGAACTCGAAAACCAACGCGGCCGGATGGGTGCCCAGCAGCGGAAACCGAACTGCGCAGGCGTTCAGTCAACCGGGGAAAGGGGGCGCCACGGTGCGCATGCCGCCGGTGCCAGCGCCACCTATACAGAGCAAGTCAAAAGCGATGTAAGTAGAAGACATTTTAAATTTTGACGCATTAATGTTTTAGTACATTTTGGTCGCTTTAAAACCATTTTAGGACACTGTTTGGCAGTTCTAAGGTTATTTAGGGGTTTTCTATTTCTAAAATAGTTTTGAAACAGTTTTAAACATTTGGATAGACAATTTTTCTAGCCTTGTCCAGTACGTTTTTTGAGAATTCCTCGTCAAAACAATATTGCACTGCGAAACTTATTTGACAACCCCTACTACAAATTATTTTGCTAAAGCAGTTTGTGTTTGGCAACAATTAGGGTTTTAAAATTTCCGAATAAATTTAGCCGGCGGAAAAAATCCGTTTTTTCCGAAGAAGAAAAAACCGGAAAAATTGGGAAATTTTCGTAAGTAATGTCATAAGGGCATTTAATTTTTCCGAAAAGAATCGAAAAAACACGTTGCTAAGTAATATTTTAACAAAAAGCATGAGTGCTGGTGGCAACAAAAATCCGAGTCGAAGAGGAGGATTTTTGCACCTGCGCGAATGCATTTTGTTAAAAAATATTACTTAGCATTGTGTTTTTTCGATTTTTTTCACAGGAAAAATTAGATGCCCGAATGGTATTTGACAAGACTATTTCATGAGTAACAGTTAACAATTAAAATATAAATTGCAATTTTTGGTGACAACAGCTGTCAAGTTTTGCCGCGGGTAAACTCGAATAAACTGCTGACAGGTGCTGTCACACAGTTTTTTCACCTAGAAACCATTTGTAATTCAAAATTGAGCGTTTGTGATTGGTGGATATTAAGACGAGGGAAATAGTCAGAAAAATTTACTTTCATTTTTAAATTTTATTCTAGGGTTATACGAAATAATGCAAAAGTCAATTTTTCTGAAAATTTCCAAATTCCTTTTATTTTAAATTTTTCTACTGAATTAAAATTTTTAATTCAGTAGAAATATTCTACCGGGCCGCAAACAAAAAAAAACATATTCGGTGCTGTATAAACATAACATTATTTGACACTTTGATTTATAAAATTATAATTTTGTAAATTAACTTTATAAATCATTCATTATTTTGTAGTTGGATATTTTTAATGGACTTCTTTTTGCAAAAAAGACCCAACCGTCAGTATATTTAATGTTTACGATTATTTTCTTAGATCAATTTAATTTAATTTAATGTTAAGTTTTATTTTTTTTTGTAACAAAGGATCTTTTTTTTTAATTAAAATATTTTCCAACAAAAAAATTCATTTTTTCCCAAAAAAATCCAATTTTTCCAAGGCCTAGGAAAAAAACGGGAAAACAGGTTTCTTTCCCAATTTTTCCGGTTTTTTTTGACAGCAACAATGTAACAAAGCAGTTTATGTAAGAGTTGGCAGTGACTGATAATATTATTGATTATTATTATTATTATTTGACAGAGTGACAGTGACTGTCACTGTCACTGAGTGACAACCATGAAGCCTTCACAAGAACCCAAAATGGGGAATTGACAGAATTTTACAATCTAGTATGAACTGACAGAGCCATTTTACCTTCCTTTTTGCTTTCTACCCGTTAAACTTGATACTCGATGAAAATCAGAAGTAACTTTTTTAGGATAAGCCTCTTAATTGATTTTTATAATTTTTGAAAAAAAAAATAAAATTTTAACCAAATTTGGGGCTACGATTTAATTTTGACAGTTTTTATTTTAGCATGTCAAAATTATTGTTTTATTTTTTATTCAGGAATTAATTTTATGCGATAGAGTGATATTTTCAATTAGATAAAAAATATCTAAAGAATTAATAATATCAAAGCAGACATTTTAAAATTATATTTAATTTGTATGCCAAACAGATATTTTTAATTTAGTGAATTTTAAATATCTGTTTCTTATATTTGAATTTTTTTGTTATAGGTATACACTTTTAATTCGCTTAATTAAAAATTAGATTTTCTATGCCAAACTGATTTTTTTATTTTGTTAATTTAAAATCTTTGCTTCTTGCTTAATATTTTTAATTCGCTAAATTAAAAATATCATCGGAGATATTTTTTTAATTTTTATTTTATTAATAAGCACATGTTTTTAATTAAATGTGATATTTTTAACGCTGTGGCTCCAGTCCCGAGTGACGTCATAATTTTAAGATTTGTTATGTTACGATAAAACTAAAACAAAAAAACCAAACCAACCCAACACTTTTTAACAAAGGAACAACAAATTTATAATATAAAAAATATCCACCCTTTTAATTTAGCGAATTAAAAATATGTGTTTAACTAAAAAATACAAATATGTACATACAGTTTGACCCATTTGTTTTCGACTCACCCCTGTATTTATTGTGCGGTTTTAACAGGATTTGTTTTAAAGTGTAGATCTTGATAAACTTTATTTTTGGAGCAAAAAACGCCATATTTTTACAAAATACAACGCCTACTATATCAGTTTTTAAGAATAAATTTTTAAGAATTCATATTAGCGATTTTTTTAACAAAATCTAAACACGGCACTGGATTCACCACCCCTCAAAACGACCCTTTACTAAATTTTATTGAAAAATTATAAGTAGAAAAATGCTCAATAATAACTACAAAAATTTATTCTGTCCAGTTATCCATGACAAAAACATTGAAATACATTAAACTTATAGTAATAGTACCATGTTACTATTAGTTTAATGTATTTCAATATTTTTGTCATGGATAACTGGACAAAATAAATTTTTGTAGTTATTGTTGTGCATTTTTCTACTTAAAATTTTTTCAATAAAATTTAGTAAAGGGTCATTTTGAGGGGTGGTGAATCCAGTGCTTAGATTTTGTTTAAAAAAATCGCTAATATGAATTATTAAAAATTTACTGTAATTTACTTAAATCCGGTTAAAATCGCATAAGATTTTACAGGGGTTTGTCGCAAACTAATGGGTCACACTGTATAAGAAACAGATATTTTAAATTGACTAGTTTGTCAGAAAGCATTTTTTAATACATGTTTATTAAACAAACTCGTGTTTTTTTATATGCAGCTAACACTGTATAATTTTGGCCCCCTAATTTCTTGCCCCACTTTGTAAAACATATTTTTGGACTTTCAGTTTAAGCAAGCTTCGTCAAGATCCCGACCACGACGACACGTGGTACTCGATTTTCCCGGTGGAAAACGAAGATCTCGTTTATGGTAGATGGGAGGACGACGTGATATGGGACGCGGAGAACATGAACAACATACCGAAACCTTCCATATTAACTTTGGACCCGAACGACGAAAACATCATCTTGGGAATCCCCGACGACATCGACCCGTCCAAGCAAATCGCAGGTAAGGAGTTTTTGAGGGTGTGCCTTAAGGTGTCCGTTATTTACCAACTTGTTTTTTTTTGTTTGCAGCTCCCCCTAAATTTTTAGTTTATGACCTAAAAAATTATTAAAAAAATTAAAAAAAAAAAAAAAAAATTCATACCAAACCGTGCCACAAAGACGATAAATTTTCCATTTAAATAACATGGGGTTTCGGCAAGTTTTACATTATTTTTTTTTCTCCCGAGCAAGTTAATAAGTCGCACATATTTTTATAGGAAATTGAACGCTGTACAAAAATCTCTCTTTTGATTTTTCGATAAATTCACTGCTTTAAAAGTTATTTGAGGTCATTATTTTTATGAAAATAAATTATTATTTTTTGAAAATATGTGATTTTATTGTATTATTGAGAAAGTAAAAATTATTGAAAAGAGATAAGTGAAAATTATTAACAAGAGATAATCTCTTAGAGATTCCGATAAATTAAAATTTTTGTATCACATTAAAGGAATCAAATTTAGTACGATTACTTTTTTACATAATCTTTTCATTTCTGTAAAATTTTACAAAATTTTATACTATTTTATAAAAAATTATACAATGAAAAATTTTCCTTCACCTGTAGCTAATGACGTAGAAATTCTATAACAATTATTTTTACGAAAAAATAAAATTTGTAGTTACGCATGCGCACTAAAGTATGATTTAGTACTTTGACCACAAAAGGCAGAAGTCGCACTTCACAGATTTCGTGTAGCAAAGTTGAAGTTTGAAGTACGTCAATCACCCATCGCCTGTGGCATCTTTTATATAATAATATAGGTATTATGTATCAAGTTTTATAAACTTCATTTTAGTTACTAGATTTATTAGGCACGAGCGAAGCTTATTAAAAACAAGTATCTAGATAACTTTATAAAACGAGTTGCATACTACGTATACTTTATCTACGACGAACACAGAAGAATTTAAATTATATTTGTTAAACATTTGACATTTGTCAAATGTCAACGGATTTAACCTCACTTTTCTCTAATATATAATAAAGCTAATTTCAGCCCGTGACTAAAGTGCCATAAAGTCACAGCTCGTCAATGTAGAAGTAGATAAATACATTTAACTTATTTGAAAAGGATAATTGGTGTAGCGGAAATGTCTGCATCTCATACTCAAGACAACGTAAGCGTAACTACGAATTTTATTTTGTTGTAAAAATACATGTTAAAAGAATTTCTACGTCATTAGCTGTACTGAAGGAATACTTTTTATTGTATAATATTTTATAAAATCGTATAAAATGTTGTAGAATTTTACAGAAATAAAAAGATTGTGTAAAAAACTAATCGTTCTATTATTGAGTAAAACTAGTACCAGATTCGTTTAATGTAATACAAAAAATTGAATTTATCGGAATCTCTTGTCAATAATTTTCAATGATCTCTTTTCAATAATTTTTTGAATAATACAATTCAAAAATAAACAATTCATTTTCATGAAAATAATTATAATTTTGCAGTCAAAGTAAAAAATTACTATAAGTTTAACCTTAAATAAATTTTAAATCAGTGAATTTATGAAAAAATCATATGAAAGCTTTTTTGTACATTTCTTGCTCAGGATAAATCAAATTAAATGTAAAACTTGCCGAAACCCCATATTATTTGAATGGAAAATGTATCGTCTTTGTGGCATGGTTTAATATGAATAGGTATTTTTTGTATAATTTTTTTAAAAATTTTTATAGGTCATAAACTAAAAATTTAGGGGGCGCTGCAAACAAAGTTGGTAAATAACGGACACCCTAGTATGCCTGTTCTTTATATTAATGTGTGTTATGTTTTAAGGACAAGCAACGCCTGTAAAAGTAAAAATTCCACACCCCCACGTCAAAAAATCGAAAATATTGCTCGGAAAAGCTGGTGTTATCAACGTTCTCCAAGAGGATACTCCTCCTCCACCTCCAAAATCGCCCGATAGAGACCCTTTCAACATCTCAAACGATATGTGAGCATTCGTTTAAAACCCAACAACAAATCATAAAACTTTTTTTTCTTCAGTTTTTACATGCCGAGGACGTCGGATTCCACGATGCGTTTGAAGGTGGGCGGTGCGAATTTGATTCAGCACTCCACTCCAGTGGTGGAGTTGCGCGCACCTTTCATACAGACGCACATGGGTCCCATGAGGTTGCGGAATTTCCACAGGCCGCCCATGAAAAGATTCTCGCACGGGCCTTTGGCTGAAGCAGCACCGCACCCAGTGCACCCCCTCATCAAACACATCAAGAAGAAAGCAAAAGTAAGTTAAACAATTTTTTTTAAACAAACGAAATATTTTTTTTCTTTTTAGCAAAGAGAGGCGGAAAGAATGGCTTCCGGCGGCGGAGACGTTTTCTTCATGAGGACAGCTGAAGATTTGACCGGAAAAGATGGCGACATTATTCTGGTGGAGTTCTGCGAGGAACATCCGCCTCTAATGAACCAGGTAATTTTTTTGTGTCAAACATTTTTTGTGCTGAACATTTTTATTTAAGGTCGGCATGTGCTCGAAAATCAAAAACTACTACAAAAGAAAAGCGGCCAAAGATTCGGGACCCCCGAGTTACAAATATGGGGAAACCGCCTACGCACATACATCGCCATTTTTGGGTATACTACACCCAGGTCAATCTATACAGGCTGTTGAAAATAACATGTACAGGTAAGATGTATGTTTTTTCCTAGCCCATCTTAAAATTATTAATGGACATTTGGACACAAATGAATTAAAAACTTAAATTTATATATAACGTATTTTCACTCTAAAGTTATACAATAGAGTGGGTCAAATATATTCTTTAAGGTGAAAAAATGTACTTAAAATTAAAAGGAACAAATATAATTGCATTGTTATTGTACTTCATTGTAATTTTTTAGCAACACTTATTTTAAAAGTAATTTGTTTTGATATCTGTTAAAAAATTAAACTGTCCATAAAAAAATACTTATCAATTATCATGGCAACATTTTTAAACCAGAGATAATTGCAAATTTATCTTAGAAATGTCTTTTTTTCAAAAAATTTACTTATTTTATTAGTAACAATTTTTTTTTCATTTCATTTTTTCTTGTAGTTCTAGAAATATCGCCATTTTATTTCAAAATTGTCATATTTAGGATAAAACTTACTTAATAAAAAAATAGTCCAATTTTGTCGGTAACATATCATTCTTCAATAAATTTACCACTATAGTATACTCTCTAAAAATTAATTGGTCAAAAACTACTAATTAAACATCATTTTTGACTAATTTTAATGGTGAAAAATAATTAATAATTAGTCAAATAATAGGTACTGGATGAAATATTCAAATAAGTAGATTTAAGTTAAAAAAAAAGTTATGACGGTTCTGGGTTAGAACTCGGGTCTCTCGGTTGTCAACCGGATGTCTAATCGCCGCGCTATGGCACTTTTATAAGTGAGTTATTTGTCTATAAATAACAATTTTGATGCGATAATCGGGAACTTTTTGGGAAATTAAGTTTACTTACAAAATATATCAAAAAATTTATTTTTACTAATAAAGTAAGTAAATTTTGTCAACAAAATTACATTTTATAACGACTTTTGTCGTAGAGATACAATTTTTTTAATATAAAAAATGCTAATTTTAAGGTAAAATCGCAATTAAATTTACTAGCAAAATTGACAAAAAAGATTTGGTCAACAAAATTAAAATACAATTTTTTTAATGAAAAAGGGTATTTCCATAGTAATAATAATATAAAAAAGGTATTGAACTCAATAAAAGCTCATGAATCGCGTAAATCCAAATCGGCAAATTCCAGTTGGCTTCCTAAGTTGATCCTTTAAGATTTTGGATGGAAGAAAATAGTAATAATATTTTGTGTAAAACTTGAATAGTGTGTTTATTGTATACTTTATTTTCAAAAATTTTGAAATTTTGAACTTTTTATCGAGTATTGAAACTCTTCCGTGTTTATTCTTAAAGTTAGCTTCTTAGCATTACAATGTACGAATATTTTAAAATTATAAATTACGTCGCAATTGTGCAAACATGCAAAAACCGATAAATCTATTTTTATATTTTAAGAGGATAATACCGATTTTTACTTATTTTGGTAAACTCTTCTGACTTAGCACAGCATTTTAAGTAAAAACGGAGACAACACAACAGCAGCAATATTCCCTTTTAATATTTCAGAATAAGTTAAAATGGATTTATCGGCTTTTGCATGTTTGCTTTATAATTAAACTATTTGACTTCTGATATACTTTTTGTTTTGTTAAATAACACATCTGATTTTTTGTCAAGGTGTGGGGTAAGGTTTCGCGAAAATACCCAAAAATCTTTACTTTAAAAATGAGTTTGGTTAAAAAAATGTCAATTTTAAGGTAAAATCGAAATGAAGTTTATCAACAAAATTTACAAAATTGTTTACTTATTATAAGTAAATTTGGTCAAAAAATTACAATTTTAGGAAAAATCGAGATTATCGTAAGTAATATCATAAGGGCATCTAATATTTTTCACAGGAAAAATTAGATGCCCGAATAGTATTTGACATGAATATTTCATGAGTAACAGTTATTCTGCATACACATAGCTTACAAAACATACTACCTATTATACATGAATACATAATAAATATGTAGGTATTAATTTGAAAACTGAAAAATAGGTAATTTATTTAATCACAAAATACTACAAACTTAATTATTTATGGTACATTTCAAATATAAATTGCAATTTTTGGTGACAACAGCTGTCAAGTTTTGCCGCATGTAAACTCGAAAAAACTGCTGACAGGTGCTGTCATACAGTACATTTGTAATTCAAAATTGCGCGTTTGTGATTGGTGGAAATTAAGACGAGGGAAATAGTCTGCTTTATTAAAATATTTACGTCAAAATTGATAGGGGCCTTTAATGTAGATGATTAAATTTCCTAACAAATGGCATGAAACAAATTTATTTTGTTACTTTCAATTTTAAGCGCATTTAGCGAGCCTAGGATGTTGACCATAATTTGTTTTAACTCAAAGAATAATAGTTTTGCTATCTCCAAATTCATTTCGAAGAAAGCAGATATTCGACGACTTAAAAGAGAGTGGGGATATTTTCAACGGCGACGCGTCGAGCATAATTTGTTTTTTAACAATAATTTATTAATGTTTATTGTAATAATGTTTTTAATTAAAACAATGCCTTTGTTAATGCAAACTCCAATAGAGCCTATTTAACAAAGAGACTCACTGAGGGTTATTTCTATATGTTTTTTTCGTATTTTAGAGCGCCCATTTATGAACATAAGATTCCAGAGACAGATTTCCTGATCATAAGAACTCGACAACAGTACTTTATAAGAGAAATTGATTCGCTATATGTTGCTGGACAGCAGTGTCCTCTGTATGAAGTACCAGGACCAAACTCAAAGAGGGCCAACAATTTTGTCAGGGACTTTCTACAGGTTATAAAAACACAACATAATAATAATATTTTTTACAAAAAATGTTTCTTAGGTTTTCATCTACAGACTGTTTTGGAGGAGCAGAGATAACCCGCGTCGAATAAAAATGGACGACATCAAGCGCGCCTTCCCATCTCACTCCGAAAGCAGCATACGTAAAAGACTGAAGTTGTGCGCGGATTTCAAAAGAACCGGCATGGACTCGAACTGGTGGGTCATCAAACCGGAATTCCGGTTACCGACCGAAGAGGAAATCCGGGCCATGGTGTCGCCTGAACAGTGTTGCGCCTATTTTAGCATGGTGGCGGCCGAACAAAGATTGAAGGTGAGTTTAAGAAATTTAAATTCTCGGTTTTTACAATTTTTTCACATAATTAAAAAAAAATAGTCCAATTTTAGACAGTTCTAGGACACTTTTTAAGAGATTTTGGTCCATTTTAAAAATGGTTTTAAGGTATTTTTATGATTGATGATTTGTATTTTAAATAATTTACATACAAATACAAGAATTATTTAGCATTACATTTTTATTACACTCATAGACAAACATATTGCAAATTTTATTTTAGGTCTTTATTTTTTTTAACACTTGGTACATTGGAGTGTTTCACTTAAGCATATAAATTGCTAGATATGTAAAACACTCAAATACAACAGAAATCACAAATTAATTTAAACTTTTATTTTTGAAGCTGTTATTTTTAAAATTGTCACATTTAGCTGCTGTTATTTTGACATCTGTCATTTTTTAAATGTAATTTTCGAAATATGGCATTTTTAAGATGTAATTTTTGGAATTGTCATTTTTGACATTTGTCATTTTTGACATTTGTCATTTTGGACATTTGTCATTTTTGACATTTGTCATTTTTGATATTTGTCATTTTTGACATTTGTCATTTTTGACATTTGTCATTTTTGACATCTGTCATTTTTGACATCTGTCATTTTTGACATCTGTCATTTATGACAGGTGTGATTTTTGACATCTGTCATTCTTGACATCTGTCATTTTTGACATCTGTCATTCTTGACATCTGTCATTCCTGACATCTGTCATTCTTGACATCTGTCATTCTTGATATCTGTCATTTTTGAAGTTGTATCTACCATTTTTGACACCTGCCATTTTGGACAGTTTTGGCTTCTGTCATTTTTTGAGAGTTTTAACATCTGTTATTTTTGACATCTTTGACAGGGGTCAGTTCATCTGTCACAGATATCTAAAATTGGCTACACAGCTTTGGACAATTCAACTCGTGTTTTGTTTAATTGACAATCATTATGTTACCCGGTTTTAAATAAATTAAATCAGGGGTCTAATATCAAACCCAGCAAAGTCCATTTGTGTAACATTTTAAGAAACAAAAAAATACCTTAGATATGGAGAACAAGGGCATTATGTGATTTGATCACTAATTGGTTTTAAATAAATGAAATGTAAAATCAGTTTCTAATTATCCAATTTTGTTTGAATTGCGCAGTTTTACCCAAAACGTATCATTTTTGACATTTGTTATTTTCAACATGCCCTTTTTTGATAATGGTCATTTTTAAAAGGTCATTTTCGAGATCTGTTATTTTTGACAGATAACTAAACTGGCAGATATCAAAAGTAAAAGGTGACAGATCAAAAATAAGCTAAGGCAGATGTGAAAAATGAAGTAATAATGACAAGTTAAAAGGTTTCAAATAATAATAATATTAATAGTATAATATTAAACGAGAAATAATGCAGGCTATTAATCACAAGAATGAGGTGACGTAATTTATCCGAGTAAATAATGCGCATTATTTCGAGTGTAATACTATGCTTTTTCTAGTACAATTAAGTAATTTTCATTTAAAAAATTTTATTATAATCTCACTTTTTCCCGATTTTAAAGGTCATTATAGTCGCCCCTCGTATATATAAACAAATCTGACATCTGTTAACCTTACTTTTTCCCAATTTAAATCCCGATTGGTTAAAATAACAGTGAATATTAAAAGCCAATCACTAATGCCTAACAATAAGTTCAATATTCCTGTTTTTAGGCCGAGCGGTTATATACCCAAATACCTTATTTACGAAAAAACCCAAATAATTTCAATAATATGTAATAGGAGTAGAAAAATAATAAATCAGTATTGTAAATTTCCAAAATTTTAAAACTGTTTAACTATTTATTAATTTTGAACTACTGTGCGAATTTGTCCTACCATTTTTTTAATTCGTGCAACTGTTCTTTTTGGCTTCCGTAACGTAAGTTTTGGTTTACCCCAACCGCAAAAAAGTGCAACTTTAAAAATAAAGACCTAAAATAAAATATGCAATATTTTTGTCCGTGACTGTGATATCTCTTAATCCTAGGACGCTGGTTACGGCGAAAAATTCCTCTTCACGCCGGCAGAAGACGACGACGAGGAAATGCAAGGGAAAATGGACGACGAGGTGAAAGTGGCCCCGTGGAACACGACGCGCGCCTACATACAGGCCATGAAAAGCAAATGCCTGCTGCAGCTGACGGGTCCGGCGGACCCTACGGGCTGCGGCGAAGGCTTCAGCTACGTCCGAGTGCCGAACAAACCGACGCAAACCAAGGAGGAGCAGGAGTCGCAGCCGAAAAGGACCGTGACCGGCACGGATGCCGACTTGAGGAGGCTCTCGTTGAACAACGCCAAAGCGCTGCTCAGGAAGTTCGGAGTGCCCGAGGAGGAGATCAAGAAGCTGTCGCGTTGGGAGGTTATAGACGTCGTCCGCACGCTCTCAACGGAAAAAGCCAAAGCAGGTGAGGAAGGAATGGACAAGTTCTCCAGGGGAAATCGCTTCTCCATCGCCGAACACCAAGAGCGGTACAAGGAAGATTGCCAGAGGATCTTCGATCTTCAGAACCGCGTGCTCGGCAGTGGTGAAACGTTGAGTACCGATGAAGGTGAATCCTCTGAAGACGAGAGCGATGAGGACATTGAAGAGATGGGCAAAAATATCGAGAATATGTTGAGTAACAAAAAGACCAGCACTCAGGTATGTATTTTTGACTTTTTATTATGTTATTTTTTTATTTTGTTTTTTGTTTAGTTGTCTTTGGAGAGGGAAGAACAAGAAAGGCAAGAGTTGAGGAAAATGATTATGGAGGGAGAAGATAAAAAGGGCAAGGACAAAAAGAAAGATGATGATGAGCAAGATTCTAGTTCGTATGCCCAACAAGGTAGGAAAAACTTTTTTATTTTTTAATTTTCATACAGTTTTAAAAAATAAATAAATATAAAATTTTGTTAACAAAACAACAAATTTAATTTGTTAATTAACATAATCAAATTTCAAAATTTCAAAACGCCCATTCCGTACATTTTTACATTACACTAATACTAATTACTTTATTATCTAAATACAAAAGTATTAAATAGTTTCTTGACGCCAATATTGCAAAAGATTATATGAACGTTTGTACGGACCTTTTGATTTCACCGTAGTGGTGAAGTTAACTAGATTTGACTGATAAAGCGTTAAACATTTTGCGTAGTGCCCATAAAACATTATCTTCTCTTTTACTGTGAAAAAACTGCTTCTATATCGATTGTTAGTCTATTTTTAAGGGATAAGTATTGATTTACACGGCAAAATATCAAGGAGTAGTCGGATTCTCCTAAAAATTTTGGGGTCGCTGATAACGAATCTAGAATCAGAATTTCAAAATTCAAAATAGATCCAAAATGGCGGACATATTTGTCAAAAAATTGACGGAATAAATTGAAAATCATCATACAGGAGTTTTTGTGGTCGCTGATAATGAATCTGGAATCAGAATTTCAAAATTCAAAATTGTGGACATTTTTACCCGTAAGAGGTTCTCATATTTTTATAAACACAACACAAATAACCACAATTCAAATTTGACATTAACACACTACAATGCGCATGCGGAGTTGTTTTAACGGACCCACAAGAGGTGGGTTAAATATGTAAAATCGGTGTTAAATATCTTAGTAGTCACGAACGATTTACGCAAGTGAAAGTCTAGACACCGCTGTTGTAATAAACGTTTTGAGTGAATCGAGTAAAAGTCATGAACACAACCCAGAAATAAAAAAAATCTTATATTTTGTAAAGCAAAAACACAGATACGCGCGCGACATAGGCTTAAAATCGCGAGGTTTTTTACCGCAACCGTGCCTGAGCGCCCAAGAACATGTAGTTTTAAAGAGCAGGGGGCGAGTTGGGACAGATAGATTATTGATGGCTTGATAGACAAAACTCTAAGCTATTCAACGGATCTTGAACTGATGCCTTACAATTCATTACTATTTTTGTAGCTCCATTGTTCTAAAAGCTCGATTCAAAGTTTGCCATTTTAACAGACCGATCTTGTCGTTTACAATAACCCGTTGTACAAGCAAAATCTACGAAAAACAAATACATATCTGAATTTTACATACCTTGAAGATCACCCTTCATCAAACCGCATAACAATCGGACACACCAAACACAAGTTATTCACTTTTAAACAATAAACAATTTACCGCAGCGATCGCGTGTAAAGTACCTTCAACTGAAAGCGTCAAGTTTAAAATATACGAATTTTATATATATTTTTTTCAAAACAGGAAGGAGACAAGTATTAATTACCCATCTAACTCAAAATTTACCTGAAAAAGTAATGTAAATTTTTGTGGTTTTGCCGAGAATTGAAACACTGCGCCGGTAGGTTCCCAAGTTAGAAATTCTAACGGGAATTCCAATAAATACAACTGTCACTTTTTGTACTTTAACATTTACCCTGTAAGAACTTTTAATACTTTTTGATAATATTTTGCAATTATAGTAATAAAAAAATCAGAGGATAAAATATTTTCTTAATATAATCATAATTTGAAGTTATTTTAATATTTTAAAGTATCAAGTTTAATTAAAATAATAATGGGCAATGTTAATGGTGAAAATTACGTCAACAATGTTTTTTGGGATGGTTACTTTATTTTCGTATAGATGTCGGTTTATACAAATATTTAATTTAAATAATTTTTTAGATATTTAGTATTTGTCGTAGAAAAAGTACATAATAGACTATTAAATATTTAAAACTAATTTTTTATTTAATTAATATTTAAGAATGTCAAAATAATTTTTAGGGTTTAACATTCCCTTTTGATATTTTTGATAATTCCCATAAAAAACCCCAAACGCACAAATAAATTCAAATTTGGCGCGCACAATTCTACGCGAAATCACACCATTCGCGTTGCGCAGATGAGTCACAACTGTCAGTTGATCTTTAGCCGTCCGACAGATAAGACCACCATGTCGCTTTTAACAATCCACTACGACCCCGATGAATACGAATGTACGTTGTTTTTTTAGTATTTTGTGAGATTGAACATGTGCGGAATGTTTCTTGGTGTTGTTATAAGTTGTACTTGATTTTATATTTTGCACTTTTATCTGCCATGTAACATGGACCATGTGACATGGGCCATGTTTGATACGTTCGATATAATTTGAAATTATATCAAATATCAAACATGACATACGAGATAACTCCTGTTTTTTACATACCTGGTACGTTTTTTATTGCAGTTTTTCAGAGCTGCCATTGTACTAATTCTACCATATTTTGTATATTTTTATCATGATATTACAATAGTAGTCATGACCATGATAATTATGACATGAGCCGAAGGCTAATGTGATAATGAGTGCTAGCAGCTAGTGTCTTAATAGGCCATTAAATGGGAGTGGCATACGATATTTTTTTTCTACTATCATAATAAAGTAGAAAAATTAACACTCAATTTTACATTCACTATGTTCACTAACTTTAACTTGAATAAAATCAAAGTTTAAATTTTTTTATGTAACTTGTCAAAGTTGATAAATATTATCTAAATAGTATCTCCCTTATCTTTAGCACATAATTGGTGAAATTAGGAAAAAGTTGCGCAATTTTACTTTGATTAATAATCCAAAAAGAAACTGTAAAAGACGAGAATTTGTAGGTAATTCTAATTCAGACATCGACAATTTTTCAAGAATAATTTAAATCTGCCAAAATCTTTTCGCTGGCTTTAAATTTTTTTTTTTAATTTCAACATTGAAAAATTGGTTCTTAGGCACCTTTAGAAAGCACTAACCGAATTTGAGGTCTTAATATTAATATGAAGATCCTCCTCAGTTTTCCATTTTTTCTTTAGTCCCTTATAAAAATACCATATTTCATTATTAATCAAATCTTTATAAATTTTTTTGTAGGAAATGAAATGCTCCACAAAAAAGGACTACTGTATTTAAGGGATTACTCTAACCATTTAAAATATATTTAAGGTCAAAGTTTGAGGAATTAAAAAAAAATTAATAAAATAATTATTGTCAAATGAGTTTGACATATTTTTGTAGTAAATTTAACGCTCTACAAAAAATGTGTTTAATTGATTACTCTAACCGTTGAGAAGGTATTTGTATCCGAATCATGTCCCGAACTTAATAGGGGGAATTGACAAAACCTGCTCACTAAATCGCACAAATTAGGTTTTCTTTTTTCACCACCAGCAGCGCTGATATCATTGGGTGAAGTTCAGGCTCCTCGTGTAGGCTTTATTATCCGAATAGTCCAGTGTATTAAGTTTTATTATTAAAACTTATATGGGAGAACAATTTTTTTGCAATCTTCAGGAAGCTTAAATTATAGTTTTTAAACATTAACCCCTTGCAGCTTTTTCGCCATCTTGGATTAAGGAGTAAATTCGCGAAGAACAGTTTTTTTTATTTTATAGAAAAAAACAGCCCATACTATTTTTTACAAGAAAAATCAGTTCTATAAATTTGTATACTTCATGAATATTTATTTGCATATATAACGAGTAATAATTACACTAGGCAACAAATTTTAACTTAAAAAGGTCCTGGTTAAAAATAGAATTTTTCGATTGTTTATGACTGAAATAGATCCAAAATGTTTAAAAAAAAAATTTCTGAAGTCGTAAATAAAAAATAGGAGCACAGTATTTTGGTACCATTTATTGCATAGATACCTACACCATTTGAAAATTTTAGGATGACGTTACTTTTAACTTATATTTCAGCATTCCATGAACAACATATCTGTATATATTGTCAAAATTTAAGCGATGTGGCTCCCGTCCCGAGGCGGGACTTAAGTTCAGTCCCGATTGACGTCACACACTGTAAATCCGTTTTTATTCCCCGAGATTTTATAATTTGTGTCAAGCTCGATGGCTTAGATGGTAGGGCGGTCGCTTGGCATGCGAGAGGTACCGGGTTCGATCCCACTAGAAGTTGTCAAACTTTTTTTATTTTTTTTATTTTATAAATTTGTTGTTTCTTTGTTAAAAAGTGTTTTATTTTTATCGTAACATAAATTTGCCCATTTTAGTTGGGTTTTTTGCTCAATGGGGCGGGGGGGGGCCCAATGGGGCGGGGTCGGTTGGGTTGTGTTGTTGAGTTTGGGTTGGTTTGGTTTTATGACGTAACTAAAGTGCCCTTAACATGTATACAGGTACAATTTATTATTATTATTATTTTATTATAACATAACAAATCTTAAAATTATGACGTCAATCGGGACTGAACTTAAGTCCCGCCTCGGGACGGGAGCCACAGCGAAATTTAAGGCATATTTTTTTATGTTTACTGTTTTTTATCGTTCAAATTATTTTGTTTACTTATTTTTATCGTTATTATTTAACAATTTTTCTTTGTATCGTGGTCCTGCCCGTATCGTCTAAACGAGACTTCGGAAAATTTTTTGGGCGCCGGATTTGCGTCGAGCAGGTCAAAATCTATAGGACTGAGCTATTTTTATTACCGACCTTTTTTTATTGTTTACTAGTGTTATTTAAGTTCGAATTCACAAATGTCCCGAGTGTTTTTTTACATTTGGCATCTATCTTTCTATCCTTCTTTCAGGTCGCGTGTTAAAAATCATCCGCACCTTCAAAAACCACGAGGGTAAGGAGTACACTCGCGTGGAAATAGTGCGTAAGCCGGCCGTGATCGATGCGTACGTGAAAATACGCACCACGAAGGATGATTCGTTTATACGGCAGTTCGCCACGCTGGACGACGCTCAAAAGGAAGAGATGAAACGAGAGAAACGTCGAATCCAGGAGCAGCTGAGAAGGATCAAGAGGAATCAGGAGAAGGAGCGGATGAGCATCGGGCAGTCGTCCAGTTTCATGAATACCAGTTCCAACGACAAGATGGGCAATTTGAGTGACGGAGGTGAGTAATGGGGTAGTTAAATTTTTTCTGACCTATACTTTTTATGGTTTTATTCAAGGCGTTTTGTAATATTAAACATTTCTGTGAAATCAGAATTTCAATTGAGTTTACCGTTTTCGAGATATTTACAAAAAATATAAATTTTTATGACGTCACAAACCTCGCCATGTGACCAACATTCTAAGATTTCTATTGGTTGAAAATTATCCTGTTGTCAAGTTTTCTTGTTAATGATTTCATTCGGTTATGTCAGAAAAAACCCGAAGAGGTTATGTACAAATACTGTCACTGTCAGTTGAGTGAAAGATGGTCACCAAATTCATTAAGTACCTATCTTCCTTATTACGAGGTATCATATTACTGTTTGATATTTTAGAGTCCAAGATATATCTAAAAGAATATAAAGAACTAGGCATTATACTAATGAAATGCATTTACGACAAAATATGATTATAATTATAGGTACTTACTTTATTTGTTTAAAAGCTTGTTCAATGTAACCAACCATTCCACAAGATTCCTCTGCTTTGGAGTCCGTTATTAATAAATCACTTATCTAATATCAATTACAAATAACATAACAATAACATTGATTTTCAATAATCTAAATTTAAAAAGAACATAGTCCGAAAAAAAAGAAACGTCAAAAAATCAATTCTTCTTCTTCTTCTCAACTAAAATTATAGATCAAGTGCTTTTAAAACTAAAATATTATAACGTGGCGCCATCTATCGTAAGAATCTTAAACTAAACACACTGGCAACCATAGAAAAAGCTGGCAACGTTGTCAATAGCCTAGTGACGTAATTAGGAGATTTTTTTTGTAAATATCTCGAAAACGGTAAACTCAATTGAAATTCCGATTTCACAGACATGTTTAAAATTACAAAACGCCTTGAATAAAACCATAAAAAGTATAGGTCAGAAAAAATTTAACTACCCCATTGTATTGAAAATTGGGTTTTTGGAATTATTTTTTTTTGTTTTTTAGCGTCCTCTTCCACACAACCAACCACGCCTTCTTCTAGCAAGCCAATCACTTCCTCGCCTACAAAATCCAAAAGGAAGGTGAAGCTTAAGCCGGACTTGAAGCTGAAATGCGGGGCTTGTGGAAATGTTGGCCATATGAGGTAAATTCAAATTTTTTAAATATTTTTTTCTTAAAACTTATTTCTTAGGACCAATAAAGCCTGTCCATTATACAACAATTCCGGCTCAAACCAGACAATGAATGCTACACTCAACGAAGACCAGGAAGAAGATTTAGAAAAATCGCTCAACACAGATGATGAAGATCTTGTGAATGTGGATGGTACCAAAGTCAAATTATCTGGAAAATTAATCAAGGTATGGAAAGAAAGCGCCTTATTATTTTTCTTAATTATTATTTCTCTTTATTTGTAAATGTTTTAAATGTAAAAGGAAATTCAAGTAGGTTTTTTAAAATTATGGAATATATAATTTTTTCTAATTTTATTTATGTCTGACATAATAATAATTAAATAAAGTTATGTCAAGCATAAATTTAATTCAAATTTAATGGAAACAGATAGGAAAAATAGCGATTTATTATTATGTCTAGGCATAATAATAATTATTTTTTATGATACATTTTAATTTGATACGCATTTTTTTTTTAACATTTATTATGTTAGTTGAATTAATATTTGCATCATTTAAATTTGGTCCATTTTTATTTCTATATTTTTTACTTTGAAATTTTTATTGGAATTATTGTGAGACTAAAATCATTGTTGGACATTTTTTTTAAAACAAGATTTTTAAACTATATTTTTAAATTATTTTTTAATTATCAAATTCTTATTTATAACACGACAATCATTTTTATTTTACAATTAAATTTATGTGTACACATAATTTTAATTTTAATTCTAATAAAAATGATTTGTGTACACATAAAATTATATAATTAATTTTATGTCTACACATAACATTAATTTGGCGCTTTGGGAATGCGGCAGGAAGTGGCAACTGCAGTAGTTCAAATGCATAGTAGGTATTTATGCGTAAATTATTTACTTATACTTTGGCGAATATGCGGAGATATTCGGGTTTTGTTCTTCGGGGTTTTCTATGGTTTGAAGCGTACACATCGCTTTGTATATAATAATATCACAAAACTAGAAGGTTCTAGTTTTATAATATATTTATATGACGCAGATAAATTAAACATACCTACAGAGCTGCAAGCTCTCAGAAAACTTAAATCGTTTTTTTGATTTAAATCGTTTTAATGACTTAAGTCATTTCTCTAAAACTGACTTAAGACTTAAAATTTAAGTAATTTTCAAAATGATTTGTGACTTAAATATTTTTTTTAAAATAAAAAAAACTTAAGTCATTAATAAAGGGCTTAAATCAGTACATACGATTTCAGTCAGATAGAAACGATTTAAGTCAAAAAAAGATTTAAGTATTTTTAAAAAAGATTTAAGTCTTTTTAGAAAATATTTAAGTCAGATTTTTCATATATTTTTTTATAAATTTTTAACAGCAGCATTTTATTTTGAACTGCCATGGGTTCACGCGGCAGCAGATCAAAAACTCCTTTAATTTCCTACCTACAATTGCTACCGCTAGTGGATAAAAAAACCGCCGCGGTAAAGTTAGCTTTTCGGAACCGTTTGACGGCTACATTAAAAAATGTCCTGTCAAAAATGAATTAAAAAAAGTGGGGATTTATAATTTTGTTATTTTGTTTGCCAACATTCGTCGTGTTCGTGCGTAGTTAGGTCTAATTTGTGAATATTAGTGCAAAGTGGAAACAATCAGTCGTGAGCAGTCGTACATCTTGAGCGGTCGTGAATCGAGAGTTTGGAACTTCCCATCATTACTCCCTTAAGGGGGGAATATTTTTTTTCTAGATGGATGTTGAACCAGCTAACAAAAGTTAACAAAACAACAAGTTATCAGTTTTTGAAATACTTCAACTTTTATCTATTTTAACAGAGTTTGAATCTATTACTGTTTAGAAGTTACCCATTTATGTATATAAAAAAGTAGCCTCCCTGTATGTCTACTCTACTAAAAAAGGTGGTTTAAGTTTTTATTTTTATTGTCTACTATATACTCAAAAAATGTGTTTTAAGTTTTTATTTTATTTGTAAGTGTTCTGAAAATAAATCGTTTTAAATTCTTAACATAATGGTTTATTATCATCTGTATTATATTATATCTACAATAAATTAATAATATCAGTATCATTAATACCATAAAATTATTATTAACATTTAAAAAATCGTTGTATTGACTTAAGGGTAATTATTTTGATTTAAATCACAATTTTTGATTTAAGTCATTTTATTGACTTAACTCTTAGATCACGATTTAAATAAAAAATATAGACTTAAGTCATAAAAACGACTTACTAAAGGAATTAAGTCATAAGATGACTTAAATCACTTAATATTGATTTAAGAATTTGCGAAAATGACTTGACTTGAAAGAAAATGATTTAATTCAAAGACTTAATACTTAAATCATTTGAACTTTATCTTAGAATTGACTTAAGATTTAAATCATTTAGATTTTAGAATTGACTTAAGACTTAAGATTTAAGTCTTTTTAAAACTGACTTGTTGCAGGTATGATACCTACCATTTGAACTACATCAGTTGCCACTTTCGGCCATAGAAAAAGGATATTACTAATTTTATGTGTAAAACGGCGAGCAGAGGATTTTTTATTGACCATAGTTTATCGACAAATTTCAAATTTTATTTAAAAAATCCAAATCATACAGATTTTATATCATTTTGAAAAAAAATTAAAATGGTATAAAATCTGTATAATTTGTTTTTTTTAAATGAAATTTGAAATTTGTCGATAAAATATGGTATTAATAAATTGCACCAATTAAATTTATATTATATTTATTGGCAATTTAAATTCTGTCATTTTAAACTCATATAAATTTGGTGTGGGTCCCATATCTAATAATTGAGATATCGGTATACCCAAAATCCACCAGCCGCCACTGTTAGATACTTAAAGTATATAAGATACTTTATCTTAGATACTTTTTAGAAAGTATCTTTAACTTAATTATAATTAAGTATACTTTGTAAAAGTATCTTGTAACTTGTATCTAAAAAGTATCTAAATGAATTGGTAAAGTAACTAAGATACATTTAAGTTACTTAGATACTTTAAAGTAACTAAGATACTTTTTAAAGTAACTTAGATACTTTCTTACAGAAAATTGGGGGAATTCCAGAATGATTCAAAGTAATTACCTAACCTAAAACTTGTTGAATTTTCATAATTTTATAGTTTTTATTCATACTTAAAAGTAACTTAGCTACTCAAAAGAATCTTAGTTACTTAGATGTATTTATTTATTTATTTATTTTAAATTATGGGACATCTAAAGCAGTCTTATTTAGACTGATGCCAGAGCCCTTTTACATTATATTTTCCTATATAGATGATAAAAATTTATCTTAGATACTTTCCGATAGTATCTTAGATACCTTCTAAATTATCTTGTAACTAAAGATACTTTCAACTCAAAGTATCTAGTTACCCGAGGTAACTAAGTTATTTTGTTTGAAGTATCCTATAAAAGTAACTAGATACTTTTCAGAAGTATCTTTCCCAGCTCTGCACGCCGTTTTACTTTTTAATTGTACAAGAAATATTAAGTTAAATAATAATGAGTCACAAATATGTTGCACACAGAAAAATTACATTAAATAAATAATAACTTTAAGTATAATTATATAATCAGAGCTGGGAGTATCTTGAAAAAAAAGATACTTAAAAGTAACTTAAATACTTAAAGTATCTAAGATACTTTATCTTTGATACTTTTTATATTGGACAGAAAGTCTATAACTTAGATTCTTTGAAAAAGTATCTTGTAACTTTTATCTAAAAAAGTATCTTAAAGTAACTAACATACCACGGTGCTGTTCTGAGAGGTGATTTTTGGACTTTCTGTGAAACCTAATTTTTTTTATATTCTTGTTAATTAGGTCATAACTAAAATTTTAAGAGCAAAATAAAAAAAATTTGACGGTTTGAATTGTTTTAATTGGCTGTTTATTAAAAATATTATGCACTCTTTCAATTATCCAATTAAAACTAGCGATTTAATTTAAATATTTAATATTTGCATAAATAAAAAAAGGTTTTTACATTTTTTTTTTTATATATTTTACTGTTTTGTTGCAATAAACGTTCAAACTTTTAATCTAACCTTTGACGTATACATTTATGTTCCCTTAATTAATATATCCTTAAAGGTTGCCATTAAACTTAGATCTATTAAAAATTTATTTGACGTTTGAATTGTCATTTTCAGTATACGTATTCTATAATTTTTGTTTAGTTTTTTAAAGTGATTTTTATAAACAAAAATGAAAAATTGTAGTAAAAGTTACGAAGAAATTCATGAAATTTAACTATGGACCGGTTTATTCATCTTGACAATATCTAGTATCCAAAGAAATTATTCGTCAAATAAATCAAAAATGAATAAATCGGCCCTAAATAAAATGTGGCACCCTTAGAATTATTGTTTAATAAATGTATACTATACATTTAACCTTAAATTAAAACTTTAAACGTGTATTACAACATAACAGTAAAAGATATAAAAAAGTATAGACCTTTTTTTAGGAAATTAACTAATCTTTAATCTGATTTAAAAAGTTATGATAATATTTAAATAAAATCGCAAGTTTTAATTGGAGAATTGAAAGTGTGCATACATATTTTTAATAAACATCCAATTAAAACAAAATTAACCGTCAAATTTTTTTTATTTTGCTCTTAAAATTTTAGTTATGACCTAATTAACAAGAATATAAAAAAAATTAGGTTTCACAGAAAGTCCAAAAATCACCTCTCAGAACAGCACCGTGATACATTTAAGTAACTTAGACACTTTAAAGTAACTAAGATACTTTTTAACGTAACTTACTTTTCAGTGTAACTTAGATACCTTCTTAGAGAAAATTGGGAAATTGGAAAAAGTAACTTAGTAACTCAAAAGTATCTTATTTACTTAAAAACATCTTAGTTACTCAAAATTATCTTAGATACTTTCATTTAGTATCTTAGATACTTTCAACTCAAAGTATCTAGTTACCTGAGGTAACTAAGTTATTTTGTTTAAAGTGTCTTAGAAAAGTAACTAGATACTTTTCAGAAGTAACTTTCCCAGTATAATTCTAATTAATGTATTATTTTGAAGGTATTATTTTCCAGTGCAAATTATTTTTTCAAGTATTAATATTTAACTTAATATTTCTTTCCCGATTAAAAAGTGAAACAGAGTGCCATATATTTTCCTATTTTTTTAGCATGCCGAAGAAATGAAGAGACGTTCTCTTCTATTGAAGATGCCGAAGGACGCGATGGGCTCAAAGAAGCGCAGACGTGGCGTGTCGGAGCTGCACTGCGACTATCTGAAGAAAAACAACAGGACCGTGAACCGCAGGAGAACCGATCCGGTGGTCGTTTTGTCCACCATCTTGGAAAACATACTCAACGAGATGCGAGACATGCCCGACGTGCAACCGTTTTTGTTCCCGGTGAATCCCAAGGTAAGGAACGAAAATCTTGTTTTGTTTTTTTTGTTTCATTTTTTATTTTAGCTCGTTCTGGACTATCACAAAATCGTGACGAGACCTATGGATCTGCAAACTATACGAGAAAATTTGAGGCAGAAAAAATACCAAAGCAGGGAAGAATTTTTGGCTGATGTTAACCAGATCGTCGAGAATTCAGTTCTATACAACGGTAGGAATTTTACACTTACTCTATTGACTACTGCCTAATATCGTTTCGGAATTATCCAATGAAAATTTTTTTTATCATGATGGCTCTGAGCTAAAGAGCTTTAAGTGAAAAAATTTGTAAATGGAGTAAACAGTATTTACTAAATACAGTTTAGCTCTGAGGTACTGATTATACTTTTTGATGTGAAATTTCTTTGCGAACGGGGTAAACCAAAACTTGCTTGCTTCGTATTCGCCGTATTCGAAGAACAAAATTCGCACAGTAGCATAAACTTAAAAATGGTAGGACAAATCAGCACCTAAAATTAAATAATAGTGGTTAAAAATTATAAAATTGTTAAAAAAATTCGCATGGTGGTTAAAATTTACACAGTAGCATAAATTAAAAAATTTGTAGGACAAATTCACAATTCAAAATTTGTTAAGAAAATTCGCACATTAGTATAGGTTAATACTCGTATATAAAATGGTAGATAAATTTTCAAAATAACATTTTGTTTTTTTTAGATTCGCATGGTAGCATACATTTAAAAAATGGTAGGAAAAATTCGCACAGTACAATAAAGTCGCACAGTAGTGGTATAAATATAAAAATTGGTAGAAAAAATGTTTTAATTTTTTTTAATTCGCACATTAAAATGGCAGGATAAATTAGCACTGTGATTCAAAATTAAAAAAAATTGCACAGTAGAATAATATAAAATATGGTAGAACAATTTTTCAAAATTAACAAACATTTTTTTTTAATTCGCACTGTAGCATAAGTTTAAAAATTGGTAGAACAATTTCGCACAGTAGTTCAAAATTGGTTGAAAAAATTCGCACATTGGTATAAATATAAAAAGTGGTAAACAAATGTATTAAATTTTCAAAATAACATTTTTTTACCTTTTTTTTTAATTCGCACAATAGTTAAAAATTAAAAAATTGTAAAAAATTAAAAAATAGTGAAAGGGCAATTAACGTTACTCGGTAATTTTTGTTCCGCCAGTAAAAACCACAAGTTATTAAATTAATATTTTATTATATTTTTATTGTGCTTATAAGCTTATTACAAGCATAATAAACAATATTTTAAAACAAATTTTATAACGTGTAGTTTTTCTTCACAATTTTTACCTGTGACGGGCGGGACAAAAATCCCCGAGTATCGTAAAACAAATTTTCAAAATTAACAATTTTTTAATTTTTTTTAAATTCGCACACTAGCATAAATTTATAAAATAATAGGACACTTTTGAACAGTACTTCAAAATTTTAAAATTGTTGAACAAATGCACAGATTAGTATAAAATGTATACTATACATTTAAAAAATTGTAGACAAATTTACTAAATTTTCAAATTCTACAACTTTTTTAATTCGCAGAGTAGTTCAAAATTAAAATATTGTTTAAAAAGCTTTAAAAAATGGTAGGACAAATTCGCACAGTAGTATAATTTAAAAAATGGTGAAACGATTTTTAAAATTAAAGGGGCAAGTAGATGAAGGGGTTAAGTAACATTTTTAATAATAAAAGCTTTTTATTAAAAGGCAAAAATACTGTAACTTAAATTCCAAATTTTACATTCACAATATTTTTTGTTTAAACATGTTACATGTACAGTTGTATTCATTAAAAAAGCGTACAAGAATTAGAATGAGAGAAAACTGTCAACATTATTGCGTAAAACCGGCTTTCCACTGACTTAAGTCACTATAACTGACAGTAGAAAATAAAAATGCCTTGTCAGTTAAAAAGGCTCAAATAGTATCAAGAATCGAAGAAGAATGGTCAATTCGTACTGTGGTATAATAGAAATAAAAAATCTATATTAAAAATTAAGCAACGCTGGGAACAGGAAGATTTACTAAACCAAAAAGTTGGTTCAGGTCGTCCCAAAATATCCACTCCTGAACAGGATGCTGCTTTTTTGAGATATCTGAGGATTTATGGGAAACTATACAACTATACTATACCTACTATACTGCTGGGAAGATATTAATCCAAATATTGTATTAAATTTAATTCAGTTCATCCCAAATAGATTGGCTCAAGTAATAGAAAAACAGGGATGCATGACTAAATATTAAATTTTTTTTAATGTTTGTTTTTTCATTATTAAAAGGTAATAATTTTTGTAATATTATTTAATTAACCTACGACGTCAATGCTCTTTATAACCTATAATAATTATTTTAATGACTTATGTCAGTGATAAGCCGGTTTTAAGCAATAATATTATTTTGACAGTTTTCTCTCATTTTAATTCTTGTACGCTTTTTTATTGAATACAACTGTACATTTAAATTAGAAAAGGCAATATTGTACATAATTGCAAACAAAAATAAATTTGGTATTGTAATTAAAATATTTTTTTCCTTGTTATAAAAATTGTCACCCCTTCATTCAACATTTTCAAAATTTTGTTTTTTTTTTAATTTCGCACCGTAGCATAAATTTAAAAATGGTGGGGACAAAGTTTCCAAAGATTTTAAATTCATTTTAAAAATGGTAGGACAAATTCGCAAAGTAGTTTAAAATCTAATAAAATATGGAATAATTAGCACAGCATAAATTTAAAAAAGGTAGCAGAAATTGACAGCTTGAATTTTTTAAAAAAATTTTAAATGTATCCCGGTGGATTATTATATAATAATTATATAATAATGATACAATAATTGACGGCCAGGTTTGCGAGGTGCATACATTTTCTTCAAGTTTTTTTATGCCCCAGTATCTAATTTACAGGATGCTCTACTACCTACGAAAATATATTTTTTGTTTTTTTCGGAATTGAAAAAAATATTTTCGTACATTTTATTGAATGATATTTTAAGACACTGTGTGTGTACATTGTGTTTTTATCTTTATTTACATAACATTTTTTTAAATCCCCAGAAACGCGTTATATTGGAAAAATTTTCCCGAAATCCCCAGACACATAAATAGATCTAGGGAAAAATTCCCAGGGAAAATACAACAGTATAAATATAAAAAATGGTAGGACAAACTTTTAAAATTTGCAAAATATTTAACAACTTTAACATTTAAAGCTTGAAAGCCCAGAAAAAAACTTCAAATAAGCTTAAAACCTTAAAAAAAGCTTCAGTCTTTGGGCTGGGACACATTGTTTCACATTTCTTGTACCATAAGCCAGTTGTTTAAACTTTTGAATCAAATGTCAAAATTTCTGAGTTAACTGATAAAAATAGTATTAAAAAATCAAATAAATAAAATGGTTAGCAAGTGTTAAATTATTCAAGGAAATCCAAACAATATACAAAGTAAATAAATAAATAAAAACACGAATTTAATTACATTTCCCATGTATTTTCATGCTTTAATGTCATTTTTTATTGTTAAAGATGTTAATATTTTCTTTAGGTGCTAAGAGCAGTCTTACTCTAACTGCGCAGCGCATGTTGGAAAAATGCGTGGAACGATTGGCTGACAAAGAAGACCGTCTGATGCGCCTGGAAAAAGCCATTAATCCACTTTTGGACGATAACGACCAAGTGGCCCTTACGTTTATTTTGGATAACGTTATCAACACCAAACTAAAGGCCATGCAAGAATCGTGGCCTTTCCTCAAACCGGTCAACAAAAAACTCGTCAAAGATTATTATAGTATTATCAAGAGGCCTATGGATCTAGAGACTATCACAAAAAAAGTTGCAGGTAATGCTTGTTATGATTTTTATTTCATTAGTATTAGGGTAAACCACATAGTTATTGGACACTTAAGGAATATTATTTATTTAAAATTTATATATGCAGTTGTTTTAAAGATTTTAGTTTTTTCTTATAAAATATATAAAAAGGATAGTTTGTTTGTTTAAACTTTATTTACGTTTACTTAAAAATAAGAATATTTGAATTTTTAATAATAGTTTTATAAAAACATGCAAAAAATATAGTAATTAGACATTTTATATAGTAATTTTACACATGGACCATAGTTATTGGACATACAATTTTTATATAAACATAAAAAATGTACATCAAATAAAATAAATCGTTAAATATTTTTTAAAGACTATTTCCCTCGTCTTAATTTCCACCAATCACAAACGCGCAATTTTGAATTACAAATGGTTTCTAGGTGAAAAAACTGTGTGACAGCACCTGTCAGCAGTTTTTTCGAGTTTACCCGCGGCAAAACTTGACAGCTGTTGTCACCAAAAATTGCAATTTATATTTTAATTGTTAACTGTTACTCATGAAATAGTCTTGTCAAATACCATTCGGGCATCTACTTTTTCCTGTGAAAAAAATCGAAAAAACACAATGCTAAGTAATATTTTTTAACAAAAAGCATTCGTGCAGGTGCAAAAATCCTCCTCTTCGACTCGGATTTTTGTTGCCACCAGCACTCATGCTTCTTGTTAAAATATTACTTAGCAACGTGTTTTTTCGATTTTTTTCGGAAAAATTAGATGCCCTTATGATATTACTTACGATAAATTGCTGTTTTAGTTAATTTTTTTTATTTCATTTTGTAAATATCATATAATTCATTTATTTCTTTCTCGGATTCCTCATCCCTTTTCTGGATTCTGAAGGTAACTAATAATTCCTTGATCTGACTTCTGAAATAGTTTGTTGGAAATATCATTAAGTGTGGCATTTATAATGTTTAGGCCGGAACAGGATGATTTATATATATATCTAAAATTTTTCGGGTGGTATGTTAAAGGTATTTTCCGAATTTATTAATTTTGTTGCCGTTAGTTTTGTATGTTCTCTACCCATGCACTGTATTTAAATCATGTTATTCTGCAAGATGTCCTGTGACGAAAAAATCACTATATTACTTACTCTCTAAAAATGAATAAGTCAAAAATGTCATAGCGAAAAAGCAGCCACTAATAATTCTCGTCAACAGCAATTTGTATCCAGGACATTTAGCAGTCAATTCCTATGAAATATTATTCGCTTAATCCGAAAATGTCGTCAAAAGTTATAAAAGTAAAACAGTTTTTGAAATATAATCAATTTTACATTTAACATGGATTTGACTGTATCTCAAAAACTGCTTAACTTTTATAGTTTTTGATGGTCTTTTCGGATTCAGGGGACAATTTTACATAAGAATTGTCTGGTAAATGTCCGGGATACAAATAGAGTATGATATTGGACAAATTTCCAATTATAGAAATTTACATTTTTTACCTACCAGTAATTGGACACTGGCCATTTTACTGTTTGTTTTCAGAATTAAAATTAAAACGCATTAAAGTGACAATGTTTAAACCATAAGGAACACATATATACCACACACTGATCTGTACACTTTTTAGAAATATGTTTTATTGTAATTTATACACAGTCCTGCTCTTAACAAAAAAACAAAAATCTTACCACCAAAGTAACGTGCGAACTTTTTTGTTCCATATTGGACCAAAAATAAAGTAGTTCTACAGGGTGTTATGTAATTAATGTTATATATTAAAATACTGAATACCTTTTGACATAAGGAATAAAGGAAAAATATTTTAAAAAGCATTTTTCCAAAGATAAAGAAAAAATATGCATTAGAAGTTTTTTATATTTTTTGTGATACGCCACTGGTTTCACACTTGTTTATCTCTGCACTGTGCAGAGATAAACAAGTGTGTAACCAGTGGCGTATCACAAAAAATATAAAATACTTCTAATGCATATGCAGACTGCACACCTGTATTTTGTGAGTACATAGATACCAACCAACAAAGTAGCTATGCGTTGCCAGATGTAAAAAATTGTTACTAAAAATTGTATGCCCTTAAAGCTCCAATACCATTCTGTATTTATTTACTGATCCAGCTATTAGCTTAAGCAATGATTAGAAAATTTAGTACCTTTGTAATTTGAAATCCATAACCACAAAATTAGTTTTATATTTTTTCATCAGTTTTTTTCTCTGTTTACTCAGATGAAATTGGGACCAGTTCATAGGTTAAACTTTAAACATTTAATTTGTGTAAATAAATCCAAAAGCACTTCCCTTAGTTAAGATATTTACAATTTGAAAACATAACCTAAAATTTAAAAGAAATGCACTAGATTCTGTCATAAAAGTTGGCAGATTTTGTTTGACAATTTGCATTGTTAATTTTGTCATTTTTGTAATTAAGCCAAATTTAAACAATGTTTGTCAACTTTTTGGAGATTTGGAACAACTTGTTACCAACCATAACATAATAAATCCACCATATTAACCTAAAGTTTCTAGTCGATCAGTGGCGTACTTTTTGGTAGGATAAAGGTTATTATAAATTATTTTTAGAGTTTGGAATTTAGAAAAAAAAGTTTCATTTGCTTCTTTATGGACCCTAAGGAACAACCCATTTTAATATATAACATTAATTACAAAACACCCTGTATATTATTACCGACTGAGATAGTTATAATTGTATTCAGCGTCATCTAATGACTTGACTTTAAGGTAACTCTTGTTTTTACAGTATTAATGTTAATTGTCCAATAACTAAAGTCTCCGATAACTGTCTACTTGACCCTACCAGTTTTTTGTTTTTTCCCAATTTAGCCCACAAGTATCACAGCAGACACGAATTTTTGGTCGATATAGAGCAAATTTTGCAAAACTGCATACTCTTCAACGGCAAGGATTCGCAATTTTCGGGGAAAGCCGAACAATTGGTCAAGATATGTAAAGCAACTTTGGATGAGGTAAATTTTGTAAATTATGTTTTTAAAACACACGCAATGTTTAAAAATTTTAGTATGATGAACATTTAACGCAACTGGAAAATAAAATCGCCATTGCTCAAGAAAGAGCCATGCAAAACGATGATCAAACTTGGATGGGAGGCGACGATGAAAATTACACCATTGCTGAACCGGATAGAGCGGTAGTAACAATTTTTCGCATATTTTTCCACACTTTTACATTTCGGCTTTTAGAGCCAGGCAAGTTCTCCGGACCACATGACCATCAAATCGCAAATGGACGAATACGATTATGTGGACGTGGAAAATGTCGGCCTTCAAGGTCTTCAAGGTATGGAGGAACATTCCACTCCGGTGAAGCCCAGAGGCAGAAAGAAGGCGAAAAAAGTCGATGATTCCAATATGTTGGAAGAAGATCTTCAATTTTCGAGCGAAGAGGAACTGGATGAAGTCCCCCTCAATGAGTTTGAAGATGATAACAAAGGTAAGAAATATAAAAATGTCTAAACATATTATAATTGGGTCTTTCCATCTCAAATCTACCAGGCAAAAAGGGGTAGGTCGTTATTTTTCAACGAAATGTTGTGTACAGTTTTTTTTAAATTGTAGGTAAATGTTTACTACATACAAAAAAATATATAAAAAATTAAGTTTCACTAATTTTTTTAATTTGTTTTTTCATTAAAAGGAAAAAAACCATCGTAAAAATTTGGTTTTTATCTATGGTCATGAAACTGGGGTGACCTATACGCTAAAGAAGTATCGGGTTTTTGCAACGCGCGTGAATTTAAGAATTGTCAATTATACATTTAAAGCATACTAACTGTACATCATTTTTAAATAAATAGGTATTTTTTTCACAAAAGAGAGGAAGGCAGAAGTCTTACTCGACAAATTTTGTTCAATTGCACAACTAAATGACGCACGTTATTTGTGTTTTACGTTGCAAGGAAAAAACTAACAAACTGGTTTAGTACTCGATTTCGATTGATTATTCTTTATATCATTGATTAAGAAACTCAACGCTTAAATGCTTTTATAGTTACGTTAGTGTGTGTATTTTATCTAAGAGTTTTTTTAATTGTAAGTAAAATTCAAGAACTAAATCGTTGCATTTTTATGTTTTGCCAAAGGATCCAATTCGGTAAGTACATTTGTTGGTGCAGAATTAACTAATGATAGCTTCACCTAATATAATTTATATTTAAGTTTGGACATTTTTAAGAAATAAAAAAATAATTTTTGCACAAACATAACCTTAAAATCAACCATTTTTATATTTGAGTTATTTAAAAAAACGCCGACAACTGCATTTTAAACAACAAAATATACATACGAATTCATGACAACAAAATAATATATATAATACATAATATAATGGTATTTTACCGTTGAGTGGAGACTTTAAAGAATTCTTAATCAACGCTTTTAATAATTCTAAATGCTGTTTAAATTTAGAGGACTTATTGGTTGACGATTTTTACTGAATTGAAATGTTTTCACTTTTTACGTTAATCATTACTAAAATGTGTATTTATTGTATTTAATAGATACAATTTATATTTACAGAGACTGTATGCAATTTATTTCTTCATTCAGAATTTCCTCTCGAAATACACCCAACAACACACCAAATCCATTCACGTTTTTTTTTTTCGATTTTTTTAACATTTTCCGGCTTTATTCTTAAAAACACTCGTTTGTAACACACGCGTTTGACAGCTGATTATCAAAAGTTGTACTTTTGTTACAATGATAACAGCCGACTGGTGGCGCTACTAGCGATACTTCTTTAGCGTATAAAACTGTTTATAATCATTTTGAATATTTGAATAATTTTACTGTACTAAAAAATATTGAGAAATTACTTAAACCCTTTTGATTCTTACCACCTCAATTATTATTTTTAATTTATTTTATACAAAGTTTTAGGGTATGTTTTTATTGTAAAAAATTAAAATGTTTATTCACTTACCAGCAAAACAAACTAACAAACTGTCAAATCTGATACTTCTCTTAAACACAAAGCCGTCTTAATTTATTTACTTCTGTACACACTTTAAAACCTAATAAACATTCAAATTTAATTAAGAGTTTAAAAGCTATATACAGGGTGTCCGGGAAAAGGAGGTCAATCCGTTAACCATATATTCCTTGAGTTAAAACAATAAGACTTTCATAATACCATTTTTCAATTTAGAGCTTCATGTTCGATATACAGGGCGACAAAGTTTGAAATTTAAAACTGATTTTTTTTAATAATTCGAGTAATTGATAAGATATTAAGTTTAAATTCGGTACACTACTTCAACATAAATAGTTACATTTTTTGAGACCAACAAAACAAAAAACAATTGTCAAATAATCAAAATAGGGGGGTCCAGTACTCACTGACTCCCCCTATTTTTTAGTACGTGCGCCAATGACTTTCAAACGGTATTTTTTCAGGTAATCATTTATTGTTGAAAATTTTTTGTCTCTTATAAAATTTTGATAAAATGATTTGTTTTAGAGATAATTTGTAAAGTATGGGTCAGTCCATATCAAATTTTCGAAATTTAATTTTTTTTTGAAAAAATTTAGTTCATGTGATATATCATAAAAAAGTTTTCTAATAGGCCTTTAAAATAAGCCGTCACTCACCTTTCTACTTTTAATAGTTTACGAGATATCGCTATTTTTGTAAGTACTTGCAAGACCCAAATTTATCGGAATTTTTTGATTTTCAAAAATCAATAAAACAAAAACTACCTATCGAAAAAAATTAATATATGGGATTTTTGAGTTTTTTAGTGAGGTAAACAAATTTACCAAAAATTATCAAAATCGGAGATGGTGGGGGAAGAACTTTTGGTGGATTTGATATGGACTGACCCATACTTTACAAATTATCTCTAAAACAAATCAATTTATCAAAATTTTATAAGAGACAAATTTTTTGTAACAATAAATGATTACCTGAAAAAATACTGTTTGGAAGTCATTGGCGCACGTACTAAAAATAGGGGGAGTCAGTGAGTACTGGACCCCCCAATTTTGATTATTTGACAATTGTTTTTTGTTTTGTTGGTCTCAAAAAATGTAACTATTTATGTTGAAGTAGTGTACAGAATTTGAACTTAATATCTTATCAATTACTCGAATTATTAAAAAAAATCAGTTTTAAATTTCAAACTTTGTCGCCCTGTATATCGAACATGAAGCTCTAAATTGAAAAATTGTATTATGAAAGTCTTATTGTTTTAACTCAAGGAATATATGGTTAACGGATTGACCTCCTTTTCCCGGACACCCTGTATATTATTAAAAAATGCATTAATATTTGGTATCAAATTTTAAAAAATCACCCTCTTTTATTAAAAAAAAAATAGTTTTGGCATAAAGTACCTATGGCTTTTCAATTTTAAAGCTCCTAAAAACCAGCATTGCGAAAAAAGAATAAAATTGTATTTTTTCCAGACTTCTTGGCCCAACATAAAGCAGAAAAGCCAATGATTTGATCCCTCAAAAATTGACAAATGACATTGATGTATTCAGAATTTAATTTTAATTCGAAATAATATTTAACCCTATGGATTTTTACATATTATGTAAAAATCCATAGGGTTAAGACCATTTCCGGTGAAACCGGAAGTGAAAAAAAATATGTTAAATTTTTCAAAAAGTTCTAAATTACAATTTTTAAGGGTCATCCTAGATAAAATACCAAATTTTTGCGATGAACCTCGAATTTACTAGAAAATGGCATTTTCATTAAATAATTCCGAAAAGACGAATTTAGCCAACTAAAAATAGTTGTTCATATTATTAACTTCAAACAAAAAAAAATATCTAGTAAAAAACAATGTTGCAATTTCAAAATTTTGACCTCAATATTTGAACGATCAAAACATTTGTGGCCAAGTTATTATTTTCAAGAAAAAATGTCACTCATAAAAAAAGGGTCGTATCGATTTCTGTAAAGAAACTGTACAAAAAATTTCGATAAAAAATAACGATTTGAGATGAAAAGCCCAATTATAGTTTTAAAACAAAAATACTTACCTTAAATTTATTTCCTCAAGGTTTCCTAATATCAGCAGAATTGCCCATGGAGGGAAATGCAGATGACGACAGTCAACAGGCTGCGGAAGCCATGGTACAATTAGGGTCCATGGGGTACTACCAACAAAATGATGGTGATGTGGTGGAAGCACTGACATTCAAAGGTAAAATATTTTACTGACAATAAATAAACCAGAAAATTACATTTAACACATTATTTCAGAGGAAAGTATGGATGTGGACCCTAACTACGATCCTTCCGATTTCCTGATGCCCATGCGCAAACCGGATCAAATCACCTTGGTAACGGATCCTCAGGATACCGGGATGAAGATTCATGATGATTTGGCGGTAAGTGAGAGCGATGAAGAACCAACCAATCTGAGCCAAGAACCCATGCAAGAGGAAGAGGAGGGGGAAGTTTGGTTCTAAGTGTTATGTTGTTATTGGAGTAATATTATAGTATTATTGTAATATTATTAATCGTGTCGCCATTTTTAATATTAAAGAAAACTGCAAAATATTTTTGCAGTTATTTTGTTTTTTAATAAAAGGCGATATTTTATGTTGAACTTGTAGATATTTTTTAATAAAACTGTACATTTTTCTAAGAAATAAAGTGTTTATTCTAAAATTATACTTAAGACTTTTATTTATTGTTCCAACCTCAAAATACAGTGTGTTTTTTGGTGTGTTAAATTGGGTTACCAATAAAAAAGTTACAAGACTAGAAACGAAATAAAAAGTTTTATTTTAACATATAATTTTATTTATTTAAATTTTAATTTTTAAATAAATTTTTTATAGAAAAAAATACAATTATAATTATAAGGTCTAAATATAAAAAAAAATATTAATATTTTCATATTCATTTTAAATTAAAAAGTTATTTATCTTCATTTGCATACGCTTAGATTACCCCTCGTATTTTCTAAAAAACAGTACATTTGAACTAACTTTGACGTTTAAAAATCAATACACCTAACCTAAAAACTATGTAGAGTAGATTTCCTCAAAAAATTCCTAAATATGCAAGGTAAACCAAAAAGAGCGATATTAACCAGCATTTTACTATAATTTATTTTAGATCAACTGATTTTGGAGCTTTCAATCCTAGTTTTCGTGTTAATATTGGGCAGATTATTATTTGTAGTGCATAAAATAACAACAGGGCATAGCAGGAGAGATACAGTAAAAAGAAAAAAACCATGCAGTGCCGTAGTAGTGATAGGATCTGGAGGACATACTACGGAAATGCTGAACCTTGTTAAATCGCTTGATTTTGCCAAATACTCTCCACGTTACTACATAATGGCGAATAATGATGTTACTAGTTTTAATAAAATTATGGAGCTAGAAACAAGGAAAAAAGAATGTATGGGGGATAAAAATAAGACTGAATTCAGGGTTGTTAAAATTCCTAGAAGTAGGGTAGTAGGTCAGTCTTATATAACGTCTGTTTTTACTACAATTTACTCAATTTTATATAGCATTCCAGTTGTAATATATTTATTACCCGATTTAATTTTGTGTAACGGGCCGGGTACGTGCATTCCTATATGTTGTAGCGCGTTTTTAATGAAAGTTGCATTTATTAAGGACATTAGAATTGTTTTTATTGAAAGTTTTTGTAGAACGCAAACTTTTTCTTTGTCAGGAAAAATTTTGACTTATATGGCTGACAATTTTTTGGTACAATGGCCTAGTTTAAAATTAAAGCTTAAAAGGTCTGAATACATAGGAAAATTAATGTAGAAACGCGCTTTCTTGTGAATATTTTATTTATTTTACATTGTGATATAATTTACCAAAAAAAATCAATCTATTGTAATTATTAATAAAACTTAATAGGTACTCATAATCTTAAAATTATTATTATTCCTAAAAAAATTAAAACCCATATTTTGCTCTAGTTTGTAGCCTGTTATTTCTACTGGCACCCCATTGATTTTTAAGTTCTTGTTCGCTAGCCTTTGCCTTTTGTGCCAAATGCGTAATATGATTCCTCTTTCTTCTTGTGGGATCAACTACTTCTTCTTCTTCTTGTTTGGGTTCCATTTCAGGATCAGTGAGAGCCTTAGTCATCCAAATATCCTTCTCAAGCAGTATTTCTTCCTCGTTTATGTCTATTAACTTTATATTGCCAATTGGGCGTTTAGTTTTGCCAACCAACTCTTTAAATGCTGTATTATCAAGACCATCATATGGTTTTTCAGGTTCTGGTGCAATGTTAATCTCCATTGGAATAAATTCTTCAGGTTCTTTAACAACAGGTTTAGGCTTTGGTCGGCCACAAACTTTCTCCCACATATCATCATCATAGGTTTCAGGTATCTCCATTTCCTCATCATCAGTTTCCACATCACTACCAACAGGGGCTTTAGGTTTCGTTGCTTTCTCTAAAGCTGCCTTTTTCTTGGCTTCAGCCTTTTTTCGAACAGCATGTGGCACCAAACTACCTGGTGCCGATTTCTTTTTTTGTGCTACACTGTTCGGCACAAACGACTTATTTGTCATTACTGTACCTTTAACAGGAGGTAGTAGAGATAGTAAAGTACTTCCTTTGTTTAAGGGTTTAGCCTTTTTATGTTCAGGTTCATCATCCTCCTTATGATCAAACTGTGACAATGAAGGTATTGTTATCCTAACCTTCTGCTTCTCTGGCTTACATTTTGGTATAAAATCCTCAATTTGGTCTTCCACAATATCACTTACAATGATTTTACTCTCTGGCAACTTAGCAAACAAGTTTGAACTTCCAGGAGGTTCAGGAGATTTTTCCTTTATTGGCTCATTTTCCAAGATATTTGGTTTTGGAGGAGGTATAATTACAGCTGAAGATTCGTCTTCTTCATCCTCTGAACCGCTAGCGCTTTCGTAATCGTAGGAAACTAAAGCCATTTAAGAGAAGAATGTTCACAATTTTTCTGAAAATGTTTTTGTTTTGACAGGAGGTTGACGTTTGAGATAGTAAGGTTAAGCTTCTTCTTCTTTTTTTGCAAATAAAAAGAGGTCAAGGAGTTGTTTCTGAACGCATCCGCTGTCAAAATCTGACATTCTGTCAGAATACTGTTGACAAACAAATCAATAAAACCGCATAAATTGGATTAAATTTTGATTATGGCTGAACTTAGAGAATTGCCGACTGGTTGGGAATGCAAAGTGGATGAAAAAACAGGAAAAAAGTGCGTAATTATCGAATTATAACATCAACATTTTATAATGATTATTTTTGTAGTTATTTTATAAATCATTATACAAAAACCACAACTTGGGAAGATCCAAGGCCTCGTAACAGAGCGCTACAAACAACCCCGAGACACTTTTCCAACATGCCTATAGAACATGTACCCATGCAGGTGAATAAACTTTTTAACCCTAATAATATAAAACTGTGTTTCTGTCCTATTACATGCTGCTTTGGATTACTATCGATAAAATTAGCATGGATCACCTGATTTAAGGAGAAATTACGTGTATCCAAGTCACCAGCCTCCAATGCCTGCTTTTCAAATACCTGGACATCATAGTCCTAAAATTATTCCTTTACAGGTACTTTAGATATAGTGTATATGTGTGTAAAAACTATTATTTTTAATAATGGGATAAATGTTGGTGCTTAATAAGAAATTTGGTTTGGTGCCACTACTTCTATAATAAGCAGTTCCAAATCACCTAAAAGTTGTTATTAAATTTACAGGAGTTTCATTCTATACCAAGGATGAGTCCCCTTTCAGTTAGAGGGAATAGAGTTCAGGATAGTTCTTTGACAATTGTTCCACATACTGACGATGCTGTTTCCAAAATTAATACCATGTTTCCAACTGTTTCTGAGACTCACATTAGGCTTCTGATGAAAAAGTAAGTTAAAGTAAATGGTCTTTTAATATGATTATGCACTAAAAAAGGTTTTATTGTGTTTAATATTAAAATATAATAACTTTTACTCAATATTGTATAATATTATGTGGAATTTATTAATTTTTTAGCCTTAACCAAATTATTAACATAATTTAAACCATTAAGCAACAAAAAAATGCTCTTTAAGTTTCAGTTTTATTAAATATTAAGGAATTTTGTAAAAATTATATTAATTTTTAATGTTTGTATAAAAAACCTTGTTTATGGAACGATTTTATACATTAATATTTATCATTATTTTCGATTTTATTTTTTCAAGGAAATAAAGTTTTATTTATTTTTTTTTACATTCCCCAGAAAATTTCATTCATAAAAGTTTTTGCTTAATTTCAAACCACTAGAATATGCGTCATAGGTAATTTTTATTGCAATTATGATTTTATTGAAAAGTTTGGACTGACATTTTTTTAATAAACAATATTCTTGATAAGTTTTTGTTTATAAAAAACAAAAATGATTTTTTTTAAATATGAATATGATTGATGATGAAAAACCTCTACAAAAACATTAGCAATATAACTAAGTTTGTGAAAAAATTGTTTTTATTTGACATTTTTAAAAATTCTTACATTTTAAAAATGTGTGAATAAATATATTTGCTTTAAAATTGTAAAAACAAAATTAGAAAAGACAAAAAAATTTACATTTAATTTATCTGGAACAAATATCAAAACAAATAAAAAGTAGTGGCAATAAACACACAAACAATTGCAGCACTGTATTTCAGAAACAAAATGTTTCCAAAAAATGATTAGAAGGAATTTTTTTCTTATTTTTATGCAAGGAAACTTATCCTGATTTTTTTTGCAATATTAATGAATCACCTTTTGTTATAGTAATCGTATAGCGATAATCGTTTCATAACTACACAAAGCTATAAAAAAATACTGTTGCTCAGTGGGTAAATATTAAATAATTTTCTTAATTTATAAAACAAACTGTAATAAACGTTACATGGGTTTTAAAACTTTAAAAAATCTATTTTTAAAACTCTTAAAAATCTAGTTTTAAAGTCGGCTATCAAAAACTACTGTACTGATCTTATTGATTGCATTTGCACTTCTATGGGGCGCCGTTTTATTTTTTTTCAGAACTTGATTTATTAACCCTGCATTGATATTTTCAATTAGATAAAAAATATCCCATAAGAATTTTTATTCTACGAATTAGTAATATCATAGCAGATATTTTAAAATTAGATTTAAATTTTAATTTAGTGAATTTAAAATTTATGTTTCTTATATTTGTATTTTTTTGTCAAACATGCATTTTTAATTCGCTTAATTAAAAGTTAGATTTAATTTTTATGCCAAACCCATAGTTTTTATTTGGTTTAATTAAAATATTTGCTATATTTATGTACCTATACCTATATTTGTATTTTTTTGCTAAATTAAAAATTTGATAGGAAAAATTTTTAAATGTATTAAAAATATCATTTTTATTTTAATAAATAAGCAGATATTTTAATCGAATGTGATAATTTTTTTTAATTGAATGTGATAATTTTGACCAATTAAGAGTTTGGATACCCCTGTTATTCCAAACGACACAAAAATCGACCCACTACAACAACATAACTTCTCCTATGATATTTTTGATTTCGCGAATTAAAAATAGGTATGACATACAGTGGTTGCTCTAATTATGGCCACTACTGTATGTATATGGGGCGCCGTTTTTTTATTTATGAATTATTCTTATCTTATTCTTATTATTATCATTTAAGAATTTTTATTCTGCATATTAAAAATAAAATAGTGGCTATTTCAAAATTTTATTTAATGTTTATGCCAAACTGATATTTGTAATTTAGTGAATTTAAAATATATGTTTAGTATTTAAAAATATCACATTCATTTAAAAAAAATTAAATTTCTCCTATGATATTTTTAAATTAGCGAATTAAAAATATGTGTAACCAAAAAATATAAATACAAGCAGATATTTTAAATTCACTAAATTAAAAATTAAAAATTTAATTAAGCGAATTAAAAATTTGTGTTTAGCAAAAAAACAATTAAAAGTAAAATATTTTAAATTAAATAAATTTATTAAAAATATCAGTTGTGCATAAAAATTAGATCTAATTTTTTATTTATATGTATAAATAAAAAATATCACATGAACATGTTTATTCTGCGAATTAAAAATATCACAGCAGATATTTAAAAATTATATTTAATTTTTATGCAATATTTGTTTCTTATATTTGTATTTTTTTTGCTAAACACAATGTGTTTAGCAAAAAAAATACAAATATAAGAAACAAATATTGCATAAAAATTAAATATAATTTTTAAATATCTGCTGTGATATTTTTAATTCGCAGAATACACAATGTGTTTAGCAAAAAAAATACAAATATAAGAAACAAATATTGCATAAAAATTAAATATAATTTTTAAATATCTGCTGTGATATTTTTAATTCGCAGAATAAACATGTTCATGTGATATTTTTTATTTATACATATAAATAAAAAATTAGATCTAATTTTTATGCACAACTGATATTTTTAATAAATTTATTTAATTTAAAATATTTTACTTTTAATTGTTTTTTTGCTAAACACAAATTTTTAATTCGCTTAATTAAATTTTTAATTTTTAATTTAGTGAATTTAAAATATCTGCTTGTATTTATATTTTTTGGTTACACATATTTTTAATTCGCTAATTTAAAAATATCATAGGAGAAATTTAATTTTTTTTAAATGAATGTGATATTTTTAAATACTAAACATATATTTTAAATTCACTAAATTACAAATATCAGTTTGGCATAAACATTAAATAAAATTTTGAAATAGCCACTATTTTATTTTTAATATGCAGAATAAAAATTCTTTAATGATAATAATAAGAATAAGATAAGAATAATTCATAAATAAAAAAACGGCGCCCCATATACATACAGTAGTGGCCATAATTAGAGCAACCACTGTACAAAAATCTAACTCCAAAACGCCTTTATTAATCTTTAAGAAATTTTGGATAAAAATACTTGAACTTATATCTCAGTTTACGTGTTTGAGGGTTTTTTGAGAAAATATTTTTAAAGCCCATTTTTTTTTAATTAAAAAAACGTTCGAAAAATAACTTTTAGGGAATTTTTTTTTTAAGTAAATAAAAAATATGCTGTTAAAGACAGTAACGAAGATACAGCGATTCAAGCGATTCAGCAAAATAATAAAAAAGGGGGCATTTTTACCGACTTTGAAGCGATGTATCTTCGTTACTGTTCATTTGATTTGTACAAAATTTTTAATTTTTAATATTAAAAAAATGGGCTTTAAAAATATTTTCTCAAAAAAACCTCAAACACGTAAACTGAAATATAAGTTGAAGTATTTTTATCCAAAATTTCTTAAAGATTAATAAAGGCGTTTTGGAGTTAGATTTTTTTTACAGTGGTTGCTCTAATTATGGCCACTACTGTATATACATCTTATTTGACAAGGCAATATAGATTTTGTTGAAAATTGCAAAAATCCAAATATAAATTTTTTTAAATCTTGTTTAATCACGTGATTTACTAACCAACTAACAGAATATATTATTAAAATTTGCTTTTTTTGACCTTTGAAACCCATGTGACCCCTCAACTAAAATTCTTGGTGGTAGCTTCAAAACTGTGCTTGCATCAAAATCACGCACAGTGTTGCCTAATCGCGCTTGACCTCAACTAACCGAACTAACTCGCTCACCTTTGCTTTGCGCGTCTGTCTCTTCCAGGTATCACAACCGCGAGGCGCTGGTCATCAGCGCCCTTCAAGTGGAAAAAAATCCGATCGCGACGCCCGGGCCGTTCGCCACGCCGCCCCCGCAGAGGGCGCCGATGCACGCCACGCCGCCGCCCGGCGTGCGCGCGCAGACCTCGCGGGGCGGCAGTCCCGTGTACAGGACGCAGACGTCCTCGGGCCCGAACAGCTGTTACGCTGGCTCGCCCAGGATGGGCGGCGACGCCGCGTACAGGAGCTCGCCCAGGCCGCACTCGTCGCCCAAGCTTAAACTAAGGTCACCCCCACTAATGCTTGCTTGTTTTAAGTACCGTTTTTCTTTGTATGACATGACTTTTTTGGTATGTTTTTTACAGAATTGCTTATCACGGTGCTGTTCTGAGAGGTGATTTTTGGACTTTCTGTGAAACTTAATTTTTTTTTATATTCTTGTTATTAGGTCATAACTAAAATTTTAAGAGCAAAATAAAAAAAATTTGACGGTTAATTTTGTTTTAATTGGATGTTTATTAAAAATATGTATGCACACTTTCAATTCTCCAATTAAAACTTGCGATTTTATTTAAATATTATCATAACTTTTTAAATCAGATTAAAGATTAGTTAATTTCCTAAAAAAAGGTCTATACATTTTTTATATCTTTTACTGTTTTGTTGTAATACACGTTTAAAGTTTTAATTTAAGGTTAAATGTATAGTATACATTTATTAAACAATAATTCTAAGGGTGCCACATTTTATTTAGGGCCGATTTATTCATTTTTGATTTATTTGACGAATAATTTCTTTGGATACTAGATATTGCCAAGACATGAAAGTTATCGGCCCGATAAACTTGACTAAAGATGAATAAACCGGTACTTAGTTAAATTTCATGAATTTCTTCGTAACTTTTACTACAATTTTTCATTTTTGTTTATAAAAAACATTTTAAAAAACTAAACAAAAATTATAGAATACGTATACTGAAAATGACAATTCAAACGTCAAATAAATTTTTAATAGATCTAAGTTTCATGGCAACCTTTAAGGATATATTAATTAAGGGAACATAAATGCAGTGGCGTGCAGGACGGGCCCCGCAGGGCCCGCAGTGCGGGGGGGGCCCCCGACCTTAGGGGGGCCCCGTAGAGAACCACATTGGGTGGTATAAGTGACAAAGGGGCTCCAGCTCAAAATTTGCGGGGGGGCCCCCGATCACCTTTGCACGCTACTGCATAAATGTATATGTCAAAGGTTAGATTAAAAGTTTGAACGTTTATTGCAACAAAACAGTAAAATATATAAAAAAAATTGTAAAAACCTTTTTTTAGTTATGCAAATATTAAATATTTAAATTAAATCGCTAGTTTTAATTGGATAATTGAAAGAGTGCATAATATTTTAAAAAAACAGCCAATTGAAACAATTCAAACCGTCAAATTTTTTTTATTTTGCTCTTAAAATTTTAGTAATGACCTAATTAACAAGAATATATAAAAAAATTAGGTTTCACAGAAAGTCCAAAAATCACCTCTCAGAACAGCACCGTGTTATACTTATTAGACTGGGCCAAAAAAATGACTATTTTTTTTTTGAAAAATATATCGAAAATGTCATTTAGAATAACAAAAAAAAAATTCGTGAAAATTTGAGCCCTTAATATTAATTTTAAGAGGACTATCATCGCTATTTTCGATTTTTAGTCATAATTTGATGTTTTACGTTAGAACTGTCAAAACATTAAAGTGAAAAAAATTCCTTTTCACTTTTTTTTATATAAAATAAATTCTCTACAAAAAAGGTCAGATTGAAAATTTTCGTCAGACGAGCCGTTTCCGAGTAATTGAGCTTAATAAATCGATGTGTTTTTTTGATTTGCCCTTTTTACTTTGAAATTTTGTAACTAATGAATCAATGAATATTTGAAAAAGCTCACGTCGGATTCTTAAAGGAAATTTAATGTTCTACAAAAAAGGTCTCTTAACATTTTTGCCTAAATTTAATTCTTCAAAAGTTATTCACGAAGAAAATATTGAAATTTTAAGTTTTTCTTCGATTTTAATCGTGAATAACTTTTGAAGAATTAAATTTAGGCAAAAATGTTAAGAGACCTTTTTTGTAAGAATCCGACGTGAGCTTTTTTAAATATTCATTGATTTATTAGTTACAAAATTTCAAAGTAAAAAGGGCAAATCGAAAAAACACATTGATTTATTGAGCTCAATTACTCGAAAATATATATAGAAATAAGTGAAAAGGAATTTGTTCACTTTAATGTTTTGACAGTTCTGACGTAAAACATCAAATTATGACTAAAAATAGCGATGATAGAATAGACCTCTTAAAATTAATATTAAGGGCTCAAATTTTTACGAATTTTTTTTTGTCATTCTGAATAACATTCTCGATATATTTTTCAAAAAAAAAATAGTCAATTTTTTTGGCCCAGTCTAATACTTATATTTACTCAGAATTGGTCTGTAAACTTGCCAACTCTTTTTTCAAAGTTTTACCATTGTATCTACGTTTTACCGAAGTAAAAAAATACAAAGAAAAACAGTATGGCGCGCCCATCAATTACCATCTTTATTTTCATACCTATAGTATATTCATTTTACCAATTCCCTATAACAAAACAAATGCACGCGAACAGCACGTGGACAACTCACATGCTATTAAACAGGGCAACACAACATTTTTTTCTGAAAGTATACCTATTAAATAGTTCAACCCTTGCTGGGTTTGTAAAAAAAACATTTCAAGCAAATCACAAAACTTTAAACAAAAATTTTAGGTAATTTATCACATATTATTTTTGCATCAAAATTGTCAAAAATATTCTTCTTTTATAAAAAAAAACGCAAGAAATATTTTATAAAAGTAGAAATAATTTTAATAATGAACAAGAGAAATCTTTTTTTGTCCATTATTAAAATTATCTCTACTTTTATAAAATATTTCTTGCGTTCCTTTTATTTATTGTACAGAATATTTACAAGAATATTTTGACAATTTTGATAATAAATAATTCGTGCGTTTCGCGCGCTTGAAATGACCCAAAAGTGTTTTCAGGTTTGGGTTACTAATTATTATATTAATATTTCTCGTTTCGATTCTTTGTAATAATAATACTTTATCTATTTCAATAATAATACTTTATCTACTTCAATTAGTAGAAATTTAAATGATTTAAAAAAATAATTAATTAAAATCTGACATCTGTAAAATGGTTAACCTTACTTTGGTTCAACCGCCTAACAACGTGAAATGACTTAAAGGTTTTCATTAAATATATAAAAAATCCAATATTATACAATAGGAGAGATAATGCAGGCTATTATTCACAAGGATGAGGTTTGCGTCTTAAGTCGCCAGACGAGAGACTCAAATCATCCGAGTAAATAATGCGCATAATATCGAGTGTAAAACTGACATCTGTCAAATGTTTAACCTTACTTTTTACCAATTTTAAATGTGCAAATCACTGAATATTATTAAAAATGTGAACAGCTAATTTTGCCATTTAAAATTTATCTTTGACATGCATGTCATCTACAAACTAGAAAGCCCACAGCGGCATCTACACACAGTTAGAAATAACTTTCTGCAGATATTTATAATGGTGTTATTTTAATATTAATTAATAATTATAATTATATATTATATAATATACTAATAATTTAGTTTATAATTTGCTAATATTTGATTTTATTACCCCAATTATTTTATAGAAGGAATAAAGCTAAACATTTTATTGCGGCGCCCTCTATTGAAAAAAGTAAAAATGAATTTTACCGTCTAGGCATTTGTGATTATTTTTGTAAGGCTAGTCGTACTTTCTCATTCCTATGGAGACGGTAAAATTCAACTTAACCATAGTGTAGGAAGGAAGAAAAGTTATTTTTTTTAAATAATTTATTTTGGAACAATTGATGCAATTAAATATAGTTTTAAGGGTCAAGTGTTCACAAAGGAATTCTAGGGATTTTTTACGACTGTCAGAATTTTTTAAACACTAACTTTAAGATTTTGTTATATTCTTAACAATTGTTGTATTTTATTTTTACAACTCTTACTACTTACTAATTATGGTTAAAACTAAGGAATTCTTGGGATTTTTTTTTGACCAAGTTTAGTGATTTTTAAAGGGACCATGTTGGCAACACTTCATAAAATCATGAAATAATTATCTGGTAATAAAAAAACAACAAAGTTGTACTTCAAAAGTTTCCAAACTTAAAAATTATTATTTCAACTCATCTAAAATTAAGTTAATTAAAAAAAAATTGACGTTTGATAACGCAAAAAATACATAGGCGACTTATAATTTAAAAAAAAATTAAAATTTTTATTTTTTTTCTAGGGCTAGAACACAGACCAACAAAAGGTCTGTGGGCTAGAAATTATCTTTTTTATGATCTTAAATTAAAAATAAAATCCTAGTGAGGGAGACTAAAGAACGAGAAAAAGGGCAATTTTGTAAGAACATTGATCCCAAAACTAAATTTTATTTTATTAAATATTCGAAAATATAAATTATTTTGAGATAAAAAACGTTTTCACAAAAAATCGAAACGCAACTACTACAAAAGAAACAATTTGTGAGAGAACTTTGACGAATCAATTTACAATAAATACCAAAAACTCAAAAACTTCATAAGGCTAAAAGAGCCAACTTAAATTATTAAAGAAATTGGTGACCCCAAATTTGTCGAACAGTGAAGAATAAAAGGCGTGGCTTCGAAAGTTTTATCGCGGATCGACCAATAGCGTGGCTAAAATGAATATACTATAGACCATCCCAGCTTAATTTTAACGCATGCTTATTACTTTGCTTACGTAGCAGGGCATTTCTCACTGCGCAAACTCCGTTACTTAGGTTGAACAGTTGCAGGTACATGAAGTCCATATTCCCGCAAGCCGAGGAAACGGTCATTTTGGAGGTGCTTCAAAACAACGACAACAACATACAGAAAACGTCCGAGAATCTGAAGGAAATGGGCTTCGACAAGAAGGACACCGTCAAGGCGGCCCAGCAAAAGCTGGATCAGAAAAAAGAAGAGGAACGCATCGAGGAGGCCAAGCTGGACAGGCCTCCCACGCCGCCTCCGATTTTGAAGAGTACCGAGGAAAAACAGCTAAGTAAGAATCTCCTAAAAAAACTACTTATTTTGCTCACCTACATATATTTTGTAGTTAAGGAAAAGCTGAAACAAAAATACAAAGACGTTCAAGATCATTTGATCAAAATGGCGTTGGAAAGTGTAGATTTCGATGAGTCCAGAGCCAACCAGATTCTACAAATTATGGTGCAGGAGGATAAAAACAACGAAAAAATGAATGAAATAAAAATCGAAGAGTGAGATTTTTAACGTTTTATTGTTTCGTTTTTCTATCTTTTTTTTACAGAGAAAAACAAATAACGGAAGTTGATTCGCCAGCTCCATCGACTTTACCAATCTCACAGAGCAGAATGTCCATAAAATCTCTGCTTAAAAGTGAGAAAAATGACAAGGAAAAAACTAGTTTTAATAGGTAAGAATGTTTATCTTTTTTTGTTTACCCAGTAAAGGTTATATAATGGCCCTTTATAAACGTGTTTTTAATGAACTAAAGGCCCTAGAACTATTAACTTTACATATTATATCGCGTTCACTTTTAAGGGGCATTTAACAGCAGTCAATAAAGGCATTTACAAGAACAATTAAATTTTTTGATATGGCGCGCTAAAGTTTCCGATTCGGCAGATTAAAGGTATAAATGTGGCAAGCTACAGTTTCTGATATGGGGTGTTAAAGATTTTATAGTGATTTAATTTTTAATGGAAAAGTGAAGTATCTATTATGGTGGATTAAATGTGGCAGGTATATATTTATTAGATAAGGATATTCCATGATAATCAGAAATTGTTATCCCTACCGTCACAATACAATTGAATGAAGTTAGTTTTAAGTTAGTTGATGGTTGTCAAATTTCATACAATTGTTAAAATAAAGTGCCTTTTCTTGTAAAATAATACTAAATGTGAAAATTATTTTATTATCTCAAATCAAAAATACAAAAATATGAAATAGTTTCTCAACGCCAATATTTGAAAAGTTTATATGAACATTGTACTAACCTTTTAATTTCGCCGGCAGTAAACTATAACTTAAATTCGGACACGGACTCTACTGTAAAGTCCTCATAAAACATTTCCTTTACTTTCACTGTGAAAAACTGTCAATTTTTAAGATACATTTCGATTTATAACCTTTATAATTGTGTTTATAAAATGTAAAAATGTGACATTTGACAGTTTCCCCTGTTGTTTCATAGATGGCGCTCTATACAAATTTTTGATTTAAATCATTTTAAGATAATAATAAGTATTTGTCGTAGAAAAAGTATAGTATGCACCTAGTTTATAAACTTTTCTATACACTCATTAATTTAAGCAATCGCTCGCAAGCTCGCTCGTGCCTAAATTAAATTTGTGTATAAAATGGCGTTTATCAAACTTGATACATAATATACTATTATTATCAATTAGATTAATTAATATATTATCGTTAAATGTAATAATAAAACATTCATAAATTTACAAGAAAAAATACAAAGCCATGTGTTGTAATAAAGACCTGTATAAGTAAAACATAAAAATTTTATTTTAAAATCTCTAAAATTAATAGAAAATATTTAAAATTTTTGGTAGATTCTCCTCTATAACAAAGAAAACCAGGTTTTCTTTGCCATTACTTATAAATTTTATTCGCAATTGCCCCAATTTTGACCTTTCTACTAAATTCTTTAGCGGTATTTTGTCTGTAATAAGAGCTCTAAAATTTGTAAAATTAAAAATGCACCCACTTACTCATTTCAATTTAACAACCATTAGTTATTATTATTTTATTACACTATTAAAACTATAGGAATTGGACATTGGGCGTCATTTTTAAAATATGGTGTTAACCAAAGGATAATTAAAGGTTCATGTAAGTTTTATATACAGAACACATTTGGCAACTAAATGTTTTTTTAAAGTCCCAATACCAATACTGAAAATTGCCATATATGGTAAAATATGCAAATATTAGCCTGAAAAGGGCCATTGTTTGACCTTACCAGTTCAAGGAAAGCTTTGGCTAAAATGCCATTAAGCCATGAAACTATGTAATGGGCCATTACATAATCAGACTTATGTGTTTGCTGGGTACTTATTTAGGTAAATATTAACAGGGTTATCGAGGAAAACGCAAAAGACGACTTTAAATCGCCATATCTTTCAAACACGATGGGACGCAATTTAGATATAACCAGAGGACCAAATGAAAAATTACTACTGTAAGACTGTAAAACCTTCAAAAAACATTGTTTAATATTTTTCACGTTACAGTGAGGATTACGTGAAGTGGCAAGGACCGAACGCAAACTTCAGAAAGGGTCCTCAAACCTTAGCCAAAGGCTCCAATAAATCCCTACTTACAAACCGCTCTTACGCGGCCTGCGGGCCAAACTCCGAACTACGCAAAGGCCCGAAATTTTCCCTGGCCAAAGGCAGCATATTCTCGCATATGAAATCTGTAATGGTCGGCGATGCGAGAGGAAAATAACAAACGTCCTGTGCAATCCTATAAATACTTGCAATACTAGAATTAGAAAAGAGTACACGTTTTTTAAGGTTTAAAATCTTGAAAGGTAGTCTGGTAAGTGAAGCTCCGCCCATTTGTGACGTCACTTATAACCTTAAACGTCGAAATCAACAGTTTAACACAAAGTAGTGATATAAGTTGCCCATTATAACTCAAGGATTTTCGTCCGTGCTTACTTAATGTTTTTTTAGTCTTACATTTTTTTTAACATTATTTAGAAGCACTTAATCATGTTACGAATGTCTGTCAATTAGTTGTAACTGTGCTTTATATGTATCTTTCATGTACCGTTATAACGGGCGTCACACGTCTTGTCACACATTTTTAGGAGATTTTAGACCCCCCATGTCACGCATAACAGCATTATTATTGCACAAAGTCTTGAAATGACGTTATTTATGAAAAACCTGTTCTTTTAATAATCTATATAGGTAATGTATAAAACCTAAATTTAAAAAACCTATTCGTGTACGCGCGTTAGAAGTTATACTTCTTTGATAAAAGATATTAAATTTTGTTTCAATTTTTTCTTCAATTCTTAATTTATCTTAACAACATCATTAGGTAATTCAATAAACAATTCACTACTAAATTTACTTAATTTTCCTCAAATTTTGTGTTATTTATGTTTGTATGACAAAAAACTTAGGTTTAAAGGTTCCACGTTAATTATTTACTTACCGAGAAATTAATTATTGTAATTTTCTAATTTTTCGTAGGATACATCCTACACATGTGCCATTTTTTCTTAATTCCTTACCTTAATGGTTATTAAAGTAAAAGATTGTTTCCAGGTGTAACTTTTTAAGCTGATTTCAAAAATGTAATCGGAATTTGTTTGTCTTCTATTATTTTTGCATGATCATTGAATTTGCTAAAAAAATTCATGTTTGATCAGGACCACATGCATGTTTTAAATTTTCATATGTTTAACTTTTATGCTGGTGACAGATGTCAAAAATAATCTATAACAGATGTCAAAAATGATCTGAGGCAGATTTCAAAAATTTGTCATTTTTGAGGTAGCATTCGTAAATAATAGCTAATGAGTAAGTGTTGAAAGTGTGTTTATTTTGTTCAAAGAGTTGAATCATTCGCTACGCTCGTTATCCAATTTTTCTTTTCACAAAATAAAATGAAATTATTAACAATTACATAAAAAATAACTATTATCTACGAATGCTGCGTAAATTGTCAATGAAGATGCAAGCTTATTTTGTTTCGTATTTTAATTTTTACATCTGTTGCAGCTTATTTTTGACACCTGTCACCTGTCATTTTTGACATCTGTCACGTAACTCATTATTTTGACATGTGTCCCTAAAGGTTCAATAATTTTTTTGTCAGCTCCTAGGTGGAAAGCCAAGATGATTTTTTTTTGGAGTAGTGGTATACCATCTTTACAACATATAATTAAAACATTTACTCCTGATCAAACATGTCGAAAAAAATGCTTGAATTTTTTTTTGCAAAAGCTATGCTCATGCAAAAACAATAGAAGATGAACAAATTCTGATTACACTTTTAAAATCAGCTGAAAATGTTACCCTTAGAAACAAACTTTTACTTAAATAATTTGTACAGGAGTAAGGAGTTATTTAAGAAATTAAAAAAAATATGGCGCATCTACCAAAAAAATAATCAAAATATTCTTTGAAGCCCATTTTTTTCTGGAATCTAGGATGGTTTGTGAAATAATTAACAGTAAATAGTCCGGTCAATCTAGACATTCGAAGGTACATAAATTTACAACAAGCTGAAAATTAGTAAAATTCTTCAGAATATAATTATAAATAAAATTTTAAAGTTCCCCATAATTCCCCTGTATGGAAAATTTTTTATTCAAGGTATAAGGTCAAAAAAATGATTTTTCGCGATTTTCGGCAAAACGGTAAATTTTATCATAAAATACCCCAGACAAATATTGTAGATCATAAAATTATCTATAAAAAATGTATTAAAACTTTTTTTCTACGAGCCACCGTTTCTGAGATATAACGATTCGAAAAGTTGTAAAAGTTTTAATCGTCATAATATGCACACGTTTCCACGCCACCTATGAGGTAGTGTACTTAGCGCGTTTTTTAACGTGGTTTCCCCAGTAGCCTATTCCACGGGTCAGTTGTGATCCTGTTTAATTTGAAACTATTGCAAAATAACGGAAATTAGCAATGATTGGAAAAGATAAAAGCGATGTAAATTAAAAAAAAGTACCGAAGTTAATTAGTCTGATTCGTAACATTTAAATTCTTCTTATTATTCTTCTACTTGTTCTTGTTCTTCTTCTTCTTGTTCTTCTTCATCTTCATCCTGGGTACAAGTAAATTGCATTAGTAGCGATGTATCGCATGTCACCTCGTTGGAATTAAATGAATCCTCCACTGTTGGTGATTCAACATTAGAGCACGACCGGCCTTGACAATTCGTACATACCAGAGAATAAAACAGTCCGACTTTTTTGCAACCACATTTAGCACTGCTTCCCTTTTTGCAGTTGCAAAAAATTGTGTTCAGCATTTTTTCCGGCGCAGGTGGGAGTAAAGTTTGAACTGGTTCTAATGGGTTGTTGACCAACTTCCAACCCCAGTCTGTAGGGTCTAGCTGATAACCAAGCCACACTTGAACTTGGTAATATACCCGAAAAAGATTTTGATGAGCAGCAACTGAGGTTGGAGGAAGACAAGCTAATTGAACTTGTTTTTTATTTTAGTATTTTTAACGAAACATGCATATCGATACTTATCAAAGCAGGTAGTTTCTTAGGAGCTCCGTATATAGAAAGAAGAAATCGAATGCCGTTGGTGATAACTTCTTGTCCCGAAGCACCTTTTCCTCGAGTTTGGCCGAAAAATCTCTGCTCGTTCGAAAGTTAAGCGAAGACAACGGAACGTGCCAAATTTGACGGAAAATCGAAAAAAAGTGGACTTGGGCCTTTTCAACACCGGAAAAATTTGGTCCGCGGATAGGTCTCGTGGGCAGAAAAAAGGAATCAAATTTCGAGTGTCCGCCTTCAACGGCCTCTGAGCTACGGCGCTTAGAAAAAAAAGGATATACAGACTAGCAGACAACGGAAAAAAAAATATTCCGCAGGAAACTTTTCGATCTTTTTTTATTTTTTTCGAAAAAATTTTAAACGGTTTTTAGGGAGAGAGAAATTTTCGAAATTGGCCGAACGAAATACACGAATCGACAGGTGAAAGACCAAAGTTTGACATACTAAAAGATGAGCTTCATCGAATGAAAACTAATCGGCCAGAAGCCCGTTTAATTTTTGTTGTGTATTTAAAAAAGTTAACCAATTAAAATCCCCGAAATCAAATCGATAAGGTGGCAAATGACAGGTGGCATATGACAGGGTCAAATGACAGGTGACAGATGACAGGTGACAGATGTCAAGTTGACAGATGACAGATCATCTGTCACAGATGTTGTCTCGATGGCGTATAAATTAATTAATTTATACCCAGTTCCTTAAGGGACTGGGTTTTATTTCACTTGATATTCTTATAGTTATAACTTATGTAGGTATGTATATTTTATATTTTAAGTGTAAGTGAAAATGACCGATAGAAAAATATTTTAACATATATTAAAACTCTAGAGATGTATATACGTGACGTACTCATGTATATTATGACGATTACAACTTTTCGAATCGTTATATCTCAGAAACGGTGGCTCTTAGGAAAAAAAGTATTAATATATTTTTTATAGACAATTTTATGATCTACAATTTTTGTCAGAGATATTTTTGTGAAAAAACTTCCCGTTTTGCTGAAAATCGCGAAAAACTAATTTTTTTGACCTTTGACCTTGAATAAAATTTTTTCCATGCAGGAGAATAATGGGGAACTTTAAAATTTTATTTATAATTATATTCTGAACAATTTTACTGATTTTCAGCCTGTTGTAAATTTATGTACCTTCACTGTTATTTTTTGGTCTAATTTGACCGGACTAAAATTTCAATAAAGAAATTACCATTATAAATTTTTTTATCCAATCTTAAAATTGAATTGCATTGTCGGTATTGTTCTAGATTTTAAACTGAAAATTAAAAAAAAAAAAAAATTCTTAAAATACGACCACAAATAACGGAGATAAAAGGTTTACAGCAAAACAAAAGAAGGTCGATAATTCAAACATTTTTCTTAACCAAAGCTCAAATGAAGAACATTTATTTGAAAAAAGTGTTAGTCTTGGTTATATCTACAACCACTGTTACATTGTCCATTTTAAGTAGAACCAAACTGTTTACTAAGTAAATATCGAGGGGTCACCCACACCTGGGAATCCCTGGACATTTTAGAGGGGGAATACCATAGGAATACAATAAAATATAATGGGAATACATGGGAATCCCTGGACGTTTTCCCTTTGGGTGGTTGACCCCTCGGTAAATATAAACAAATAATATTTTAAATAATAACCAAAATTATGTAGGTACCTACAACATGAGAAAGAAAGATAGAGATATTGAATAAAGGTTTTGTTAAATAAAATAACTAATAAACTAATAATAATTTTGTGAATTTTTAAAATTATGAAATATTTAAAAATTTAATTTTTTTGTAATTTTTTAAAACTATTATAAATTTCACTAGGTTTATTGTTTTCTACCCGTCAAATCCTTTATTTGATAACCATGTTATGGAGGGAAAAAAATCTTGCATGCTAAAAATTTACTCTCAACGCGCCAAATAAAGTATTTAAAGCATTTAAACATAAGTAGTGTATTTTAAGGTCAGATTTAGTCAAATTCACGAAAAATCTTCAAAGCATATCTGTAACCCTGCTAAGTACCTGCATTTGATATTTTTGCTAAAATTTTAACAGTCGTTGGTAGTTTTTCAAAAAATTTAAATATTTTCATAACCTATGTACATATGTGCACCAGTTAAAACATTTAAAAATACCTGTTATACACTGATTATATCAATTTTTAAGACCAAAAATTCTGATTCTTATCTTTAGCAAAATTTCTACATAATGTTTTTTCCTAGCATTAAAAATCGTAGCAAATTAGGCCTAAAATAATTAAGTCAGAAAAAACAATTTTGTGTGTTTGTCGTTAAAATGAGTTAATAATGGCTGTAAGTCAAAAATGCCGCCCATTATGAAAATTCTGAGATGTTTTACTTGTAGTCCCAATTTCAAGATATTGCGTTTGCATATTTTTAAAAGCAAATATTTTTATATTGTATGTAAAAAAATCAAAAATAGTTGTATGTATACAGAAAACCCATTTTGTTTGTATGTATAGTTGTATCATTGAGTATCATGAGTATTTACTCAATGGTTGTATGTTAAAAATAAACGTAAATGTAGATTGTGTTTTTTTATTTAACGTTTCATTAAATATCCATTAAATTTATACTTAAACCTAATAATAAATGCGAAATTATAAAAAAAGTCCATACATTTCAAATATAAATCATATTTCATCCTCATTCAAAAGCATATTAGGAATACCATTTGTAATTGGGAATTTCCTCCCTGTTTCTGGACAAATTAACTCCCCATTAATAACTTCCAACTGTAACAAAGCATGGTGAACTTTCTTCAAAAAATGTTCATCATTCTCATAATTTTCCACCATTTGTTTAGGTAAATCTTCTAAATGTCCAATACTTTCTGTGGCAGTATATAAAGCAGGGTAATCAATTTTTTGCATTATCCTTGCGACAAATTCCGGGTTAAAATCAACTTCTGTTACCTTTACATCAGAAGCCTACAATAATAATAGAGAAAATAAGGAAATCACTACCTTAAATTTACTTACGCTTATTTTTAAGGGAAACCCAACATTAACACCTTTCATACATTTAGAACTAAGAAAATTATGCGTAATAAGCTTCATTTTACCGTATTATCACTGTTTAAACCGCTTTAAAACGTTTAAAAACCCTATTTTAGAGCGTGATAAAGTAAGTGTCAGAAAAGTCAGGTTATGATGGTTGTAGTAAACAACGTCAAAAAATGTGAAGTTGATTTTATTGGTTAATGCAGTACTGTTTTAAATATGGCGCTGTTTTTTTAAAGGAAGTACTCGGTTTTTATACTAAATAATGTATTTATTTGTAGTTTTCAAATTATGGTAATATATTTATAATAAATTATTGATATTTATTATTATAAGTATGTAAATAATTAGTGTTTACCTGATTTCGGGGGGAAGTTTTGGGTCATTCTTTTGACTAGTGGAGTGGGTTGCTTCCGGTATCTGGTGATGTTCATTTGGGTTTGTTAAAACGAAAATCCCAACTGACGCTTCTAGACGCCATAGCGGTGATTTAGTAATATTTTGCGATTTTTGGTAATATTTCGTGTTGGCGCGTGAAATGGAAAGTGAACATGTAATAGACGAAGATTCACACGACTCGGAAATAAACATCATTCCCGTACAATTGGTGGATTCTTACAAACATAGAGCATCTTACGAAGGCGTTTCTATATCTCCTACGAACAGTTCGAATATTGTTAGGGGAAAATATTACAAACAAACCTATCGGCCGGCATGGGAGGAAATGCCTGATTTCAAAGGTATGCAAAAATTATAGTAAAAATGTATCTATCGTCAAAACTAAAGATGTCCCACAATGTGGGCGAATCTGAATTTTTCGGTAATCGATATATAAAGGGGTTATGTGTGTTTAAAGTTTGAGTTTTTTGTTGGACATGTTCTCTAAAAAACAATACAAGGGTTAATCTTTAGAATGACAACAATATAAAAATGTGATTTTAACAATATATAATGATCCAACCATAGATAATAAATCCAACTAGATAAAGCAGGGTGGCTATTGTCTGAAAAACCTGTATAACAAGGATGTCATAATATTAATTAAATATTTAGTGTAATACCCACAGACCTACAAGGTCTGTGGTAATACCTATATGGCACAGAACATAAGAGAATTAAAAGCGCTGTAGTGAAAAGTGGCAACAGGCATTGTTTGATTTTGAAATCTAGCAGGCTTGGAAATCCGAGGTGCCAGTAAGCCATTAGCTGGCCATACACAGGCGTTATTTTGCGCGGTTTATCGTGGCGTGTTGGGATGTAGCGGTTAGTATGCACGAAAGAACGGCATGGCAAAAAAAGCGTCATGTTCCATACACTTGATAAAGTATTCAAATGATTTAGCAAGTGATTGCGCGTAGTATATCAGTTTCAAAGGAAAAATCGTATGTGAGTGGGCAAAAAGTGTCACGTGACGCGGAATGTGGCGTGTGGACACTGCTGAAATGATGTACGCCACACTCCAGAGGAAAGCACGTCTGAAATCCCTTCCCGTTCTATCATTGCGCGCGGCGATACTCACGTACATGATTTTCCATATGTTTTTGCAGATAACACGATAAACCGCGCGCAATAACGTCTGTGTATGGCCAGCTATTGGTGGAAATATCCACACGATTTCTGCGGCGCGAATTTTGAATTTTTATTTAAAATATGGAATTATAACCGAAAATTGTTAAAATTTTATATTTTTTTGGGTTTTTAAAGAACCATATAGTTAATATTGTTCTTTAAAAATCAAAAAATATAAAATTTCAACAATTTTCGGTTATTTTCCACTAATTAAGTGGAAAAACACACATTTTTGTTTTTTTTATAAATATATTAAACAAAATATACACTTAATTCAATTTTAAATTAAATTATAACCAACAAATAATATTTAAATGAAGAGAAATTCAAAGTTAATTATTCTATAACTTTTAGTGAAATTTAAAACAAGGTTTATCAAACATGTATAATAATTTATAATTATTTAGGTATAATTTATCAAAAAGTATGACATTTAATTGATCATTTTCAAAAATTTTAATTTTGTGCCACATAATAACAATCTTTATAGGTATTTTAAGATTTCTTAATAAAAATGCAAAGGTTTATTAAACAAATTAACTCTAACCTATTACCTACCATCAAAATGTGATAAATTCTTGATAAACAATAGTTCAATACTTATTGAAAAACTATTGATATTAATTTAGTAATTTATTTTAACTGAATCTTTGACTAATTTAAAAGATTTTATATTTTACTTTACAAGTTTATCTTAAAGCTATTATACTTTTGCTAAGACTATTGCCAATAATTATGTTAAACATATGAAAACATTCATTTTAAATAGATAACATCAAATATATGAAATTCTTCAACAAAATAACTAGCTTTACTTGCTTTCAAATATTTCAGTCTCGTTTTAAGACGATCATTCTTTTGAATGGGGAATATACGAAATATTTATTACAAACAATTAATTTAATCGCGCATATAGGCACTAACGGTATATTTAAAATAACACTACGCTTTTTGTGTGTACTCTTATAATTTTTAGGAATTGTTAGCAAAAGTATGATTATAATTTGTGTTTTAAATAAGAAGCACAATACTATAGTTTTGTAAAATATAGAATTTTTGGCAAAAAGGAATTCCCACTTATCCAAAAATTAAATTACATTCTTTGCAATATTTAATTTTTAGTAAAATTGGTTTAATTTAAATTAATAATCAATAGAACCACTTCAATCTAAATGTTAAAAATATTGTAATTATGTATTTGGCAAAATTAAAATCTTTATGTACCTATCTTTTATATAAAATACTTTGTATGATATAACTGTCTGGTCAATATTAAGTACTGTCTGTCCTCTCTAAGTTGGCGGAACTAAGGAATTTTGTAGTTTAGATATTAAAGAATTGTCGTACTGTGTGCTTTTAAAACAGATTTTATATTATAAATAATACTAGTACATATTATATACTAGTATTATTTATAATATAAAATCTGTTTTAAAAGCACACAGTATGACAATTCTTTAATATCTAAACAACAAAATTCCTTAGTTCAGTCAACTTAGAGTGGACAGACAGTATTAATTGATTGTCTTCTTTCTTGTTCATGATTCATGGATTGAACCAGCGTCTTTTTCTTGATTCAATGAAGAATATTCAACTGCAATTAATATTTTCTATGTACTTTTGCAAAGAAGTTTGATAAATTCAAGTCCTGTCTACTTCTTCCATTAACACAAACCCAAACCTGAAATCAATATCAATTTTAAAATCAATTTAAATTGTAAAAAGATTGATATTACCTAATAATTTTTAAAATTAAATAAAAATAATTTAGCAATATTTCTGCTGAAGCAAATAATTGAATGGTTTATTGTAAAAACAAGGGAAGTAACTAACTAAATATGATTATGTTTATTTTTTAATTTAAAAATCTTATAAAAACTAATAATGGTGACCTTGTGCTGTTTTAACATGAAAATATTCTTTTTTAATATCTTGCTAAATAATAATCTAAAGCAGAAGTGTATGTAATATAAAAATGTAAGATTGCTTGTTTTTAACAATAAACAATTTAATTATATTTGGAGTAAAAAATAAAAGTGTACTTTCTTTAATGGACAAGGCTTTTACTTTTTTTATATTTGTATTGTAACTATGGATGTGTGAATATTGAATTCAAGAATTATTTGAATAGTTTGAATGTTTCAAATTTTTAAATGGTTTAATAAGAAAATTAAAATTTTCCAATAGTAATTGAAGAAATGGAACATGGAATTGTAATTTAAAATTTATTTTTAAATAAAAAGTTTGAATGTTATTTACTTGTCATTAACCCTTAATTATCTTATTTGAATAGATTATGATTGTAATTATTTAACTATTCAAATAATTCAAACTATTCATGTAGTTTGAATATTTAATTTTAAGTTTGAATTAAATATTACTAGTTAATTAAATTTGGTAAAAATATTCACACACCCCTAATTGTAACTAAAAATGTATTCTAAATGAAAAAAATATCTAGGTACCTATTATTAAAAAATTTTGGAAGTCAAATATTTCTGCTTGGGATTGACGAGTAAAGCTGTCTTTCATTATTTTTCTTCATGTAGGATAAATCTTCTCTAATTGTTCCATTATGGCAAAACCTAAAATTAATGCATTAAATTAAAATCAATTATATTGTAACAAAAAATGATTGAATTTAAAACTTTAAAAATATTTCTTTAAAAGGTTTGCTTATGAATTGTCTAGTTATTTATGTACATTAAAAATGTCAGACTTTCATATAGAACAAATAAAATAATTATGAACATACTGTAAAAGATTATCACCCTGTAGATCAAAAATTCAAAATGCTATGTTTATGTAAAAAAAAACATGGAAAGCACAAAACATTTGTAATATAATCAAGTTTTGAACTGTATGCTTACAAGTGTTTTATATGACCTCCTCCAGCTGCAAACATCTAGTAAATACTTGAACATTTTCTATCCCAACCGAAGGGTCTGAGTGGTAATTTCATCAATGGCAGTTCCAATTCGTGTCTTTAGTTTTCACAAATCTTGGGGCTCATAAACTTTATCTTTTATAAAGCCCCAGAGAAAGAAGTCGCACATTGAGAGAGCGGTCGAATGTGTTGACCATAGATGAAGTGCCAAATTGTTGGGCCCTTTACTTCCGATCCACGGATGAGGGGGCTGGACCCAGGTCCAGTTTTCGCTTAGCTGTATATGCAAGGTACCAAGTATTCTTCTATGCATGGGTATTTTTTTTATTTGAAGAGCTACAACGTTGGTTAAATTAGACAAAAGTTGTGTTAATACAAGTCTATTAAAATAGCATTTAAAAATTAGTAGGTAGGTATTGTAATTAAAATTGGAAAATAAAAATTTGATAATTAAAATGATTTACAAAATATTATAAGTAGATAACCTACAAATTTACCAAAACAAAGATAGGTATACCTTTTGTAATAATAAGAATATTATAAAAGCAACTAGGTATATCGTGTTAATTTTTAAATAAAATGTACTACTTAAATTGATTGAGCATTGAAAATTCCGAGAAAACATCGTTAAAAACTTACATGTATTAAGGTTTATTTACGTTGTTATTTTTATTCAAAAAACGTTAAAACCATTCCAATTCCATGAAAACTTGGTTTAATTAAACACTTTATAAGTTTTATTATAGAAAAATAATATTCTATTTGTTTTATTACAACTTTCATAACATTTGTTTAAGGAAAACATGGAGAAAAAAACCGAAACGGTTAATTCTACGTATTTTTTAATAAAAACGCGGTAGTGATGCTACATTTAACTTAAACATGCCTATATCCACCTAATATAATGTTAAAGCAGGAATTAACAATTTTACTTACCTAAAACAAAGAAAATCTTGTTTAAAATATTTCACTCAACACAATTACAAAGCGGTTCAGCCATTTGCAATTTACCACAGCTGATAGAGAACGGACGAATTGGTGAACAACCAATCACAACAAAGGAAATCATGTGCCTCATAACATGTAGTTAATCCCACCAATGATTTACATTCACCTCGGTTTTCCAAGCCTGCTTGATTTATTTTACTGTTGCCTATTGTCAAATTCCCCTTATACCCCCCTGCTATATGGTATATTATTGGATATATCATTAGGTACATCTGTTAGACCACATGCACAATTTGACCAATCAATGATGGATGTGGAATATAGTTCTTTCAATGTGGACCAGCATTACCAGATTGTTAAAAAATGTAATAGATTTTGTGTAAATTTAACTGTACCAGAAATATTCACACAAAATCTATTACTTTTTTTAACAGAATCTCGTAATGCTGCTGTGGACATGTCTCTAGCCACTTTGTATCTTTTGCAGAGACAAAATGACATATAATTTATTTTATTTATTATATACACTTTGTATCTTTTGCAGAGACAAAATGACATAATTTATTTTTGTGACTCATGACTTTTGAGTCATCTATGCTTAAACGAAAGCGCCAAAAACTTTTTGGGCTAGACAAAATTTGCAAAATAACTCATTTTTAATGCTGGTCAAAAAATTAATAATGATTTGGGAACACCCTCAATGCTTTTGAGAAAAGTTCCAAATGATTATCATATATTTTGAGCATTATTAAAAATGAATTATTTTACAAAAAAAAATAAAAAGTTTTTGGCGCCCCATTCAAAAGTTATTTTTGCCGCCCCTCGTAAAAGTTACTTACCAACTTTTAGCATTTATTAGAATTTACATTGAACTATCACAAAATAAACTACATAACATTGTAATTATTTATAATATAGAAATTTTAATGTCAAAAATTATAATGACAAAAAAAATTACAAATAATAAATAAATAAAATAACATTGCGTTCTAAAAAAACAGTAATAGATTTTAAAAGTTTAGTTTAATAGAAAAACATTTTTTATAAATCAAGTATTTTTGAGAGAGAATTAAATTTAAAAAACATGACATGACAATAAAAATGAAAACTTGTATCTAAAACTAAGTAAAGATAAAGATAAGATAAATTTATTCAGCAAAAATTACAAAATTAATAAACAATATAACAAATAAATTTTATTGTGTGCACCTGATTTCTCGGAGGAAATCGTGCTGTGCTTGATATTTTAATATATTTGTTTTTAAGGTATGTATAACAAAATAAATTACTTATAAATTATCTAACAAAAACATAGTAGTAATTTCTATAAAAAAGAAAACTTTATAAAAAAAACAAAAATAAACATGATTTTAATTTGAAATCGAAAAATTTATTACGTTATTCGTAACTATTAAATTATAATATAAATTAAATTTTATTATAGAAATTTAAATAAGAAGAAAAGAGCCATATCAATAATATTTAAGTATTAAGTATTATTAAGTATTTGTTTTATTAATTGTTCATTTTCACCTATAAAATTTTTTAGTTTTTTACAAAATAAACCAAATGAGTTCAGGGATCTAAGGTCCTGTGGCAAAATACCGAATATTTTTGGACCTTTAACAAGAATTGATTTTTCAAAAGATGTTGACGGTATCCTTGGAATTTGCAAAAATTCATGTCTAGTATTATATGTATGTTGTACTATTTCTCTGAGTTCAGGATTTTTGTAAACAAATTTTGAAACATTTAAAGCATAGAGCTGGTCAAAGTTAAGTACTCCCATTTCCTTATAAATTTCTTCAGTTGGGGATCGACGTTTTTTTTGATAATATCGTTTTAATTATCCATTTTTTTGTTGTTATTACTAGGGATGGGATATTTAGGTACTAAAAACTGAAAAATAGGTAACTAAAAAGGTACTAAAAAAAAGCATTTTAGGTTAAAAAAACAGCATTTTAGGTAAAAAAAAATAATAAAAGTTTAAGTTTTGTTTATAATTTTGTTTAGCCGCATACCCAAACACAGAACATACCCACAATAAACTATTTATATGCAATAAACTGTGTTTTACTGAGTGACACTCACTACACAGAAGTTCTATGACAGAACTCACTAGTAGTGAGTCACTAAAAAGTTGACTGTTACAGTCTGTTACCATAAGAAAAAACTCTATACCGTTGAGGTGCACGCCCTGGATAAAATATTGGCGCAAATTTTAAAAAGAACAAAAAAAAATAAAATAAGTTAAAATACGTAAAAATAGGTAACAAATATATGAAAATAAACTGACAAATTAAAAAATATGTAACAAAAATATAAAAAGGTAGTTTAAAGCAAAAACCTCCAAAAAAGGTAAAAAAGGCGAAAAAAAGTTTGAAAAATAGGTAACAAAAGTATAAAAAAGGTAGTTAAAAGCAAAAACCTCCAAAAAAGGTAAAAAAGGTGAAAACAAGTTAGGTTCATATAAAAGAAAATCTTTTAAAACACATTTTGGCATTATTGGTTTTCAAATAGTTACATCGGTTAAAAAAAGGTAAAATAACTAAAATCCCATCCCTAGTTATTACATTTTTAAATTGAGATTCGTATGTGCCTCCCCAAATAATAATACCATAAGATATCTATTATTGATTCTACCAGTGACTTATAAGCAATTTTCATTATGTTAACCGGTACTATATCTCTGAGTCTGTAAAATGTAAATACTAATTTTTTTAGTTTGTTGTTTATAAAGTTGCTATGTTCATAAAATTTAAAAGTATTATTTATAATCATTCCGAGGTATTTTACGGACTCAGTTTTCTCAATTGTTCTTTCACAGAGGCAATTTATGTTTTCGTTGCATTTGGAATGAAATATTAAACTATTAAATTCAGGCTGAGTATTAAATAAATCATGTTTATTAATAATATCCAGGAAATTAAAACCCCCATGGGTGTTTTGGTCTCCAATGTGTTTTGCATAGTAATTTTCTTGAAAAGTAAAAGAAAATCAGTAATATTGTCATTTTTAAATACAAAAGAATACTTTAGTACCTACTATATATGTTAATATTTATATCATTTAAAAACCTACCTAACAAAATATTTTATTTTTCATATAAGGATTATAACCTATATACCTTGACCAAAACATATTATATTATAATCCTATATTTGATATATTATCCCCCATAAGTATTGTTACCTATATTTATTATAATAATCATTATTGTATACCTACCTAAATTTTTAAAAATAGAAATATATTCGGAAATTGACTATTCTTTACTGATAACACTAATTCTAAATGATATTGTTCCCATAATTATAATAATAGAAAATAAACCAATACTTAAGGAATATTTTTAAATAAACAATTATTGACACCCACTATAGGGCGCTTTACTTACTCATATCATGTACCGCAATATATGTAAAAAAAATTAACTTTCGCAGACAGACAATTTCAAAAAAATATATTAAAAAATATCCTCGAAAATCTCTAAAACTTTTATAAAAAAACTTGAAATTTTAATGTTTCTATTTATAAGAACATCAATTTGGATTTGGCATAAATCAGGACAAAACAAATACAAAAAAAACTGGAACTTGTTTTTTAAATTAGAGTTAAATTGACATTGACATCATGATATAAATGCATCCCATATACTTTTATTATGTTATGTTTTTTATAGCTGTCTTCAGACTTAACTTAAGCTAAATACAACTGTTTTAAATTAATCTAAGCAAAAACAAAAATACTAAATAAAACATTGTTTTTTTGTTAAAGGTTGGCTTAGGGGAGTAGAAGGAGAACCGACAAGAGCTTATTGCACTTATTGCCAAAAAACACTGCACGCTCACCGTTTAAGTCTTCTAAAACACACCTGCACACTTCGACATCAAAAAGCAGCTCAAATATACAACTCCAGAAAGGTAATTGCAACACAAAACCTAATTTCGACGTTATTTATTATTATTATTATTTGCAGAACAAAGATCATACAGCGATGGAGCAAGAAATACATACCGTATTGCTTAAGCATGACGGCGTTATAAATCATGAGGAGATTGAAGGTGAAAGTGAAACAATCGTAGAATATGCAGAAGCTGGTTTGGAAGAGCAAGACATCGAACATGAAGAACATGAAGAGGAAGATGAGGAATCTGTACATTTAGAAGTACGCTTAGATGTAAGTTATAACACGTTAAAAACCAATTTTAGAATGCCAAATATGTTTTATTCTATACATTTTTTGCAGAATCAGGCTCATATGCAGAAACCACCGATTTCCACCCACGTATTGGATACCACTTTGGGAGTCCCAGTTTCTGGACTTCAAGTGAGTCTTTATAAATTAATCGACGGAAGGTGGACTTACATTAATGAAGGTGTTACAAATTCTGCTGGAAGATTCTCTCAATTTATGGAGAGAACCGATTTTACTCCTGGACGTTACAAGTTGCATTACGATGTCGACAGATATTTTGAATCCAGGAAACAGGTCTCATTGTATCCGTTTATTGAGGTATGTAAAATATTCTAGTAGTTTTTATTTTTATTGTTCTTATGTCGAAGTTCAACATCTTGACAGTTGCGATGTATAGAGATTTAAAATTTCTGAAAAAAATATTTCCCGAAAAAAAAACCGTTTTTTGCGGTAATTCACCGAAAAAATTATTTTGTTATATGTAACTAGAAAAAAGTGTGTTAATGCTTTATGGCATTACATTTTAGTATTTCAAAAATTATTTACAAATTATTTTGATGAAAAAATGCATTTTACGACACTGGCGAATTGACGCGGTACATTCACCAGCAAATTTCTTCGCATTTCGGTAAATCCCCGAAAACATCAATTTAGTTAATGTTTTTTATTTAAGATACTGCAATAATATATTTATATAATAATCATTTCTGTATTACATAATACCTACAATGCCTGTACAAAATGAAAACACAAATTCCTTAGACCAAAGCAATGCAATTGTTCAAAAGTTGATAATAATAACTTTGAAAAAACAAACGTTTTTGCCCAAAACTTAAAAAAAAAAATCTATGTTGTTAAGTCTTAATCTAATTTTTTTAGTGGATGTATTTTAATAATTTAAAAAAATACGAATCACCAAAATATTTGCAATTTTGCAATTTTTTTATTTATTTGATGTTATTGGTTATTATTTATTAATAATTATTAAACCATAATTCAAGAGGCAAGTGGATGTAGTGGAAGGCAGATGCTCAAACACTTTTAAGTGTTCATGCTCAAAAATGTTCATAAATGCTCGAGCATTTTTAAACGCTTATAAACAGAAAATTAACGAATTTTTTTGGTTATGTTATAACCCCGTTTTTTAGTTATGGCGGGAAATGCAAATAAAGAGAACTTTTTAAAATCGCTAGAGCGCTTTTAAGCACTTTTAAAGCAGGGCAATTCCATGATAACTCACGGGACATTCAGATGACAGAAATAAAATTTAACTTGGTATACCAGAATACCTATATTTATTAGGAATGTATAAAATGTTTAAACTTTAAAGGATAGGCCAATGTACATTTTTAACATTTTTGAATAAGTTCACCAATTGATCTCTAGACAAAATGCAGACAAAACGCGTGATAACTCATGGGACACGAAAAACTTTCTTTAAAAAATTGGTTAAATGAAGCAACCTTTTTCTCTGAATCCTAAACTGTATAAAACATAATCTTATTTTAAAAATATACTTTGCCTATAGTGTATTAAAAAAACATTCAACTTAACTGCTTTGATTGTGTGAGATTTTAAAAAAATTTGTTAATATGATGACTCATGGGACAACATATTTTTAGTGCAGAAATCAAAAGCAGTTAAGACTGTAATTATTTAAAATTTTATGGAATATTGGGTTAAATAAATAAAGTAATAATTTTCTAGGCACAAGTAGACATGTATGCTCCTAGTTTAATAACATTTGGAACATTTCAATTGATATAAATTTGAAGAAAATTACGCTATTACGCATGGAATTGCCCAGTATTTTTAAAACAACCAGGTTTATGTTATATCCCGTTTTTTAGTTTTGGCGGGAAATTCAATTATTGAGCACTTTAAAAATTCGTCTATAATCTAAGATAATCACTATACTTCATAATAATACTGTACTTTGAAGAAATGGAATAGGCACCTTGGTGTATTCACGTTTATAAAAAATATATTAATTTTTTCGTTTATCACGTAAAAAGGTATTCCTTCAAAATCTTGCTCGTTTTCGAGATAAAATTGGGAAATTTACAGAAAAATTGAAATTTTATTCAAAAGGTAATGCAAAAAAAACAAAAGTCAACTTTTTTTAGTATGAGTATATAATATAATATAATAATTATTTCTTTTCTATTTCTATTTTAATTTAGTAACAATTTTTGGTTCTGTATTAACATAACTCTCGTTTTATTTGACACTTCAATTTATAAAAATTAATTAATTTTAAATTTAATTGATTATTTTGCAAAAAAGACCCAACCGACAGCATATTTAACGTTTACTTTTATTTTCTTAAAACGAAAAAAAAAACAGTTTTAAAACCAAGTTTAAAACCCTAGTTACAATCTAAAAAAATAACTAAAGGAGATGCCCAGGGCCGTAGCGAGGCTGGTGCAGGCGGTGCGGTGCACCAGGGCCCCCGACCTCAAAGGGGCCCCCAAAACTAAAAAGTTTTACTAAAAAATCGTAATTTTCGATATCCTATCCTATCCTAAAGTTTTGCACCGGGGCCCCTGAGTCCGTCGCTACGGCCCTGGAGATGCCACAAATTTAATTAAGTAACAGTACTGTCCAACTTCGTCCTTGTCAACGTTTTGTTTTTAAATAAAAAAAAATTAAGTACAAATTTATGACAATAAAATGGGTGCACTGAATAATTTCTCTAAAACGGTTACTCGGTAACAAGTTGTATCTTTTTTGCGTCATAAAGATGGAAAGTCATATTTTCATTAAGAGCGTGAATACTAAAGCTTAATTTTCATGTATCCGTTTGTCCGTTAGTCCGATCATTCGGGAGCGCTCTTATTGGTCCAATTATAATTCGAAAATTATGGCATTTTATCGGTCCGTCAAGTTTCAACTTCGTACGTCTGACAGAGAAAATAATTTTAACTTATTCGTCACTACACATCTGTTTTTGACGCCTAACGTTATTTTAAGATAATTTATTTTCAAATCTTTAATATTTTTTTAATAAGATTGTAAAACGGAAATATTACGTTCGTTAAATGAATAATGTTCTACTGTTAGTTTTTTATTTAATAATAATAACGGAAAAAAAGACAAACAAAAAAATATTAAAACCAGAACTAAAAGGATCTTTAGCTACCTACCTTTAAATTTATTAGACAGCTAACTGTTAAATCTACAATTATTAACATAATTGTAACTATGCCAATTAAGCATTAGGTAAATTTAGTGAATATATTGACCCTTAATTTCTGTTTGTCGCCAAATCAATCCGTTAAACGTCATTAAAAAACGGATGCATGAATATTAGATTTTATTGAAAACGGATACATGAAATTTAGCTTAAGACGCAAAAAAGATTTGGCCATTTAAACGGTTTAGTAAAGAACCGTTTTTTTAGAACCATTAAATCTCTATTTTAGTTTTCATAATGAATCTTTTCGGGAGTCTGTGGGGGCCTTAATACTTGCCTGTATTGTTTTGATTAAAGTAAGGTTTTAATTATCATATTTTTTGCAGATTGTTTTTGACAGTGCCATGTACTCTGATCATTACCATATTCCAATGCTTTTGAGTCCATTTGGATACACCACATACAGGGGATCATAAATTTTGAGTCTGACTTAAAAAATATGCTTACATTTTTCAAATTACTGTTATTAAGCATATGTTAATTAAAATTGTTATTAAATAACTCAATTTTGTATTATTTGCCATTTATTGAATTTGTTATTAAATAGGTTTCTTTTTTTGTATAATGTTAGTATTTATAATATATTTAGAGTTATTATTGTGAGGTATAATTTAGATTTAATCTGTATGACGAGATAATTTTGTAAATAGGTTTATAAATAAAATTTTTAGTTCTAAATTGGCATTTTTATTTACATAAAGCAGAAAAAGTATTCTTGAAATCAATTAAATAGACTTAAATGTCTATTCCACACAGGTGTAGTAAAATGAGCCGAAAGTGAACCAAACAATAGCATCACATTTTTTTGTGTAAAAAGGAATTAAAGAATGGCGTCGAATGAAAAAACAGCACGCTACCTTCTTATTTTTTATCCGTGTTCTCAATGCTTATAGCATTGATTAATAAGTGACTCAATGCTTGAGTAAGATCTTACTCAATGACTCTAGACTCCCCTTTACATAACCTACAAATGTGCTTGAGTTCGACGCTATTTTATAGTTCCAATTTGGCGTGTTCATAAGTATGATTACGCCTCCCCTATCTTCCTTTAAGGATTAATAATCAACGTTTAAAACCACAAAAATGTCAAAATTACTTGAATGAAAAACCTAAACCATATTTAAGTAAATTAACTTAAAAACACAATGTCAAAACACATTTTAGAATTCTAAATATTTCCAAACAATTCAAGAACTCCGATATTTTTTAATAAATACCCAAAAGTGACCATGGAATATTGGGACACCCTGTATTATGGGTATTAAAAAATAAATATTAAATATTTATAAATGTCAAAAATTGTTTAAAATTGTCAAACCTTTTTAACCTCAAGAATAGAATGAGGTGTTTTAAAACAATTAATTTAATCTGACCTAACGAGAGACACCCGGTATATAAAAATTACCGCTTTCAGGAGAAACATTTCAAAATTAGACGATTTTTTAGGTCACTCGTGAAAATTTACCGTTGTTTTTAAACATCAATTTCGGAACGTTGTTATTGGCGGGAAAGTGCTGCCGTTGCGAAAGCGTGGCAAATGTGAAAAGCACGTCAGAAAATGGCGTTCAGTGACTTTTAGCACATGTCAATTTTCTCCGGTAAGTATAAATAAATCAATTATTTGAATTATTTAAATTAAATCAAGTAAAAGTGTGGCGTTTATCCGCTCATGTTACGACATTACGTGCTGTTAAACACGTTGTAAAACACTGTTTTATCGTAATCTGTGACGTAAACATTTTTCAATATTTGTAGTGTCATATCTTGAATGTTTTATAAATATTTTGTATATCAGCACTCGGAATAACTATCTGATTTCAAGTTATTTATAAATAAACAATATGGTTAAGTTTTTCGTCAATTAATGTAGGCGTTTACGGTTATTTTTAGGACCATCCATAGTTTTTTGGCTAACTGATTAATAAGAAGACTCAAGATTTGTTTATTAACTGATTCGGTAAGTAAAATGCGTTAAATTATTTTAGTTATTGGGTATATTTTGATATATAGTTTGTATTTGCGTACACACGTCTTTCTAAAATTATCTTTTGGATCACATCCAAGAAATTTCTTTTAAATGTCTCAACATTATTTGTGTCTAAAATTTAATCAGATTAATTTTGATATTACATCCACTGTACACATTTCATTTTACTAATCACTGTATGGAAAATGATAAAAATAGTGTTGTTTAGGGGCCTTAGTAGCACTTCTTCGACAGTTCAAAATATACAAAAAAAAATTGCTCTGTGCAATGTTTGGCATTAATTATTTTGTTTTTCTGTTATTCCAGGACAATTTTATTTGTTAAAAGTACAATTATAATAATACCGAATAATTAAAGTTAAAAGTGAGGTTAGATAGTTCTTATTGGTCCAAACAGGTAAAAAACTTTGCCTGATTGGTATAAACTATTTTTACAGCCTAGGCAATAATTTTTGACATCTTAAATCATTCTAAAATGCGGTCATCTATGAATGTAGTTTGAAAGCTCTAAAATGGGGTTGTGACATTTTATTTAAAAAAAAATAGTTATTCTCCTTCATAGACAAATTAATAACTTAAAATATAATATGAGTCACATTCCTTACAAATTTTAAAATAGGTACATTTGCCCTAAGTACATTGTAGGACTAAGGTCAACTTTTGTTAATTATATACTGAATTATTCAAATTTCTCCTGTATTTTTTAAATGACAATGGACTATGCAAATGCAATCCCAAACAGCAAATTTATTTTTTGTTGTAGAAAATGGTTTGCTTCCAAGAAGAAGGGCCCGTTGACTGTTCTGTATGCGATTCCACACAGGAAGGTACAAAAAGGTACACACACTTACAGATTCAACCATCAATGCAAGTTTCTCATATTTTTAACGAAGTCGCAGCTGCACATCTATACAAACCGGAGGAGCTTTGGCTAGTGCTACACAACAGAGATGGTGCATCTGTAAGTAGAATTTTTTTTATCATCACCAAAACTTTAAATCAATTATTATATCCATGCATTTTATGCTCTAAGATATTTGTCCATATAAAACATGGATAGAACATACAAATTGTATGATACAATGCTGACAATAGGGATCCACTAAATATAAAAAAAAATGTCAAGTTTTTTCACAGTTGACCCTGTATGTCCTTCGACTGCAGACATAATTCTTTGGTATCTTGATCATTTAAAAAGTTACCTACATCAGGTTATGCTATGCAACGTAATTTTGCATATTGGAATGGCTCCAACTATCCCTAGAACATTGAACTTTAATCATTGAACGAAAATTTCAATTAATACCTTTACCTGTCTAATAATATAATGCATAATAAATTATTTATGTCATTAGGCTGAGAAGTTAAACAAAGCACAAAAATACAGTCACTTGGCCAATGTCATACAACATTTTATTTTTGAGGCACAATTTTACTTACAATACAATTATAACAATAATTATAGACCAATTAAATATAAAGAATCTTTTTAGTAAATTTTATAAACAATTGTATAAAATAATAAAACTTTCATTATGCTACTAGCACAAACTTTGAATAATGCATTATTTAAAAAAAAATATATTTACAAAAAATTATTTGCTATTTAAAATAGGAAAATAAATAATATTTAGTTTAAAAACAACATTGTTCTGAAAAAAACATGAATTGTCAAGGACAAGGAAAATTTTCAATCTATTTTTACTGCAAGTCCATTTTATACATATTGATATAAATAATTTTTTAATACCAAAAATAATAAATAAAATCCCAATTGAATATCAAAATTGTTTATTAATAAACAAAATTGATACATCCTGTTTTTTAGATTCAATTTTTTTTGCTGTATGTATGATAAAGTTATTGAAATATACAGGGAATACCGAAAATGACCCATACCTATAATAATTATAGTATAATACTAAATTTATTTTACCAAAATACCAGACAAAACAATGTTTTACTCAAAAACTACACGTCGGAAATTTCGTTGTTATTAAAGTTATTTTAGAGTGTTCAAAAATTGTATAATGTTAAAATTACTTAACAATATAAAGAATTATTAAAAACATAATAAATGTAAAATAATTGAACCTTGTTCTGCAGAAGGCAACCAACCCACAATTTAGAAAAAAATAAGCTAAACTTTAGATAAAATCTCCCAACCCTATTTTAAGTGACGAAATCACTATCATAAAATTTGCCATATACAAGGTGGACCTAAAATTCCTGTACAAAATATTTCAAAGACCAAAATAATGCGATATAACTAAATTGACCTCTATACAACAATTTGAAATAACCAAGATACAGGGTGTATGGGGTGAAAATTCCCTTTTTGATTTTAAAGAATAACTTGTATGTAGGTTGTAGAGGGCGCTGTAAAATGTTACTTTTTTCATCTTTATTACCCAATAGAAGGTAAATTTATATGTATTTATAAGCAACAATTAATTAATAATAAAATTTGTAACGATTTTTACATAATAATTGATATTTAGTACATTTTAGTCCTTCCCTTTGAAATTGATTCATTTTGGTATAGGTAAAATAAATATAACCTTAATACATTTTTTATTGCATATTTGGAATCCAATCATTACTTTTTTTCTACAATTTTTGAGAACACTAATGACCTTGCGTGACGTAACGATAGTGTGGTGTAATAGGCGTGTCAAGACTTACGAATGAAGTATATGCAAAACAAAAATACGAACATAACCAATTTCGTTGACAGTTCACACCTTTTTACTTGTTATAAAACCATTAAGAGCGTATTTTTGTGTACAGTTTATATAATAATTTAAAATTTAAAACATAATTATTAGGTTCTAGTATACAAGGTGTTTCACGTTCGTGGTCCATTAAAAGTTTCTGGGGAACGGCAAAAGATATCGATTTTAAACTTTTAAAGCCTCAACTTAAGTCTTTTTATTTAAAATATTTTAAACAAAATGCCACTTCAGGTTTGACTTTATTATTTCAAATAAACCACCCTATATATATATTTACATTTTTAAATTTGGGTAATATGACTAAACCATGTCCTATACCTAAAGTGAATAGTTTTCAAAAAATGCCCGTGAATCAAAAATAGCCTATACCTTTGTCGTTATTATGTTTGCATATGGGGGTGGAATTTTAGGAATCTTAAAACATCGTTTAAAAGATTTCATGTAAATTCTTTAACATATCTCAACAAATTACTTAAAAAAAACATGGCAGATTATAGCCTATAGGTTAACTTGAAACGTTAATATTTTTTTTATTTTAAATGTAACATCCTGTATGTTTTTACTTAATCACATAGAAAATTAAAAAACATTTCGTTGGATGTAACTATTCCCTATACCTTAATTTAATAATTTCTGAAATATTTAACAATTTTTAATATTAGGTAGTCAAGTATAGCAAGTCTAATGTAGAAGTGAAAATTAAGAAATGCCTGAATGTTAAGGCACTTTGACTATTGGTAATAACAATTTCTAATTATAATCACAGTAAACTGTTAAGTGTTTACTGTGATTATAATATTGTTGGTTTATTAAATTACACATTCTTTAAGTTATTAAAATATTTCCTAAAATGAATTTTATATTTTATTTTCTCCAATGAGCTAGTGCTAGTGGTATTTGACATCCTACAGCTTTGTTGATTTTTTTTTAAATTATCAAATACTGTTTGTAAATTTTAAAATTTTTTGACTGGTCAATATTTTTTATAAGTCACTGACTGCTATTTTTTATCAGTAATTTTGTTTACAAAACAATTAATTAGTCAACAAATTGTTTATTACAACTTGAAAAATTGAAGTCATTAAATTTTGTATGACAGATTACATGGTAATCATACCGTCAACTCACCCGTCATAGGTATCTTGATACAAAATAATTTTAGAAATTGTTAAATATTTCTAAAATTTAGGAACCTATATATAAGGAAAAGTTACATTATCCAAAAGGTTTTTTATTTAACTATTTGATTATGTAAAAACATACCGGGTGTTACATTTAAAATAAAAAAGTAATTAACGTTATAAGTTGGCTTAATTTGGCCTGGGTTTACTTGAAAATGCTAAAGAATTGACATGGAATCTTTTAAACAATGTTTTAAGATTCCAAAAATTTCACCTCTATATGCGCAAACATAATAACGACAAAGTATAGGCTATTTTTGAGTTACGCGCATTTGTCAAATTTTAACGAAAACTATTCACTTTAGGTATAGGACATGGTATAGTAATTATACTCAGAATTTTAAATTAAATTTAAATATGTCAAAATATATGGAGTGATCTATTTGAAATAACAAAGTTTATGTCACTTCCGGTTAAACCGGAAGTGGGATTTTGTTCAAAATATTTTAGAAAAATAGACTTAAATGGGTTTATTTTTTCCGTTCCCTAGAAACTTCTAATGGATCACGAACGTGAAATACCCTGTATACTTGACTGCAATTTTCAAACTACTTAAATACTTTAAAGAATATGAACAATGTATCTGTTTGAAGGTTATGTTCTTTGAACATACCTACATCATTCATTCGTAACATAAAATAAAACATAATTTATTCGTAACTTAAAATACTTTATTCGTGAGTATTGTCACGACTGTTACACCAACAGTATAATTTATCGATTGTCATTTCAAACGAAAAATTTATAGCAAACATTTTTTATTGGTATACGCTAAAGAAGTATCGCTAGTAGCGCCACCACTCGGCTGTTATCATCGTAACAAAAGTATAACTTTTTATAGTCAGCTGTCAAACGCGTGTGTTACAAACGAGTGTTTTTAAAAATAAAGCCGGAAAATTTAAAAAAATATCGGAAAAAACCGTGGCACGATTTGTTGTGTTGTTGGGTGTTTTTTCGAGAGGAAATCCTGGGTTGAGTTTGTATGGGTTTTCCAATAAACAGTGTTAATCCGAATGAAGAAATAAATTTCATACAGTCCCTGTAAATATAAATTGTATCTATTAGATACAATAATACACATTTTAGTAATGATTAACGTGAAAAGTGTAAACATTTCAATTCAGTAAAAATTGTCAAACAAATAAGTCGTCTAAATTTAAACAGCATTTAGCATTATTAAAAGCGTTGATTAAGAATTCTTTAAAGTTTTCACTCAACGGTAAAATACCATTATATTATGTATTATATATAATATTGTGTTGCCATGAATTCGTAGGTATATTTTGTTGTTTAAAATGCAGTTGTCGGCGTTTTTTAGAGAACTCAAATATAAAAATGGTTGATTTTAAGGTTATGTTTGTGCAAAAATTACTTTTTACTAATTCCCTAAAAATGTCCAAACATAAATATAAATTATATTTGGTAAAGTTATCATTAGTTGATTCTGCACCAACAAATGTACTTACCGAATTGGATCCTTTGGCAAAACATGAAAATGCAACGATTTATTTCTTGAATTTTATTTACAATTAAAAACGCAATAATTCACCATGATCTCTTAGATAAAATACACACACTAACGTAACTATATAAGCATTTAAGCGTTGAGTTTCTTAATCAATGATATATAGAATAATCAATCGAAATTGAGTACTAAAGCAGTTTTTTAGTTTTTTCCTTGCAACGTAAAACACAAATAACGTTCGCGATTTAGCTGTGCAATTGAACAAAATTTGTCGAGTAAGACTTCTGCCTTCCTCTCTTTTGTGAAAAAACTACCTATTTATTTAAAAATGATGTACAGTTCATGCTTTAAATGTATTGTTGACAATTCTTAAATTCACGCAAGTTCACCAGATGGCGCGCGCGTTGCGAAAACCCGATACTTCTTTAGCGTATAGGGTCCAATTAAGATTTTTGTTATAAAATATTTAGAATGTTAAAAACACCATTTATAATTTTTTTTATTAGTGTTTTTATGACTTTCATATTACACGGTGCTGTTCTGAGAGGTGATTTTTGGACTTTCTGTAAAACCTAATTTTTTTTATACTCTTGTTAATTAGGTGATAACTAAAATTTTAAGAGCAAAATAAAAAAAATTTGACGGTTAATTTTGTTTTAATTGGATGTTTATTAAAAATATGTATGCACACTTTCAATTCTCCAATTAAAACTTGCGATTTTATTTAAATATTATCATAACTTTTTAAATCAGATTAAAGATTAGTTAATTTCCTAAAAAAAGGTCTATACATTTTTTATATCTTTTACTGTTTTGTTGTAGTACATTTTTAAAGTTTTAATTTTAGGTTAAATGTATAGTATACATTTATTAAACAATAATTCTAAGGATGCCACATTTTATTTAGGGCCGATTTATTCATTTTTGATTTATTTGACGAATAATTTCTTTGGATACTAGATATTGCCAAGACATGAAAGTTATCGGCCCGATAAACTTTACTAAAGGTGAATAAACCGGTCCTTAGTTAAATTTCATGAATTTCTTCGTAACTTTTACTACAATTTTTCATTTTTGTTTATAAAAAACACTTTTAAAAACTAAACAAAAATTATAGAATACGTATACTGAAAATTACAATTCAAACATCAAATAAATTTTTAATAGATCTAAGTTTCATGGCAACCTTTAAGGATATATTAATTAAGGGAACATAAATGTATACGTCAAAGGTTAGATTAAAAGTTTGAACGTTTATTGCAACAAAACAGTAAAATATATAAAAAAAATTGTAAAAACCTTTTTTTTAGTTATGCAAATATTAAATATTTAAATTAAATCGGTAGTTTTAATTGGATAATTGAAAGAGTGCATAATATTTTTAATAAACAGCCAATTAAAACAATTCAAACCGTCAAATTTTTTTTTATTTTGCTCTTTAAATTTTAGTTATGACCTAATTAACAAGAATATAAAAAAAATAGGTTTCACAGAAAGTCCAAAAATCACCTCTCAGAACAGCACCGTGATTATTGTATTGTATTGTATTTATATTGTGGCAATTTGCTGTTTATAAACATTATTATTATTATTATTATAATAAAATGAAAACTTTTTTTAGTTTGTGTTAAACAACTTTAAAGACAAAACAATAAGGGACGTGGGCGTGAAATGCCTGCCAGACGAGTGCAACGAGATCGCGGTGAGCAGCCTGAAAAACAAAAACCTGTCGTGCGACTGCGCGAACGAGGACGACCTGCACCTGGGCGCCAGCGCCAGCCCCACCACCGCGACGTCGGGGGGCGTGGCGGGCCGCCGGGACCCGAAAACTTCCATGGACGAGTTCTGCGCCAACTTCGACGCGAGGAAGTATTGCGTTCCCGCGGCCGACCCGATCAACTACGTGGGCCTGGTCAATCAAGCGATGACGTGCTATTTGAACAGTTTGCTGCAAGCTCTGTACATGACGCCTGAGTTCAGGAACGCCCTCTACAATTGGGCGTTCGACGGTCAGAACGAACACAGGTCGATACCTTTTCAGTTGCAGAAATTGTTTTTGAATCTTCAGACTTCTTCTAAATCGGCCGTCGAAACCACCGATTTGACCACTAGTTTTGGATGGCAAGGTAAACTTTATGTTTTTTTTAATAGATTTTAAAATTTCCGGAAAAATTGAGACGGTTCAAAAAACTGTTTTTTACGGAAAAATTGGGCAATTTTCAGAAAAATTGACTTTTGCGTTTTTTTATTTTATTCAAAGGGTAATACGAAAAAAATCAATTTTTCTTAAAAATTTCCAAATATCCAAAGAAAAAAGTGAATTTTCAAATCTTATTATACTTAATTATGTAATACATGATTATAGTAATTATTCCTATTATTATAATTCAGTAAGAATCTTCTACCGGGTCTATGGCACGCCGTTTTAACATTTATTAAATAATATTTTAATTTAAACAGTTCACTTCTGTATTAAACAATATTATTTCCAAAAATTTTTGCAAACATTTCTAATTATCATTTTTTATAAGAAAATAATTTATTTGGGCTAAAATTAAAGAGTCTTTAATACTAAAATATTTAAACTAAAATTTTTGAAAGTTTTACAGTTGTATTTTATTTTTTAACTATCAGTTGTTTGAGTTTAAAAAAATTAAACTTTGTAAATTTCTGCTAAAACATTATAAAAGTGCTTAACTTCAAACTATTATTTAATAAATGCTAAATCGGCGTGCCACACGGTTGAAAAAAAATTTGGTCCCGTATTAATATTCGTTTTATTTAACACATCTATTTATAAAATTATAATTTTGTAATTTAACTTTATAAATCATGCATTATTTTGTAAATGAATGTTTTGAATGGACCCCCTTTTGCAAAAAGGACCCAACCGACAGTATATTTAACGTTTATGTTTATTTTCTAAAATCAATTCAATTCAATGTTTAGTTTTATTTAGGTTTTTTCTGTAATAAATTTATAATTTTTAAGGATATATTTTTTTAAATTAAAATAATGTTAAGTTGTTGATTGATGTGTATTAGGGTGTCCCTTATTTTTATTTTTTTTTACGCATACCCTCTAATTAAATTTATTACTTGTTTATATACTCCCAGTAAAAATTTCAGCTCATTCTATAAACGGGAACCCGTGCCGACTTGCATCTGAACCCTCCGTTAGCCAACGTTAGGCGCGCGGTATTTTGTAACACGGTTGGTCGCTAGGTCTTCGATCGTAAGTCATGTGTTTGTTATTATGTGAACCTTAAATTATAAATTATTAAAAAATGTTAAAATATAGTTTTATTTATGTGTATACTTTAATAAAAATGAATATTTTTACAGGAAGTGGCTAGTTACCCGGAAGTGTCGGGTAACTAGCCACTTGATAAACTTAATGAGTTTTACTCTAAATAACTAAAAGAGTCTATTGTGAGAGATGACTACCGAAAACTTATTGAGCTAAGCTAATGCAGGACTTTCACGGTTTGTTAACCGCCGATGAAGAGCAGAAACAATTTCTTCTGCATAGAAATCTATATCCTAATTGTAAAAAAAAAACACTTTAAAAAGAAGATATACTTCATGACTGTATTTTTCCAATGATTTTATTAAATATGATTACTAATTAATATTATTGCTTTTGTTTTTATCATTTGTTTAACTAATTTAGTTGATTTTATCCCTTAAATATATTAATATACTAATTAGTTTCAGCTTTTTATAAGCATTTCTTTTCTTGATGTCCTCCCAAAAATATTTCAGACAGTTCAGTAAGTTTTCGGTAGTCATCTCTCAAAATAGACTCTTTTAGGTATTTAGAGTAAAACCCATTAAGTTTATCAATTTCAGAGTTTACGGCCTATTCACCAGACTCTTCCGGGTAACTAGCCACTCCCTGTGAAAATATACATTTTTATCAAAGTATACACATAAATAAAACTATATTTTAACATTTGTCAATAATTTATAATATGGATAACGTTTATCGAAAAGGAACCAAGCGCCAAAAACTTTTTCTGGGGTAAACAAAATTATATGCAAAATAACTTATTTTTAATGCTGCTCAAAATATTAATAATGATTTGGGAACCCTCTCAATCCTTTTGAGAAAAGTTTTAAATGATCATCCACCTTTTGAGCATTATTAAAAATGAGTTATTTTATAAATAATTTTACTAAGCCCAGAAAAAATGTATGGCGCTTGGTTCTTTTTCGATAAGCGCTATGCATATAAGGGTCACATAATAACAAACACAAAATGACTTACGATCGAACCTCGCGACCAACCGTGTTACAAAATACCGCGCGCCTAACGTTGGCTAACGGAGGGTTCAGATGCAAGTCGGCACGGGTTCCCGTTTATAGAATGAGCTGAAATTTTTACTGGGAGTATATAAACACGTAATAAATATAATTAGAGGGTATGCGTGAAAAAATAAAAAATAAGGAACACCCTAATGTGTATATTTTTATAAAAAAAAACAGTTTTTTCCCGACACTTTAAAACCCTACTTGACATACACTTTAACAGTTAAACTGCCCTTTTAAAAGGTCTATTTGCTATTCTTTAAATATAAAACCTCTTTTAGGTAGCGACGCGTGGCACCAGCACGACATCCAGGAACTCTGCCGCGTCATGTTCGACGCGCTCGAGCAGAAATTCAAAGACACCAAACAGTCGAACCTCATCAACGACCTCTACGAAGGCAAGATGCTCGACTACGTCAAGTGCCTCGAGTGCGGCACCGAGGGCTCGCGCGAGGACACCTTTCAAGACATCCCGCTGCCGGTTCGGCCTTTCGGCAGCACCGTCGCCTACAACAGCGTCGAGGAGGCTCTGAGAGCGTTCGTGCAGCCCGAAACCTTGGACGGCAACAACCAGTATCACTGCGAGAAGTGCAATAAAAAGTGCGACGCTCACAAAGGCTTGAAGTTCACCAAGTTCCCGTATCTGCTGACCCTGCACTTGAAGAGGTTCGATTTCGATTACAACACCATGCACAGGATCAAGCTTAATGACAAGTAAGTAGCGACTCAAGTAAACATTATTTGGACAGTTTCATCTAGCTTAAGTTTGCGTTTTTATACTTTGAAATCAAGTTTTAGAGTATACAAATATTTCAAACATTACTCAGATTTTAATCGATTATAGCAGGGTTGGCACGAATTATTTTATATGAAATAAGTCAATGATTTAATTCGCGAAATAATTCAAATGACTTTTAAAAAAGTCACGAATTAATTCATTTTTTTTACAATGTGAACAAAGGCTGTTGTGTAATTAATGTAATATATTAAAATACTGAATACCTTTTAACATAAGGTGTAAAATAAATCACTTTATTTACTAGATATTTACAATTTGAGCACATAACCTAAAATTTGAAAGAAATGCACCAGATTCTGTCATAAAAGTTGCCAGACTTTGTTTGAATTTACATTCATTACAAAAATCACCTAATCAACAATTAATAAAAACGCCAAATTAACAATTTGCATTGTAATTAAGCTAAATTTAAACAAAATTTGGCAACTTTTTTTGGCAGAATCTGGAAATGCTGGTTGTTACCAACCATAACATAATTTAAGATTTTTGAAGAAAATAAAAACTTGCTTTTTTGTGTTGTGTTTTAGTAAGCAAAAAAATATATTTATTTAAGTGAATTAATTAAAAAAAGTCTGATTTAATTCACAAAGTCGGACTTTTTGACTTTTCTATAAAAGTCATGACTTATTTCAACCCTGGATTATAGTCAACGGTCAATACAGCCGAAATATTTTAAGTCTCGTCGACAAATTTTTTAATGTGTTTTTTTTTATATTTTATCCTTTATAATACAGAGCCATTTTAGGCATGCGGAGGGAAAAAATTACAAAACGGTTTTTATAAAAAAAATGCTAGGTAATTTATTATACAGGGTGTCCGGGAAAAGGAGGTCAATCCGTTAACCATATATTCCTTGAGTTAAAACAATAAGACTTTCATAACACCATTTTTCAATTTAGAGCTTTATGTTCGATATACAGGGCGACAAAGTTTGAAATTTAAAACTGATTTTTTTTAATAATTCGAGTAATTGATAAGATATTAAGTTTAAATTCGGTACACTACTTCAAAATAAATAGTTACATTTTTGGAGACCAACAAACCAAAAAACAATTGTCAAATAATCAAAATAGGGGGGTCCAGTACTCACTGACTCCCCCTATTTTTTAGTACGAGCGCCAATGACTTCCAAACGGTATTTTTTCAGGTAATCATTTATTGTTAAAAAAAAATTGTCTCTTATAAAATTTTGATAAAATGATTTGTTTTAGAGATAATTTGTAAAGTATGGGTCAGTCCATATCAAATCAACCAAAGGTTCTTCCCCCACCATCTCCGATTTTGATAATTTTTGGTAAATTTGTTTACCTCACTAAAAAACTCAAAAATCCCATATATGAATTTTTTTCGATAGGTGGTTTTTGTTTTATTGATTTTTGAAAATCAAAAAATTCCGATAAATTTGGGTCTTGCAAGTACTTACAAAAATAGCGATATCTCGTAAACTATGAAAAGTAGAAAAGTTGAGTGGCGGCTTTTTTTAAAGGCCTATTAGAGACCTTTTTTATGATATATCACATGACCTAAATTTTTTCAAAAAAAAAAATAAATTTCGAAAATTTGATATGGACTGACCCATACTTTACAAATTATCTCTAAAACAAATCATTTTATCAAAATTTTATAAGAGACAAAAAATGTTCAACAATAAATGATTACCTGAAAAAATACCGTTTGGAAGTCATTGGCGCACGTACTAAAAAATAGGGGGAGTCAGTGGGTACTGGATCCCCCTATTTTGATTATTTGACAATTGTTTTTTGGTTTGTTGGTCTCCAAAAATGTAACTATTTATTTTGAAGTAGTGTACCGAATTTAAACTTAATATCTTATCAATTACTCGAAATATTTAAAAAAATCAGTTTTAAATTTCAAACTTTGTCGCCCTGTATATCGAACATGAAGCTCTAAATTGAAAAATGGTATTAAGAAAGTCTTATTGTTTTAACTCAAGGAATATATGGTTAACGGATTGACCTCCTTTTCCCGGACACCCTGTATAATATTTTGGCATCAAAATTGTCAAACATATTCTTCTTTTATTAGGCTATAAATTAAATAAAAAAAACCCAAGTAATATTTTATAAAAGTAGAGATAATTATAATAATTGACAGGTGTGGACGGGACAAGATAAATCTTTTTTGTATTCCGTCCACACCTTTTAATTATTACAATTATCTCTACTTTTATAAAATATTTCATGCGATTTTTTATTTAATGTGTAGCCTAACAAAAGAAGAATATTTTTGACAATTTTGATGCCAAAATATTATATAATAAATTATCTACAATTTTTTTTATAAAAACAGTTTTGTAATTCGTGCGTTTTGCGCGCCTTAAGTAAATGGCCCTACATTAGTATTAAAAGTAAAATCAAACTCTTCAATACATTTTTAAAGTCATAATATCAAAAATACGACCGAAATACACAAAACGTTACAAAGTTTCCAAAAACCAAATTTAGCTACATAAAATTATTGTAAGTCTAGTGGAATGTGGATTTTTAAAAAATTTTAACTCTTTAACGCCTTGTCCAATCTATGAAATTTTTTATAAAAATACTTTAACTTATCTCAGTTTACGGGTTCGAGGGTTTTTGTGAAAATATTTTTAAAGCCCTTTTATTTAATAATAAAAAAAACGTTTAAAAAAGAACTTTTAAGGATTTCTTGAAGTAAATAAAAAATATACTTTTAAAGATCGTATTTTTGTTAGTATACCCTGAAATTTTTTTATTTTTGTTAGTATACCCTGAAATTTTTTTAGAAACCAAACGAACATTAACGAAGATACAGCGCTTTACAGTCGGTAAAAATTACCCCTTTTTGATTATTTTGCTGAAAAGTGGTCATTATTGACGACTTTGAAGCGCTGTATTTTCGTTACTGTTCGTTTGATTTGTACAACATTTTCAGGGTATACTAACAAAAATACGGTCTTTCACAGCATATTTTTTATTTACTTAAAAAAAATTTCCATGGAAACAAAAATACGAAACAAAAATACGGTCTAGACCGATAGCTATCACAGCATATTTTTTATTTACTTAAAAAAAAATTTGCCTTTAAAAGTTTTTTTTCGAGCGTTGTTTATTATTAAATAAAAGATCTTTAAGGGTATTTTCTTGAAAACTCCTTGAACAAGTAAACTGAGATATAAGTATTTTTATCCAAAATTTTATAAAGGTTGGTAAAGGCGTTTTAGAGTTGGATTTTTTTTACTTGTTATTCGTTAATTTTAACGCGCAGTGTAGTATCCTGTCGATGAATTTTTTGAAAGGATTTTTTTATATCTTTACCCAAAAAGATTTAAGTCTCCGTAATAAAATATAATGTGCATAATGTCGGAAAGTATTGACTTGATCAATACATTTCGCCGTTGAAAATACATAAAGGCTAAGCAAAAATATGTTAATATCGTGGTTAATAAATTTTTGCTTGGCAACAAAAACGATACACACCTTAACGTATTTTCAGCGGCGATTTGTACTTTCAACGGTATTTAACTTGTTCTTAGAGTCGTATTTCCGGAAATTCTAAACCTAAACTCGTTCATACCGACGTCGAAGACCGATCAGCAGGAAAACAACGTCGAGGAACGGGAAACGGCGGTGAAATGCGACGACTGCAGCACCACCGATTCCGGATCGGCGGACGACGAAAGCTGCCAGGGTACCGACGTATCGTCGACCGTCAACGGGCCGGACGACAACTGCGCAGACAGCGACGAAGGTGAGAAAACTATTGCGCATCGGTCGTCGGAAATATGACTGTATCTACAGTGTGTCCACGGATGGACTTAACTATACTTGTAAAAATATTTATTTTCAATTTTTCGAGAAAAAGTCATTTTTCATCATTTCTTTTGCTTGTTATATAAATACGTTGTTGCTTGTTATATAATACGTACGATTCGCGTTGAGAAACATCCATTTGGTTGTACAGGGTAAGCAGAAATACTGATTTTCAAAATTTAAAAATTTTTAAATATTTTTTTGAAGCGTTAATATACAGAGTTGGTAAGGAGAAATCAAAAAGTCAAATGAAGTTTTTTCATATAAGTTTTTGATACTGAAATTGATATTGAAAATTTAAGGTATTAGTTTTCAAATTTTAACAAATAATTGTAGATATTGTAGAAATGTCAGTTAAAAGCAACAACCTTGATTCATAATCACAAAATGAGATAGCAGTCAATTTCTATAAAATAATAGGACCACTCAAGTTAGGACCTGAATTGATTTTATTTTTAACAACAACTAGCATGAAAAAACTTGATTTGGCTTTTTGGTTTCTCCTTACAAGCTCTTCATATTAGACCTTCAAAAAAAATATTTAACAATTTTTAGTTAAGTCCATCCATGGACACACTGTATAAAAGTATACATTTTAGAATATTGGGATTTGGGGATATTATTGAGAAAAACTGCCTTAATATTTATGCCGAATATCATTATTCTGAGATTCAAACTTTTTCAGATAAAGACAAATTAAAAGGGGTCCCACACCTTCTAAAACTCATAAAATTCCTAAAAGTTAGCTTAAATCTTAAAAACTCCTAAAATTCTCCTAAAATTGCAATCATTCTCCTAAAACTCCAACCTGACTGTGTTTAATAAAGGTAATTGTCATGCTAAAAAATTTCTTTTTTTTCAAAGTAATTTAAAAAATATAAATTTTTAAGGTTCTAGTTTATTAAATTTTTTTTTAAATGATATATCACAACCTACATTTTTCTTAAAAAACAACAAAATATACCTAAAAAACAAAATCCATGTAGTAGCTCCTAGACTTTTACTACAAAATTGTCATTTTTAGCCATATTTCGTTTGTTTTCGACAAAAATATACAGTTCTATTTCAAACAAAAGGATTTTTAATTTTCTTTTAAATGATATCAAAAATAGTAAACAATCTAAAGAATGTTTTGCTCTATTATGCAAACTTTATATTTTTTCTATTTATTCTATTATGAGATTTTTGAGTGACAAGATCCACATTACAATTATTGTTAGTTATTATTAGTTATAAACTAAACGGTTATTTTTTTTTTCAAAATATAAATATAGCATCATTTTACTTTGGCCTAGTTTTTTAGCAATAATATTGAATATTTATCAACGCGTTTTTTTAAATAAAATTAAAAATGTGTTAAAATTTCTACTTGTGTATACCTTAAATATATACAAAAGTAGTAATTTTACCTCACTTTTTATTTTATTAAAAAAAACTCGTCGAGCGATTTTGTCAATTTAGTCAATGTAACCTATTTGTAAAAAATAAGTGATATTTATTTATATTTTTAGAGTTGCTTTTATTTAATTACATAAATTCATTTGCATTCTTTTTTTCTCCTAAAATTTACAAAAAAAACTCCTAAATTCCTAAATAAAATTGAATTAAACAAAAGGGGTTTTCTTTTAGGTATTGATGTCAGTTCTGGTACTAATCATGAAAACGAAGCCAAAGGCCCATATATTTATGAATTATTTAGTATTATGATTCATTCGGGAAGTGCTTCTGGTGGACATTATTATGCCTATATTAAAGACTTCGATAAGGATAGATGGTTTTGTTTTAACGACCAAAGCGTCAGTGCAGTAAGTTTATTCATATTTTTTATTAAAAAAAAAAATAATCTTAACGTGGGATGGTTTTGGACGGAGTTAAAAAAATTAACCCACAATTTTTTTTTATTTTTGATGGAAACTAGCAAACAACATGGTCTTTTGCGGTTTTTCCAGATTATAAAATTGAAAATACATGTTTTTGCAGTATACTTCAATAAATATTTATAATATTTATAATATTTAGACAATTTTTTTTTACCGTGGAATGGATTTGGAGGTAATTTAATTAATCTAAAAAAACTTGAGGAAAATTGAGTTAGGTAATTTTTTTACTGTAACTTTTAATAAATCATAATCATTAAAATGTATTATTTGGTCATAAAATGGCTTTTCAACGCGATTGTGGAGACCAAATTTAGGGTGAAGTTGCTTTGACGATTTATTTTTAATTTTTATAACAATAAGACTGTATAAAGGGATCCTCTTAACCTTTTAGATAACAGAGGACGACATCCGCAAAACGTACGGCGGCGGCCCTCAGCGCGGCTATTATTCGGGCGCGTACAGCTCGTCGACGAACGCGTACATGCTGATGTACCGGCAAATCGACAAAGACAGGAACTGCCGCGCGATAGACGTGGAAAACTTCCCGCCGCACATAAAAAAACTCCTCGAGCACATGCGACAGAAGGAGGAGGAGGACCGCATCAGCCGCGAGAAGGAGAACGACATGATAAAGCTGAACGTGTTCTGCCAGAATCAGGCCACTGGCAACTTGGACGAGTTGAGGATAAACATGTATTCCGATTCGACGTTGGCCGAGGCGGCGTGCCACGCGCACTACAGGTAATAATAATAATGTTTATTTATTCTCAGGATCGCAATGGATATAGAACAAGTCAATATAAATGCATTCATATTACATAATACATGGTAAAATACAAAAAATACTAACATTAATGGGGTAGTTAAATTTTTTCTGACCTATACTTTTTATGGTTTTATTCAAGGCGTTTTGTAATATTAAACATTTCTGTGAAATCAGAATTTCAATTGAATTTACCGTTTTCGAGATATTTACAAAAAATATAAATTTTTATGACGTCACAAACCTCGCCATGTGACCAACATTCTAAGATTTCTATTGGTTGAAAATTACCCTGTTGTCAAGTTGTCTTGTTAATGATTTCATTCGGTTATGTCAGAAAATACCCGAAGAGGTTATGTACAAATACTGTCACTGTCAGTTGAGTGAAAGATGGTCACTAAATTCATTAAGTACCTATCTTCCTTATTACGAGGTATCATATTACTGTTTGATATTTTAGAGTCCAAGATATATCTAAAAGAATATAAAGAACTAGGCATTATACTAATGAAATGCATTTACGACAAAATATGATTATAATTATAGGTACTTACTTTATTTGTTTAAAAGCTCCAATGTTCAATGTAACCAACCATTCCACAAGATTCCTCTGCTTTGGAGTCCGTTATTAATAAATCGCTTATCTAATATCAATTACAAATAACATAACAATAACATTGATTTTCAATAATCTAAATTTAAAAAAAACATAACCCGAAAAAAAGAAACGTCAAAAAATCAATTCTTCTTCTTCTTCTCAACTAAAATTATAGATCAAGTAGTTTTAAAACTAAAATATTATAACGCGGCGTCATCTATCGTAAGAATCTTAAAGTAAACACACTGGCAACCATAGAAAAAGCTGGCAACGTTGTCAATAGCCTAGTGACGTAATTAGAAGATTTTTTTTTGTAAATATCTCGAAAACGGTAAATTCAATTGAAATTCCGATTTCACAGAAATGTTTAAAATTACAAAACGCCTTGAATAAAACCATAAAAAGTATAGGTCAGAAAAAATTTAACTACCCCATTATAATCAATCTGAAGACATATAGGCAACAAACTTCCTTTACTTAGTAAACAAATCATTTACACTATAAAAACATTTGCCAACAAGAAATTCTTTTAATGCCCTTTTAAAAAATCGTATATTCTTAGAATTTCTTATGTCTGGTGGAAGTGCGTTATAAATTTTAAGACCAAGTCTGGATGGAGAGTTTGACGTGACATTGCACCTACCAAAAGGTATTTGATAATGATTTTTATTTCTGAGATCATGTTCATGTATGGAAGACTTTAACCTAAATCCATCCTTATTTAAATGTACATACACTGATACCTCAAAGATAAAAAGAGAGGGCAAAGTCAATAAATTATATTGTTTAAAAATTTGTCTGCATGAATAGGTTGATTTGACACCAATTAGGCATCTTAACACTAATTTTTGTGCTATAAATACACTTTGTGAGTTCGTAGACCTCCCCCAAAAGCATATGCCATATCGCAATCTCGAGTCTACTTGCGCGTAATATAGATTAACTAATTGATGTGCATTTAATATGTCCTTTAATGATCTAAACATGTATGATATTGAATGTAACTTGGAGACCAAATAATGGCAGTGTTTTTTCCAAGTAAGACATTCGTCAATTTTCACTCCCAAAAATTTTGTCTCCTTGTTATTTTCAATGGTAAAAGTATCAATACTTAGATTAACCATGTTAATCATTTTTTGTCTATTGTGAAATCTGACATAATTTGTTTTTTTAGGATTAAAATATAATAAATTTTTACTATACCAGTCATTAAGCTTCTCTAGCACCCCATTACATGTTTTTTCTAATAGATTATCATTTTCGGCTGATATTTTTAATGACGTATCATCAGCATACAATGTGAAAGAAGCATTATTTGTGATTTTTTCCACATCATTAATATAAATTAAGAATAAGACAGGACCCAATATAGAGCCCTGTGATACGCCCATGGTAATATTAAAAAAATTTGAATTTACTGTACCAGAAATATTGTTGTCTTCCCTTCAAGAATTTTCCAATCCAGTCTAAGGGAATACCTCTAACCCCATAAGCATACAGCTTCTCCAACAGCCTTTCATGAGACACGCAATCGAATGCCCTACTGAGATCACAAAAGATCCCAATAGGACACTCTCCATTTTCAATATTCTCAATTATCCCCTCATAAAAGGACATCAGAGCCGTTGCCGTAGACCTATTTTTAATAAAGCCATGTTGATTAGATGTTATAATATCACATTTGCTTAAAAATTTAAGCAGTCTATTCAAAAAGGCATATTCAAACACTTTAGAAAAACTTGAAGGTATTGTCACCGGTCTATAGTTCTCCGCCAGGAGGCTGTTGTTCTTCTTAAAAATCGGAATTACTTTTCCAATTTTTAATAAATCTGGAAATGAACCACTTTTAAAGGATAAGTTAACCAAAAAAGTTAAGGGCTTGACAACAAGAGGAAGCACAGTCTTTAAAATGAATCCTGGAATATCATCAGGGCCTGAAGAATGCTTGTTTTTTAATTTATTAATACAAATAGATAATAATTCTTCACAAGTATAAGGTTCTAGATAAAAACTTATATTAGACCAGGGTCGATAATTTTTGAAACCAAAAAAATAACAGTAGGATGAAACCCATTGGAAAAGGAGAAGAATATAATAAAAATGAAAGGAAAAATAAATTACGGGCGATCTGACTTAGGGAAGTGGGAGGGGGGGTTTTAAGGGTAAAAAATGGTTTATCTCGATTTCCGGCAAAACTACAAGTCCTTTTTTAAAAAAGTCGGTGTGCTTTTTGTTTGTTGAAATCTCTACTTTCTGATGGTGTAAAAAAAATATACATTAATATGGTAAATGTTCTCAGAAAATTCAAAAAATATTATAATGAATAACGAAAAAAACTTGAATTCGAAAATTTATTTTAATCATTATGTACAATTTCATCAAAAAAATGTGATTGTTGCAATTTTTTTAGTTAAAAAGTTTATTTATTAAATTCTAATAACATTTATGTCAGAAAATCTCATAAAATATAAAAATACATGTAAATCATACTATTGAATTTAGATACTTCATTCTGATTACGTTATTCATTATAATATTTTTTGTATTTTCTGAGAACATTTACCATAGTAATGTATATATTTTTTACATCGAACAAAAAGCACACCGACTTTTTGAAAAAAACTGATATTTTGACGCGAGAATTTTCGATTGAAAATTAGGGTGCTTTTTTGATATTAAGTCAAAATAAGGCGAAATAATAAATATTTCAAATCAAATAAATTACAGTGTATTTGGGACATAAAAAGGTAAGTTTTCACCAAATTTCGTGGAAAAATTTTTTTTTTTGAAAAAGATAAAAATAAAAAACCAAAAACTTGGTTTTTTGAATTTTTCACATAAATTTTGAGGTTATGTGAAAAAATTGTAAATACAAAAGTTGTAGATCTTTTTATTACCTACAACTTTGACATTTAACTTTTTTCCAGAGGACTTGTAGTTTTGCCGGAAATCGAGATAAACCATTTTTTACCCTTAAACCCCCCCGAACACTTCCCGAACTCAGATCGCCCGTAATTTATTTTCTCGATTTTTATGTAAGAATGTCATATTCTCGCACGCAAAATCGTTAAAGAATGAAGCTCATTCTTAAACGATTTTTGGTAACATTTAGTTTTTAAATATTGGTACCCCCAAAATGTCAAACTGTTTAATAACCTCAAATTCATTACTTTTAGGATTGTTTATAATAGCTTTGATTGTTATCCTGCACTAGTGCAACCTAAACTACACTTTTATTGAAAATAAAGCCTTTATTATTGTTTTGTAATATTAAGTTTGCTCCAACAATGCATTTTAATGCAAAATTTTAAGTTTAATGTGAAAAAGTGCAGTTCAGGTTGTACTTGTGCAGGATAACAAATATTGTCATTTTGTGTTGCCAACTGACATTTTGCGAGAAAAATCCCCCAACTAACAACGACCACAAAACAATTAAAAAAACCTAAATAAAAGTTAAAATCGAGAAAATAGTATAAATCACACGTTGCAGAAGGCTATTCTCGCACTCATTCGTTCGTCCACTCGCTCCTTCGTCGCTCGAGGCCAAATTTCGAATTCGTGCGAGAATATGTGGCCTTCTGCAACTTGTACTTTAATATACTATTTCCTTTAATTTTTATTATATTCCCCTCCTTTTCCAATGGGTTTCATCCTACTGTTTTTTTTTTTCTCTTTTTACCATTTTTAAAGGCTTCTGCACTGGTCTATATTGTTATTTGTTATGTTAAGATCATTATTTTTATAATTTCTTGAAATGTTGTTAATAATATTTCTGGGTGCGTTCAAGGTTCAAGTTGACCGATTACGTGGACGTGAAGGACTGCCGTTTGGTTATTTACAACAAGAAGCACGATTGCGTGCAGTGTAGCTTTGACGACGATGAGTTAAAGTTTTGCGATATCAGCAATCAGATAAATAAGGAGCCGAAAAAGTCCACCTATCTCTCGATGATGTTCACCGACTGGATGTTGGAGATAAAGAAGCCCGATAAGGAGTTTCAAACGTACAAGAACGGCGGTGTTAACATGAAAGTTTACCCGGTGGATCTCGACGCCGAGGAAGTTAACGAACCGTCCAGTGTTAGAGTGGACCTGGAAGATACGGTGGGGGACGTAAAATGCAAAATATCCCGCCTGTTGAACTTCGATATGGAGTACATGAAAGTTGTGATGCACGTCGCGAATGAGGCGCCGGTTTTTTTCGAGGACGACTCCGCTTTGGTGGTCTTCGACCCCAAGTTCGTCGACTTCAAGCTCTTTGTTGCTTTCGCGCAAGAAAACGTGGAGAAAGCGCTACTCCACGCGAAAATGCACAAAGTTATGGACAAGTTCGGCTCTTTGATAAGCATCAACGTCGTTCTTCCGGATACCGACGTCGGGACGCTGGAGTCGCTCTCGATTCCCTCGCTGGATTTGAATCAGAACTTGGACAAGTTGGAGCTGAGCGGCGGCGGCGCGGGCGCGAGTTCGCCGGGTTTGAGGGTGTCCCCTCAGCCGGGCGGTATGAGCGGGGACGGGTTCGGGGGCGATCAGAGCAACAGCGAGGACAGCAGTTTGAGCGACAGCGACAGGACTTTGGTGGGAGACGCGCCGGGAGGTGAGTTTTACGTTTATTTTTACGGTGCTGTTCTGAGAAGTTGTTATATTATTTTTTTTGTGAAATTCTATTTATTTATGCTTTAACTAAGAATTTAAGAGCAAAATTAAAAAAATCCCACGGTTAGTTTATTTTAAATTTGATTTTTATTAAGAATACTGTGACCTATTTTAATTATCCACTTAAAACTCTCGATTTCTTATATTCATTGGCAAAGCGTATAATTAGTTTAAAGATTATTAACTTTTCTTAAAAAAAAGTTTTCACAATTTTTTTATATTATTTTGTGGGGACTGGATTTCCCACTCTTGTCTGTCAGTACAATTTAAGTGATTTTTATAATAATTTTTATTTATTTTATTTTTATTGCTATGTATTTCGAATTATTATTAGTCAGTAATTATGTTTAAACTTTTCAGGTAGTAGGTTGTAAATAGTGTATTGCAGAGAGCGTGTGTTTGTTACCTGGAGCCTTGTAAAACATTGGAGTTTCCTATCATCGGTAAACATCCTTTACGATTGCTTACTTACCTCTCCGGTTCCTTTACCGAAAGTAATTTATTTAATTTTATTTTTATTACCCTTTTATAGATGCGCTTGGATTTTTCCAAATGTGTCCTACCTAACCCCTACCACGATTAGGGGTGGGTGGCCAAAGGGCTCTTGGAAAAGGTCTTGGTCTATCACCAGACACAACGTACTGACTGCCCGTTTTGAGTACATCGGCTCCGGGTGACAACACATTTAAATTATAATTCTGTTTGTGTATATATGTGTATTGTATTGTATATTGTGTATATGTAGTGTAATAAAGTTAAGTTTGTAAATACCTCGCCGTCGATCAATTTGCACACAACTACCCGCACCAAAGCAGTCGCTAAAATTTCTTACAATATGCAATTAAAGTTGTTATTTAACTCTTAAAGTATGGGTTTGTTTCCTTTATCAAAAATTTATTTAAGGATGCTATGAATTAATAATTTGTATGTAGACATTAAATTTTATTTAACATTTAAATTTTTGGTTATAAGTTTTTTAAGTTTTTTAAACCAAAATAAACAATAATTAGCAGTTATGTATAAATTCACGAAAAAAACCTAATAACTAATATTCTTAACTTATTTCAATTAAAACAATTAAAAAAAAACACTTTTTATGAGTATGAGTATGAGTTTGGGAACGTATGGCAGGCCCCAGATATATTATCATCCACTGATCTCCCGGGGTTATTTTACCCCCTCTCCGTTCTCCTGTGTATCCCGCCAAATCACAGCATTACCTGTGTTTGTTGGATCCGAAGTTTCTACGTCGGCTGGTAGTTCCACCCTAGGAGGTCGTGGATGACAGTGTCAAAGTTAAGGCCGCTCCCGGAATTTTTGTCAGCCGGGTCGGGCCATACGTCCAGTTTAGGAAGGGTTTTTGGAGGACATTGAACTGACCCAAAACTAAGTACAATCCGGAATCCCCCTCAACCTAGGCCTTAGTAGTATCCCCATTCAATTGGTATTCGTGAATGGGGGTGGGTATGTTAGTTTTTTGCTTACTCCGGCTACCAACCTTGTATATTCTTTATTTATTTTATTGCTAAATTAGTGTTTATACCATTTTCGTTTAATTTATGTCTTTGCATTCTTACTTTTTTTTCAAATTTAATTTAAAAATAGAAATATTAATATACAAAATAGATAGAACTGGCCCTGTAGTGTATGTGGTGGAATGCCACCAAATGGTCTGCATTGACTATTGATAGGATCGTTCTTCTTTTCTTCTGTGCTGTTCTTCTATTTTGAGCCGGGGTGTTAGTACGCTGTCCTTGTTGGTGAACTATTTATTTTGTTGTTAAATTAGTGATTATACCGTTTATTATTGTTTATTTTGTATCTTTGCATTCTTACTTTATTCCAAATCTAACCTAAAAATAAATTAATTCACGAAATGGTAAAGCCGACCCTGTGGTGTATCGTATTAATTTTTGAAGTACGGTCTTAGTCAGGCGTGTAACGTATGCTTAAATAGATGGTTTATTTACGTTATTATAAATGCATATACATTATTACTTATTCAAACACAACACTTTTTTATGATAAATTTTGTCTTCTTGCTTGATTTAGTTTATTTACTCTTACGCCTTTTTCAATGGTTGTTTATGATTTGTCTACTATGAGAAAATGAGGTTGTTTATTTAACAATTGAAGGGGTTAGAATAGAAAGGGTATAAGTGCAATTTCTTTAATTTAGGAGATAAGTTCGTTTTGTGAAAGATAAGGTTCCGAAGTATCGAAATGAAAAGGATTTAAGTAATTTTCATACTTCTAGCGACCTCTATTATCCAGTAGAAAAACATTACTAAACAAAATTCTTCACTTTTTTATGGTAACATAACTTTAACTTCAAATATCTCCAAAGAATGAAAATGTTACTTATACCCTTTTTATTCTAACCCCTTCAATTACGGAATTGTTCTTATTTTTTTTAAATTTAGTTTTTATGACAGATAAAAAGAATTCTTAGATTTTTTGGCAACATTGTGAAATGCTTATAAACATTTAACGATTATACGGTAAGACATGCAATTAGAAAAATTACTTAGCTTGATTATTAGGCTATAATCCTGATGCTTTGTCTTTCGCGGGGTGTCCTTTGTTCCTTCTCCTGCAGGTTTTGAGACGCTCTGATCCAGGTGTGCCGGTTGACTTATCGTTGTGGCCTAGCCTTAATTACTTATTCACTTGCACACTTTTACGGCGTTATCTCGCAATTTTCGCCCTTGTTGCACTTCTTGCACTTGTTTGTTTATTTATTTATTAACGATTACCGATATTTCCGGATACTTTGTTTCGTTTTTGGTACTTTACGTTTGTATCGTATACGCTACTTAGGAGGGATCTAGCTCGACGCATCCGACCGCTTCGAGTGTCAAGAGCCAACTGATTAAAAAAAAAACACTTTTTATTGAACAAAAAAATTAAATTATAAATGCAATATATTCTATGATTGCAGCAACTAAATGTTTTGGATATTCTGGGTGTTCTTTATTCAACTTGAACCCGTACGGCTTAAGCTTTAAAGTCTGAATGGACAGCTTCAAATGCCTGCTCAGAATAACATCCTAATCCATTTTCGTGCTTTTGTAAAAATTCAGGAACATGATAAATAATGTCATGAATTTTTGGAGTTATCCTAGTTTATAAATCAACAAAATCTAACACAAAATTATTTATTTGGTCTAAATAGTTCTTATTTATTTCATTACCAAAACACATTAACAACTTTTTAAAACTTGAAAAACATTTTAAAAATTTCAAAAATTCCAGGGAAGAAATTCTTTTAAGTCAATATTTTTTAATAATCTAAGACTTTCATTGCCTTTTGTAATTTTTTTTGAATATTTAAAAATATTTTATAGTTTAAAAAAAAACTTAATAAAACTAGCAAGTATTTGACAACTTAAATGTCAAATAAATACATCCAAGTTAAAATTTCATGGCTACCTTAAAATAAACTTTTAATTGTAAGTATAATAAAAGTTTAAGTTATATAATATCCTTACACATATTGTAAGAAAATGGTCAATAATATAAAAAAATATAATTTATTTTTATGAAAATTAAATAATCTTAAATAAAATTCAAACGTTTTGTCAATATATAAATAAAATCGAAAGTTTTAAGTGGATAATTAAAATAGGGCACAATATTCTTAATTAAAAGCAAAAATTAACCGTGGGATTTTTTAAATTTTGCTTTTAAATTCTTAGTTACATCATAAATAAATATAATTTTACAAAAACAAAAGTTTCTCAGAAAGTCTGAAAATCACTTATCAGAACAGCACCGTGTTTTAGGTTTTTGCACAATTTTTCCACAGTTTTTCATTGTTTGGTTATAGATGTTACGACAGTTTTTTACCGTTTTTTGTTTGAAATCAGTCCATGCGCCCTTACAGTTACAGAATTAGGTAACCAAACTTCATCAAACTCCATATATTGTTTTTGTCAAGTTAAGGATACAAGTTAAGGGTACAACTCATTTTTTATTACAATAATTTTTATTATCCAAATACCAGTAATACCTAATCTTATTCAGAACTATCACTACTGTTTCAATCGTCAACATCTTCTTTTATATTACCCGAACGCTCCAATTTATCTTGGAAAAATTGTAAAATTGCAGTTTTTTTTAATCCAGTGCAGCAGGCCAAAAGCAGTGACATGCCATTGAAACTTACTTTTTTTACTGATCCAATCAAGCAAACAATTAAAATTTTTCCAGGGTTGTTTTGATTTAAATCACGTGATTTAAATCACTGATTTAAATTATTTTTTATAAACATCACGATTTAGGGAAACAGGTGAAATACCTTTCTAAAAAAATCTCTTTTTTATAAAGTTTTAACGTTTAACTTAACACAGCATTTTAAGTAAAAATCGAAACATAAACAACCCAACAGGAACAAAATTCCCTTTTAATAGTTTTTAACAGGGTACCCACTCACCTGGAAAACAGGGAAAACCTGGAAATGTCAGGGAAATTAAATATAAGTAAAAAAGTCAGGGAAAAGTCAGGGAATTTGCTGAATTTTACGAAAAGTCAGGGAATTTAACTAATTTTTACGAAAAGTCAGGGAATTTAACTAATTTTTTTTGATTTTTCCGAAAATTGTTTATTTTTATTACCGGCCGAAGATTATTTTTTACAAATAATATAGCCGGGCATTGAAACTAAAATAAATCATTTGCGCAAATACTTATAAAATGTATGACCTTATAAAGTAAGTTTGTTTCCTTTCAAATTTTTTATGAATGTTTTGTTTAATTTTTTTATTATATTTTAAGAAATGTTAAAAAAAATTGTAAAAAGAAAAATAAAATATATTTTTACTTTACATGTACTATGCTCCAAACCTCAAATTCCCACCACGTGACCACGTACGGAACGCAGTCTTTTGAAAATTTGGCATTTAAGGCTTTTCAGGTTATGTATCTGTCAAAGTATAGTCAACGAAAGAAATAATATTATGTTTAGGCGTTAAAAATGTATAAATCTTTATAACATTAGAATAACAATGGATGGTTTAAGAATTTAGGAATATAAATACTGCATTTAATGAAATTCCAAAGTGTATGGTGCCAAATAAGTAATATTTTTGTGCATTTGGTCCAAATATCTGGTTTTCTCCATGAAATAATTTTAACTAAATAGCATTTATTTAAAAAAATCTACCTTCTCTATTATGGAATAAGAATATCTGTATTAAAGGTAGGTTAATATATTATAACAAAAATATCATCTAATTTTGTAATTTTAAGGTTAGAAAAATTTATTTTGACCAAAATAAATAAGTATTTTGGATTATTTAAAAGACTGTATAATATGGTATTTAAAAATGTGGTAGTTTTTCTTATCCTACATAAAGTTTTGTCAATACAAATAGTTAAAAAGCTTCGACTGAATTTGATCTACATCAAAAAATCATTATAACTTTAAAAATTTTAATAAATAACATGTCATGGGAGTATTAAATATTTTCACATTGCAAGTTTCTCTAAAAATTGTTTGTTTTCTTATAATCTACATAACTTAAAGTAGGTATGCCGAGAGGTATGCAGAAGTTTTGTCATTAGAAGTATAAGAGCTTCATTTTAATTTGAACCATATTCAACAATTATTTAGTATACCTATATTTATTTATGACCAAATTAACACACTCTTCCAAATAATCCACTTATTTATTTTGGTCAAAATAGATTTTTCTAACCTTAAAATACAAAATTAGATGAAATTTTTTGTTCTAATACATTAACCTATCTTTGATATATCAAATACAGATATTCTTATTTCATAATAGAGAAGTTAGATTTTTTTTAATAAATTCTGTTTAGTTAAAACTATTTTATGGAGAAAACCAGATATTTGGACCAAATGCACAAAAATATCACTTATATTGCACCTTACACTTTGGAATTTCATTAAATGCAGTATTTATATTCGTAAATTCTTAAACCAACCATGTTATACTTTGACAGATACATAACCTGAAAAGCATTAAATGCCAAATTTTCAAAAGACTGCGTTCCGTACTTTTAGTAGCAATTGATACCCCCCTTCTTAAAATACTCCATTTTATACTTACACTGGTCGACAAAATGAAATTGTTTGTTTGCCTTAGGGTGACCAACAAGTTTTATAAGGTGCCCTGATTCCAAAAAGGGGTTTTTACATCGCAAAAACAAGAACTAAGCAAAATGGCTGCTGACAAGTGTTTTCCACGTTAATTAATAATAGAATATACCTCGGAATATACTTTATTGCGTTTTGAAGTAAAAAAAGAAAAAACGTTTTTTTAATTTAAAAAAAGAAGTTTCTTACATATCTGATAGCTGTATCCACAAAACTTTTTATTCAATGACTAGTTAATAGCTAAAGGTCTTTATTTAAAATTAAATATTAAACGATTTCAGACATACAGCGTTTATATATTATGTTTAAAAGTTTAATCAATGATTAAAAAGTGTTGTGCATTCGGTCATATATGTGGCTGAATCCACAAATTCCGTCTGAAAATGGTTATCTTCCTGTAGGCGAATTCGCGGGAGACTACTCTAGCACCATGAACTCCCCGGCCGATCAGCACATGGCTTCGCCGTCCAATCCCGCCGAAGACAACTTCAACCACGACGTGTTCGCCGAGGAGATGAACTGGGACGACGACGAGACGCGGGACGCGGCGGGACAAGGCAAGGACGGCGCCACTCGCGAGCCCAACAGGCCGCACAACCGCTACTTCAAGGTCACCAGCGTGGTGCACCAGAACGCCAGGTGCGTGCGCATTCTGGCCGACAGGAGGATGACCATGGAAAGGTAAGGATTTTTTATGTGTTTAACCTCTATGCCAGTTCGTTCTGCGCATTACGTCACTCGATGAGTAGTATCCGCGCGAATAAACGAATAATAGTAATATTATCGAAGAATATAGAGAAATATCGGGACATTGAAGAAAGTGTTATAATATGGATGATAGATACTTTGGAAACATATTTGATACTATTTAAATCTATTTTGTATTATTAAAAGAAAATACAATAATTTTAACCAAAAAATTTATTACAATATTTTGTTAATAATATTCCTAGATGGGTTTGCCTGATTTAAATCATTTTATTTAAATCACGATTTAAATAAAGTGATTTTAATCAATGATTTAAATCAGTTTTAAAAAAAGTTTCTAAAATCTACAAAAACACTTACAAAAAAACTAAAGCACAATAATATCTTGACACTATTTAAATAAATTCCTATGCATAGAAAAACTGCTTTTGCTTTTGCTTTTTTATAAAATAATAAAGGAATATACAAAAATTATATGACAGTTGCGGATGGTGGAATATTTGTTTATAAAGTAGTGCCATTTTAATATTATTACAGTCAAGTTATCATTAGTATTTTTTTAAATAGTACTCTTTATCATAAAAAAATCTTTTTTTGTTGATTTTTATAATTTTTTTAATAAAAATCATTGATTTTGTTAATATTATAAATTCAAAATAAAATTTTTAAAAGGGCGCGGAGAGGTATACAATTGTATCTATAGTTTTTTACATAAAAAAATTTTTGTTTGTAGATATTTGGTATTTTTATATTTGTTCCTTACACAGTCAATATATAAAATTTCGTAATATTTTAAATTTTTATTTCAATAAATACAGTAAAAAATACCAATAAATTAAAAATTAAAATTGTCATTAAATCTCCCGAAAATGTTTCACATTTCGTACTATATTTTAAGTTTTATTTTGAAAGAAAATTGTAATAAAAAATATTTAATACCATTTTAACCGCCAATTTAATAATTTTTCTATTTTCATTTGTATTGCGCATATTGTTTTTATAAACTTTTTTTACATTTTATTAATTATTAATAAAATGTATTGCATTTAAATATAGGACATCGCATTTTAATGAAAATGGCACAACACAAACTCAAACATAAACGAAAAACCAAAATTGTTACAAGAATATTTTTTACTTCTTCTCTAAGGTATGTTCTATTTAATGAATATAAATTTTTGCGATTTTAATAAATTAGGTCTGAGTATTTCATGTTTTAGTATACTGACGTAAAATTAAAATAAATTTTAGCAATTTAATATCTAAATATATTTTAGCAATTTAATATATTCTTTAGACTCGGAGGTTCGGTTTCCACGGGTATCCGCTTTCACTTTTATTTTGGTTTATTTTTTACTCTTCTTAGACCTTATTTAACATAATTTTAGCTGCAGGTTTTTATGCAATTTTTTTTAATCAAATACCTTTGTCAATTTTAAGAGAAAAAATAAAATCAATTCAGGTCCTAACTTGAGTGGTCCTTTTATTGTGTAAAAATTGACTGCTATCTCATTTTGTGATTATGAATCAAGGTTGTTGCTTTTAACTGAAATGTCTACAATGCCTACAATTATTTGTTAAAATTTGAAAACTAATATTTTAAATTTTCAATGTCAAATATCTTAGTATCAAAAACTCGTATAAAAAACTTCATTTGACTTTTTGATTTCTCCTTGCCAGCTCTTTATATTAGCGCTTGAAAAAAAAATATTTAAAAAATTTTAATTTTGAAAATCTATATTTTTGCTTACCCTGTACAACAAAATGGATGTTTCTCAACGGGAATCGTATTTATATAACAAGCAAAAGAAACTATGAAAAATGACTTTTCCTCGAAAAATCGAAAATAAATATTTTTACAAGTATTGTTAAGTCCATCCGTGGACACACTGTATATAGATATAACGATATAAATAACTAAGCTTGAAAACAAATAAAATGTACTAATTGTTATCTTTTTATCTTCTCCCATAAAATTTACAGTTTTGCCGCAAAAGCCTATTTGATTTGATCCCTCGATATATTTGCTATGTTTTCCCTTTAAAGGCTAAAGAAACACCTGGAGGTGTTCGTCAGAGTTCCCGTCGATTACTTCAAGTTGTTCCGTCAATACGGCAACACCGAGGACGAATGGTCCACCCTCACCGACTCCCTGAAAACCCTGAAAGATGGCGAACGCATTGTCGTGAAACTGGGCCGAGTCCTCGGCAAGGACGAGGTCAACTGCAAAATCTACCACCTCAAGCTGGACTACAGCGAACCCAACACTTTCTTGTTCGAGCACATCGTAGCCAAAGGCAAGTGTAAAGCTTAATTTTCATGTATCCGTTTGTCCGTCATCCGTATGTCAGTTTTTCAATAAAATCGTCCGATAAGAAATGTTCTAATTTTCATGCATACGTTTTTTAATGACGTTTAACGGATTGATTTTGCGACAAATAGAAATTAAGTGTCAGTATATTCACTTACTAAATTTACCTAATGCTTAATTGTCATAGTTACAATTATGTCAACAATTGTAACTTTAACAGTTAGCTGTCTAATAAATTTAAAGGTAGGTAAATATACCTTATAAAAAGAATATACTAGCCCTAATATACATAAAAATGTATAGCTTTAAAAAAGCAGGTCCTTTTAGTTCTAGTTTTAATTTTTTTTTTGTTTGTCCTTTCTTTTTTTCTGTTATTCTTATTAAATAAAAACTTAACAGTAAAACATTTTTTACATAACGAACGTAATATTTCCGTTTTACAATCTTATTGAAAAAATATAAAAATATTTGAAAATAAATTATCTTAAAATAACGTTAGGCGTCAAAAACAGATGTGTAGTGACGGATGAGTTAAAATTATTTAACCTTTCTCTGTCAGACGCACGAAGTTGAAACTTGACGGACCGATAAAATGTCATAATTTTCGAATTATAATTGGACCAATAAGAGCGCTCCCGGATGAACGGACTGACGGACAAACGGATACATGAAAATTAAGCTTAACACTGCATAGTGATTATAATTGCTGAATATTTCTTTTCAGGCCAGACTGTGGGTGTTGTGAAGAGGGAGATTTTGGTGCAGATGAAAAAGCAGCACATGTTGGATGTGCATTACACAAAGTGCAGATTGAGAGATAAAAGTTGGAAGAAGCCGAGGAAAGTTTATCTGGACGATCAGATATTCGGCGACGATATTATCATGACGAGCAACATGGATATTTATCTGCAGGAACTTCACACATTTGAAACAGTGAGTAAAATATTTGCCTATGCGTTGTAGCAGAACTGATAACTAATAATTCATATTACAAATAAATGTGATGTAATTATTGTATCTATGTGGTTGTATATTAGGCAACCCAGTATGCGTGTCCCTTAAAACCAATTTCAAATGATCGCGCATTTGTGGTAGTTTTTTTTGTCATCCTTCTTTGCCATGTGAATCGTCTTAGCGCCATTTCATGAGACTTTTGGTACAATACTTTAATTATAATACCCGCTTTGCGATATTATATTTGCTTTAAAGTTGACGTGTCTGCTCATATTTTTAGGTAAGTTATAGCTGTAGTGATTTATTTGGATGTATGAGGATAATTAACAAAAACACGTGTCTTATTCAACTCATATTTTTAGTGTGCTAAAAACAATTCATTACAATCAATAAAGAACATTATCTGGGCCTTACAAATCTTTTCCTCAACGAACTTTCCCCCCTGAGACGTACAGCTCCTCCAAGACTGTTACGGTACAGCGTTTTTAGGAATAATAATATTTTTTCTTTCCAAAACATTCCTTTCTACTCACTAACGCGGCTCAATTATATAACCAACCGCTTCCAGAAGATTTTCGTGTTATCAATGGATCCCTAATCTTCTCCTACAATCGCTTCGTCTCCACTGATACTTGAATGTTCTTGATAATTCTTTATTAACGAGTAAACCTATGCTATGGTTATATTTTTATCTTTTCTATTTGCCAAAATTTTAAAAATATTGTCGAATTATAATCAGGTTGGTATGATTCAAACAAAAACAAACGTTTTAAACAGTGTTCAAAAACACAATAAAAAGTTTAAACTACAAATATTAAATTTTTATGTTTCACATTTGTGGTCCATTAGAAGTTTTTGGGAAACGAGAAAAGATATCGATTCAGAATTTTAAAAGCATTTATTATCCATTTAAGTCTATTTTTCTAAAATATTTTGAACAAAATCCGGTTTAACCGGAAGTGACAGCAACTTTGTTATTTCAAAAGAAACACGCCATATATTTTTACATTTTTAAATTTTACATCAAATTATGAGTAAAATAACTATAAATGTCCTATACTGCCCTACTATGGAGAAAGGCAGTAACTGCAAAAAAATGCAAAATGCGTTTTCTTGTGCTATGGTAAAGCTAAGGACATGTAACCGAATTCAACACATATATATATATATATATCATAAGTTAAAAAAATCAATTAAATACCTACTGCTTTTTATAAAAATGTAGTTTATGCTAATTTTCCACAAATTTCTTGTTTAGCAGTTACTGCCTTTCTCCATATTAGGGCAGTATACCTAAAGTAAATAGTTTTCGAGTTATTAATTTTTTTCGTTAATCTTTGGGAAATGCGCGTCAATCAAAAATACCCAAATACCCAAAATACCAAATATGGTTTGGGAATCTTAAAACATTGTTTAAAAGATTCCTCGTCAATTTTAACAAATTACTTGAGAAAACCTAGGGCAAATTATGCTTGACAAGTTATTAATAATTTGTTGACTGATTATTAAGTGTTTAGTAAACAATATTACTGATAAAAAATAGCAGTCAGTAACATATTCCAATAAATCCACCGCTATATCCACAAACCTTATAACAAAAAAGTGATAGGCTATTTGAGGCCATTATTTGCAAAACTCTCTCTTTGCTATTTGGTTTATCTTTTCAGGAGCAACAAAAACTTTTTAGCTTGAACGCAAATTATTTTTTCGGTTTAATTTATTTTTTTTGCAATACATTAATAGGCATTACTAATAAATATGTTAATCATACATATAAATCTCCTATAGTTTTTCAGGAAAAACAATGTTTTTTGCATATAGAGTGTTTTGAAAAGAAAAAGGTAAACACAGTGAAATTAAACGTTAATTTATTAAACAAATTGTAACATTAACAAGATTTTTGAAACACAAACAAAAATTAGTATGCAAACTAAAAAAACCTAAATAATTTTAGTGTCGTTTAAGTTTTGACACGCGTCTTTTTAAATTTTAGCAGCTTGATCTTGAATAATTTTGTAGAAGGCTTATTCTGGCAGTTTTATCCAATATTCGTCATAATGTTTAACCAGCAACCCAATAATGGGAGTTTTATACCCCTGCTTAGCGGCTAAATGGATGTAAAGAAAGAGTTTTGCAAATAACCGATAACTTTTTAACCGATTTTATATAGCAAAGAAGCAATTTTTAAACGATTTAAAGGTGGCAATACATTCCTTATCAAAAATCTGATGAAATTAGCAAATAAAATGAAATTTTGAGTATTTGGTCGATTATAGAGACGTTTGCAAATAATGGCCTTATTTATAATTAAAGCGCATTTGTCAAATTTTAACGAAAAAAAATTATTAACTTAAAAACTGAACAATCAAAGTATAATGAGTTGCTTAACATAAGATAACAAACATGCTTAAATTTATTTATTACGGAAACACCCGAGAATCCAAAGACATATGAAATACGGGGAATCCCAGTCTTAGGAATATGTTAAATATACGATCATAGTCTTATTTATGCTTTACTCCAATAAAGTCTATTGTGCTATTGTTAATTTGTTTAATTAACTGCCATGTATTTAACAAAAACTATTTACTTTATGTATAGGGCATGGTATAGTAATTTTACTCAGAATTTTATAATGTAAAAATTTATGGGGTGTTATATTTTAAATAACAAAGTTAATTCGGTTAAACCGGAAGTGGATTTAGTTTAAAATATTTTAGAAAAATAGACCTAAATGGATTATAAACATTTTTAAAATTTCAAATCGATATCTTTTTTCGTTCTCCAGAAACTTCTAATGTACCACTAATGTGAAACACATAATACCGTGGTCTATAGCGATAAAATAATTATCGCGTTTGTAGGTAATGCCGATAGCAATCGTCATTGAGAAAATATAAGACGGTCTAAGCCTGTGGTTCCCAAACTTTTCCCCATGACGCCCCCTTCTTGATATAATTCGCGAACGCGACATTATGAGGTAAACTGGTAAAACATTCTGACTGCGCCAATTCCTAAATTATAAATTCAAATATTGAATCCTCTTTAATTATTTTTTAGAAAGAAATAACTTACTTTTTTTTAAATAAATTTTTGTTTTTAAAAACTGAATTTGTATGCAGAAAAATCAATTTTTCTGTTTTTTTCAGTTTTTGGAAAAATTGTTTTTTTTTTTTTTGAGAAAATTTGATTTTTTTCTAAAAATAGGTAGGTATAGAAAATTATTTAAAAAAAAAAAATATATTACAGATTAAAAAAACAAATAAAACTAAACATTCAATTGAATTAATTTAAGAAATTAATTGTAAACGTTACAAAATTGAAAATATCAAAATAATAATGAATGATTTATAAAGTTAAATTACAAAATTATACATTTATAAATCCATGTGTTAAATAAAATGATAGTTATGCTAATACAGCCCCGAATTTGTTTTTTTTGCGACCCGGAATAATGGGGTAGTTAAATTTTTCTGACCTATACTTTTTATGGTTTTATTCAAGGCGTTTTGTAATTTTAAACATTTCTGTGAAATCGGAATTTCAATTGAATTTACCGTTTTCGAGATATTTACAAAAAAAATCTAATTACGTCACTAGGCTATTACAACGTTGCCAGCTTTTTCTATGGTTGCCATTGTGTTTAGTTTAAGATTCTTACGATAGATGGCGCCACGTTAAAATATTTTAGTTTTAAAACCACTTGATCTATAATTTTAGTTGAGAAGAAGAAGAAGAATTGATTTTTTGACGTTTCTTTTTTTCGGGTTAAGTTTTTTTTAAATTTAGATTATTGAAAATCAATGTTATTGTTATGTTATTTGTAATTGATATTAGATAAGTGATTTATTAATTACATTAACTGACTCCAAAGCAGAGGAATCTTGTGGAATGGTTGGTTACATTGAACATTGGAGCTTTTAAACAAATAAAGTAAGTACCTATAATTATAATCATATTTTGTCGTAAATGCATTTCTTTAGTATAATGCCTAGTTCTTTATATTCTTTTAGATATATCTTGGACTCTAAAATATCAAACAGTAATATGATACCTCGTAATAAGGAAGATAAGTACTTAATGAATTTGGTGACCATCTTTCACTCAACTGACAGTGACAGTATTTGTACATAACCTCTTCGGGTATTTTCTGACATAACCGAATGAAATCATTAACAAGACAACTTGACAACAGGGTAATTTTCAACCAATAGAAATCTTAGAATGTTGGTCATATGGCGAGGTTTGTGAGGTCATAAAAATTTATATTTTTTGTAAACATCTCGAAAACGGTAAACTCAATTGAAATTCTGATTTCAAAGAAATGTTTAATATTACAAAACGCCTTGAATAAAATATAACTACTCCATTATTATAATCATGTATTATTATTATAATCACAATCGAAAATTCACTTTTTTTTGATACCATTGTACAGATATTTGAAAATTTTCAGAAAAATTGACTTTTTAATTTGTATCGTATTACCCTTTGATTAGAATTAAAAAAAATGCAGTAGAAAAGTATATTTTAAATATATTTATATATACTCACAAAAAGGATTATTTTACCATAAATAAATTTTTACGTTAATAATGCAAAAGTCAATTTTTCTGAAAATTTCCCAATTTTTTCGTCACGGTCAATAGCCTTTGAACTTGGTTTTAGTTCAATAAAGCATTATTATTATTTAATGCAAAAGTCAATTTTTCTGAAAATTTCCCAATTTTTTCGTTTTTTTTTCAGCCGGCTTAATTTTTCAGAAAAATTTAAAACCCTAGTCCCCCAAGTTTAGGAACCACTGGTTTAAATAGACTGTTATTTTTTTTTCACTTATTATTATGACTGCGTTAAATTTCGTCTCATAATGAGCTCATTATGATACGCAAATGTATTTTTCTCGCCTCCAGGTAACTTCGGACACGTCCGCGGTGCTGTTCGTGCGGCGCTGGTGTCCCTCGACGTTGCAGCTGGAGCGGCTGCAAGAGATCGCGATGGACACGCAGAGCGTCGACGAGATGAGGCAGCGCATCTCGGACGTTTCCGGCATACCGACCGAAAACGTGGACTTCGCGCACGTCAAGACGGCCTTCCCCTGTGATATGCACCTGTTGGAGATCGCCGACGAACTGACCTGGAATCCCAACGTGCAGATGCTGCAGCAATGGCCGCTCAACGCCGACGACGGCAGCGTCTTCTTCTATAGGTAAGCGACGACTTTTTCCATATAACTTTCTAGTAGGATTTTCTCCGGTTGAGATTATGAAATTAATATAAAACAGTGGCTGGTACGAGTACGAGAAAATTTTAATTTTTTTTTAAATATCCAAAATTCCAATTTTAAATAATTTGAAATTTTTCGGAAATTAAAAATTTATATTAATTTACAAAAAGGATTTCTTTACCATAAAACAAATTTTTACAATAACAAATTTTAGGTCCAGTTTTGATCAGTACATTTTTGCACGGTTCACATACAAGAAATATATTTTTTTTTAAAATAGATTGGATTTATACATTTTTTTACAAATTATTCAAGATTATGGACAACTCAATATAAAAATAATTTTTTTTCAAAGAGAACTATAATGTATAGTATATAAAGCAAATTTAATAGTAAAGCATTTAAAAACATTTTTTAAAAATTTAATATTTTCAGAGAAACGATGCACTTTGCACTTTAAAACTATTTTTTTATAGAATTGCTTTAAAAATGCCCAAAAAGGATTCTAAACGATAAATAATTATAAAAGTGTTAAAACTGAGTCATTCCAAATAAAAACATAATATGGTCTGCATAGTTTTAGATTTTAATAAAAAAATGAGAATCTTTTAGGTGTCAAAATTTTGATTTTACTAACTAGTAAGTGTGTTTTAATTATTTCAACAATGAATGAAAATTTGTTATAATTTGCTAATTTGCGCCGACTCTACTAATTAACCCTAGTAGCAATTCCGGAAAAGTCTTGGCCCAGCATGGGTCAAGATACTTTGGACAGATTTTTGCTCAAGAATTGTACAAGAATTGTTCCAGATTCTTGGCCAAGATTATTGGGCAAGACTTGAGCCAGACTGTGGCCAGAATTTGACAAGAATTTGACCAGAAATCTGAGGCCATCTATTGCTATACTTTGGGACTATCCTATAGAGTAGAGGTTCTCATTCACAATAATGTATACTAGTCGAGAAGTGAGTTCTCTGTAGGAAATGAGTATAGTTTTTTTGTTTATGTGAAAATACGAATAAGAGCTTATTGGATTCGTCTTCTAGCTGAGAAAAAAATTGATTTTTTGAAAAATAAAAATTGTTATTTCTAAAAATAAAAAATTAAAAAAAAAAAAGTGTGTGTCAGCTCTGACGCATAACTAGAGTTTACTCTTTATGAACATGAAAGATTATAAAATACATGTTTATTTTTACGGGCACCTGGTTTTTTTTTTAACATAGAAAATTAAAAACTTTAACTCTTTCAAAATTTGTTTCGTTTTTAATTCTATTGTTTACCAGATTTATGGATAAAAACCGAATTTACTGGAAAGAAATCGTGGAAAATTAATGTTTTAGTAACATTCTTAACTTTTGAAGTTCAACAAAATTTTGTATTGACCAAAAATCTTGAATTGAAAGTTCCTATTTAACGTGTAATCGTGTAAAAATTCTTGGCCAAGAATCTGGTCAAATTCTGGTCACAGACTTGTCCAAGTCTGCCACCAGTCTGGATAAAGAATTTTGATCAAGAGTCTTGGTCAAGAATTGTCCAATTCTTTACAAAGTGCTTCTCCAAGTATCTTGACAAAGAATCTTGTCCAATTCCAATGCTACTAGGGTAGGAGAGCTTTTTTAGAAATTAGTACTTATACGTAAAAGTTCTTGGGGTTTTATTTTATTAAAAAAAAACAAGCCATAAAATTTTTAAAAAAAAATTTTGCACGCCATTTGGTAGACGAAATAAAATAAAACTTAAAATTTTAGTAGTACCTACCTTTATCTTTTAGAACCACTAGTGGTTAGTGGTTAGCACTTAGTTAGCACTTAGTGGTGTTCTTTAAACTCATTAAAATGTCTCAAAACTGGCTATGTAAAAACGGTTTTTGCACGATAAATGATTATAAAATTGTATTCACTAACTAGTGTGTTTTAATTATTTCAATAATAAATGATGGACCAACGAACATTTGTTAAAAACCTTTTAATTTTAGAGAGCTTTTTTAGAAATTAGGTACTTATTCGTAAACGTTCTTGGGCGTTATTTTCTTAAGAAAACACAAGCCTTAAAATAAAATTTAAAATTTTTAGAAAGTGTACTCCCTACCTTTATTTTCAAGAGCCAGTTAGTCGTGTTTTTTGAGTTGTTTTAAAAACTAAAAGGTCTCAAAACTGGCTTCAAACTATCAAAATGTCTTTAAACTGCTTATTTAGGAAATACTATTTACATAAAATTGCGAAATAAATATTGAAAAATATTTACGTGATATTTATCCCTTGACTGGTACGCAAGAAATTTGAAACCAAAGTGGTATCCTGGGGTCTTCAATTTTTTTAAGGAAAAATTAAGAAAATTTCAATTTTCAATTATGTCTATATAATTTAGGTTATTAAAAAGCGACATAGGAATAAACACAATAAAAACTTTATTACTTTATAAAACTTTAACAAAAATGTTCTTTTTTGACATTGGCTTTATTTTGTTATCAAAAAAAAAAATAAAAATAGGTGCAAATAAAAACTGTAGCAGTATTTTCGTCTCGTCTAATCTTTACTGGATCCTTTGAAACAAAAAATAAAGTATTTTAAGTCAAAACTGACAGGTACTTTACAACTTATCCTAATTCATGGCCTTTGCAAGATGTACATTCTATTTTATTTGTGAAATGCTGCTTGCATACGAACTTGAGTCATTTATTGCACCTTGTCGAATGTTTTTGATCTTTTGTTCTTGTCTTTTCAACCCCTCAGAATATTCAATGATCACTTTTCTCAGTTGGAGCATCACTAATGTCCTCTTCAGACTCACTACAATAGTCAACAGGCAACGTAGGTTCATCTATGTCACTCTTAGATTCATGGCTAAGTCCTCTAACTCTTGTTCTGTTAAATATTTGTTCGCCATTGCAAAATTTATAAAATCGCGTAACAAGTATGACCCCAAACGTCAATAATTAAAAAACGGAAGTTCGACCGGTTCCTCTCTCAAGCACAAAGTAAATTATTGTATAGCCTGCAGCTACCGAGACGGTCAAGGCTTTGTTACCAAATACTGAAAAATTATAAACGATTGGGGTCACGTGAGACCCCAGCGTACCAGTTAAGGGTTATGAATGTTTCAAAAATATTTACGCGTAACAGTTATAAAAATATTTTTCCCTGAATATTCGTACATTTCATTAACCTTTCATTTATAAATATTGTTCTTCAAACGGCCTGACAACATTTTTAAAAAATATTGTGTTGTGGGTGACACATCGACCCTTCTACGACTCTGCGGTACGAGCTGAGTCTTAGATGGCATAGATGAGCTGCAACAAGTCAGTTTTAAAAAGACTTAAGTCTTAAGTCAATTCTAAAATCAAAATGATTTAAATCTTAAGTCAATTCTAAGATAAAGTTCAAATGATTTAAGTATTAAGTCTTTGAATTAAATCATTTTCTTTCAAGTCAAGTCATTTTCGCAAATTCTTAAATCAATATAAAGGGATTTAAGTCATAAGATAATTCCTTTAATAAGTCGTTTTTATGACTTAAGTCTATATTTTTTATTTAAATCGTGATCTAAGAGTTAAGTCAATAAAATGACTTGAATCAAAAATTTTGATTTAAATCAAAATAATTACCCTTAAGTCAATAGAACGATTTTTTAAATGTTAATAATAATTTTATGGTATTAATGATACTGATATTATTAATCTATTGTAGATACAGATGATAATAAACCACTATGTTAAGAATTTAAAACGATTTATTTTCAGAACACTTACCCTAGTAGCAATTTTGTCAAAGACTTGGGCCAGAATGGGTCAAGATACTTTGTACAGATTTTTTATCAAGAATCGGACAAGAATTGTTCCAGATTCTTGGCCAAGATTATTGGGCAAGACTTGGGCCAGAATGGGTCAAGATACTTTGTACAGATTTTTTATCAAGAATGGGACAAGAATTGTTCCAGATTCTTGGCCAAGAATTTGACCAGAAATCTATAGAGTAGAGGTTCTCATTCTACAGTAGCATCAGAGCTCTACCGAGGCACACTTTTTTGGGGGGGGGGGCGGAGACGATAAAAAACCAACTTATTTTTTTATACAGTATGTCCATGGATAGAGGGCCCAAGAGGACAAATGGACTAAAATTTTCATTTTTCGACCAAAAGTCATTCCTTATAAAAAGTTCTGCTTGTTTAAAAAAGTCTATTGCCATACTTTAAATTTGAAAATATTATATATTATATATATATAAAAACAAGAAAACATGAAATACTCTCAGGAGTAAACTACCTTTATTTTTCGTTTTGGAGCAAAATGACAAATAAAAAAAAGATTTCAAATTGTATTCAAAGACCATTTGTAAAATTTTAACTTGGTATTGGGAAAAATAAAATTTGGAATATTATTCCAAATTTTATTTTTCTTAGTTTTAAAATTTAATTTCATATTTACAAAAATGACACAATCAACAATAATCAAGTAACGTCAAATTGACAATTTGCATTCTATCATTGTTCATTTTGGTAATTAATGTAAATTTACACAAAATGTCCGGGTTAAGAACCCTATACATAGGTAAAGGATACGTGAAATGAGGTACAAAAGTATAAATTAGAAATTAAATTTTAAAACTTTATAAGAAAAAGAAAATTTGGAATACTGAGTTGAAATTTTACAATTAGTCTTTGGATAGGATATCCTTATAATATTATTTGTCATTTTGCTCCAAAACGAAAAATAAAGGTAGTTTATTCCTGAGAGTATTTCATGTTTTCTTGTTTTTTTGACCCCCCTGTATAATATTTTCAAATTTAAAGTATGGCAATAGACTTTTTTAAACAAGCACAACTTTTTATGAAGAATGACTTTTGGTCCATTTGTCCTCTTGGGCCTCTAGTATAAAAAGTATACGCTATAAATATAAAAAATGGAACCTACTAGGTAGGTAAATAAAAAAAAATCAAAATAAATACAATAGGTTAAAAATTATAATATTGTAAATTACAATTTCTAATATGTATGGTTTAAAAATTATATTTTATTTATTGTGATGAGTAGGTTGGTAGGGTAGGTAAACCCTACCAACCTACCCAAATAGATTTTGCCAACCGTGTTTGGATTTGGAACCAACTGCCTAGACTTTGGGGGAGCGACTCCCCCCCTTAGGTCCGGCCCTGAGTAGCATCATTCACAATACTCTACTCTATTAAATGAAATAGTCAAAATTCTACTATTTGAATTACTACCAGCATTTTTTACTAATAAAGTAGTCGTTTTCACTTTAAAATGGTTATATTTTACTACTTAAATAGTTAAAGTTTGACTAATTTAAGATAAGTCACCATCTTTGACTGTTTCGAATAGTTAAAAGTACCTAATTTCTTTAATCGTTTGTTTAATATTATGAACAATATTTATAGACAAATAAAATTATTTTTTATAAAAGTGACTGATAGTGATTGGTTATGACATCCGCTTGACAAGCTTGACAAGCGACAGATCGGAGTTCAAACCCCGGCTGGGTCACAACTTTTTTAAATTTAAATCTTCTAATTTGACTATTTCATTCAGTAGAATTTGACTAATTATTAGTGACTGTTTTTTCGCTTTGACAATTAGTCATATATGACTTATAATTATTTATTTTAGACTTATTCATTTTAAGAGAGTATACTAGTCGAGAAGTGAGTTTTCTGTAGGAAATGAATCGAGTTTTTCCGTTTGTCTGAAAATACGAACAAGAGCTTATTGGATTCGTCTTCTAGCAAAGAAAAAAATTGATTTTTTCAAAAATAAAAATTGTTATTTCTAAAAATTAAAAAAAAGTGTGTGTCAGCTCTGACGCGTAACTAGAGTTTACTCTTTATGAACATGAACGATTATAAAATACATATTTTTTGTACTTGTGGACGTACATTAAACGTCCGTCGACATACATCAGACGTCCTACGGATTTCCATTTAAGGTTACTTTGTCACAGTTTTGGACGTCCATTAGATGTTACTAACGGACGTACATTTAATGACATTGTAAACAATGGACGTACATAACACGTAAACAGCGGGAGTGCTTATTTTACTGGTATACTGTTTTAATGCGTTTTTTTTCAAAACTTACATTGTATTACAGATAGGTACTATTTTCCACCAAATACTGTACAATACATTCCACAGTATTTGGTTCCACATTTGAATACAAAAAACTGAGGTTAGGCATCTGTCAGTTTAACGCTTATTTCGTCTTATTCTCTGAAAATAATACAATAAATGTGCATAAAGGTCCTAATTTAGAACACAAAAAATACATATATAATGTACGTCCATGGGATGTAGTGTGCTGTATGGGAATCCTAGACGTTAAACGTGTTTTTTTCGTTCTTTAACGTCCGATGACCCGACGATGATTTATGCAGATATACCGCCATATTTACTACTGTTCTAACTTTAATTGCCATTAAATAGAAAAATATCGAATAAAAAGTAAGGGCTATTTTTGTAACTTTGCCCCCCAAATGTAACAGTTTTGATCTATTGAATTTTCTAGTAGGCTTTAGGACAAAAGTGACGTTTGGGTTATTTATAATATTTAGTTATATTTTTTATAATTTCATAATAAAAATTTGAAATAGGTATTAACTCTGAAAAAAATTGGGGATGTTTTTGTAACTTTGCCCCCCCAAATGTTATGCCTATGATGAAATTTTAAAAGTTTTGATCTTAGATCTAGATTCTGCATGTCAAAATTACCAAAGTACCAAAAATTCATTTCTTCATGAACGTTTTAATGAAAATATGAGATAATAATAATGAGAGTAATTTATTTATAAATGCATTTTTCTCGAAAATGGTGCATCTAAACGATCTAAATAAAGAGTACCTATTTTTCGTAAAAAACTATAAATTTTCATAATTTCATAAACAAAAATTAAAACATTAACCTAGAAAAAAGTTAGGGCTATTTTTGTAACTTTGCCCCCCCAAATGTAACGCCTATGATTCAATTTTAACAGTTTTGATCTAAGACCTAGATTCAGCATGTCAAAATTACCAAAGTACCAAAAATTTATATCTTCCTGTTCAAACCTCTAGGAATAGTTTTAAAAAAATGACCCTCTTATGCTCTTATTCAGGGGGCCGTAGCTCCGTTAGGGGGCATTTTTTTATACATGTTTATTAAACAAACAAGTGTTATTTTTCTATAAAGAATGCACTTTTTAAGTTTGGCCCCCCAATTTCGGGACAAGAATTTTGACGTATACGTCAAAATTCTTGGCCAAGAATCTGGTCGAATTCTGGTCACAGACTTGTCGCAAGTCTGGCACCAGTCTGGATAAAGAATTTTGATCAAGAGTCTTGGTCAAGAATTGTCCAATTCTTTACAAAGTGCTTTTCCAAGTATCTTGACAAAGAATCTTGTCCAATTCCATTGCTACTAGGGTACAAACAAAATAAAAACTTAAACCACCTTTTTTAGTAGAGTACATACAGGGAGGCTACTTTTTTATATACATAAATGGGTAACTTCTAAACGGTAAAAGATTCAAACTCTGTTAAAAAAGATAAAAGTTGAAGCATTTTTCTAAAATCGCTGTATTTCAAAAACTGATAACTTGTTGTTTTATTAACTTTTGTTAGCTGGTTCAACATCCATCTAGAAAAAAAATATTCCTCCCTTAAGGGAGTAATGATGGGAGGTTCCAAACTCTCGATTCAATTAATTATTTACTTAAACAAACCGAAACACCCTGTATGATATAAACACGTCTTTATAATATTTATTCGTCTTTACCTGTTAATCGTTTGTTTCCACTTTGCACTAATAATCACAAATTAGACCTAACTACGCACGCATAACACGACGAATGTTGGCAAACAAAATAACAAAATTATAAATTCCCATTTTTTTTTCATTTATTTTAGATAGGACATTTTTTAATGTAGCTGTCAAACGGTTCCGAAAAGCGGTTTTTTTTATTCACTAGCGGTAGCAATTAAAGGAGTTTTTGATCTGCTGCCGCGTGAACCCCTGGCAGTTCAAAAGAAAATGCCGCTGTTAAAAATATATGAAAAATCTGACTTAAATATTTTCTAAAAAGACTTAAATCTTTTTAAATTACTATCGCTAACAAAAAAAACTCATACAGCTATATTGTGGCTGTGTGAATAAAACTTTTTCGTCAATTTCGCATCCATGATCATGTTTCGCATCTAAACTGCGCACCACTCAATGTGTCGCGACCAAAAAGTTCGTCCTTTTTCAAAACGACATAACTTTTTTGTTTCTTAAAGGATTTTATTTTGGTCTGTGATGTCTGCTAGCCCCATCCTCTGGCAATTCACGATATAGATATGAAGCTCAAGGTTCTTCAAGTAAAGGGTGATATGTTAAACGGTGAAAAATTTCAAAAACTTCATCCAAGCCCCGTTTGTAAAAAAATTATTTTTTTCTCGTGTTTACTTTGAAATAATGAAGTATTATGTCTTACCTTGAAACGTGTTTTAAATTTTTCGAATTGGAATCTTAGCAACGAAAATATCATTTTTTTTTCCAATTTAACAGCAGGGAATTGTTTTCGAGTTTTGATTCTTAGTGATTTTGGTTTTATCTGAAACTTAAATTTGACAATCAGGAGGTCAAATTTATAAAGAAAACTTTTCACGAACGTAAATATCGGTTCAGGATTAGTTTTCGCAAATTTTCACCAAAATGTCATTTTGAAAAAGTGGTCTTTGCTTGTTCAGAATTATTCAAGGAACAATCTTTCACCATCTTATCTCCTTGTTCTTAAAAAGACTGAGTGTATTGCCTACCAAAAAGCCTTAAAAGTACTCTTTTAGAAAATAAATCATATTTTCTTTGCTAAGATTCCAATAGGAAAAATTTGAAAACCTTTTCAAGGTAAGACATAATACTTCATTATTTCAAAGTAAACACGAGAAAAAAATTATTTTTTTACAAACGGGGCTTGGATGAAGTTATTGAATTTTTTTACCGTTTTACATATCACCCTGTACGAAATTTACTTGATGAACCGTGAGCTTCATATCTATAGCATGAATTGTCAGAGGATGGGGCTAGCAGACATCACAGACCAAAATAAAATCGTCTAAAAAAGAAAAAAGTTATGTCGTTTTGAAAAAGGACGAACTTTTTGGTCGCGACACATTGAGTGGTGCGCAGTTTATATGAACCAGGCTGACATCGAGCTTTGTCACATTCATTATGACTTTTTAAACAACATTTTCTACCAAACAATGCAGACGAACTCTGGCAAGCCATTGAAGCCATTTGGAACGAGATAAAGCAAGACGGCGCCTTCCATGCTTTGCCGTTTGCGGGCAGTAATTAACAAAAACAGAGGGATGACGAAATATTATTTTTTTTTCAAACTTCAACCTAACTTTGTATTTAATTTTAGACCTTTCAAATGTGACGTATCATGTTAAAAGCCATAATTACTCCAACGAAATGATAGAAAATCAGGAACACTAGATTTTTAAGCTGTATGAGTTTTTTTTGTTAGCGATAGTACTTAAATAATTTACCGACTTTTATAAAGACTTAAATCTTTTTTGACTTAAATCGTTTCTATATAACTTAAATCGTATATACTGATTTAAGCCTTTTATTAAGTTTTTTCTATTTTGAAAAAAATATTTAAGTCACAAATCATTTTGAAAATTACTTAAATTTAAGTCTTAAGTCAGTTTTAGAGAAATGACTCATTACCAAATGACTTAATTCATTAAAACGATTTAAATCAAAAAAACGATTGAAGTTTTCTGAGAGCTTGCAGCTCTGTTTACAACCCGTTTTACGGCAGTACGTAACACAATAAACTCTTTGCAGAGATAACCGCGAAACGCCGAAAGAGCTGACGGCCGAAGAACGCAAAGAAATAAACCAGCGCGAGAACTCGCGGCTCGGCAGGCACAGCACGAAGTCGCCGGGCCGAGAGAGGGCGCTGAAAATCTACCTGGACACGTCGCCCGCCAAACCAGACGACCACTGTACAGACTGACAGGCCAGTAAACCCCACTACACGTCTTTGTTTTATTGCGCAATCAGTTAACCGGACAGCCTGCAGCATTCGAGCGACACTTCCGACGAAGAAACGGTAAGTTAGCTGTTGGAACAAACCCTCTACACCGTTGACAGTTTTAGGTTAGGTTTTAGGAGTTTTCGGGTGGCGTTAGGTACACTTTTTCGATAAATTTTTTGTTGAAAACCGGAAAAAATTGCCTGTGCGTTTTCAGAAATTTTTCCCCATTAAATATCATACCGTATTATTTGGGTTTGTTCCAACGCAAGTGTATCGTTTTTTCGCAATAATAAACAACAATGTGTATTTTGCTAAATTATTAAATTATTATAAGTTTTGTTGTTTTTCTGTGATTCCACCCAAATAATATTCATAATAAAGTATCTAAAGGAAAATATAAATTTTAAAATATAACACTTTAAAAGCACAAATCTCGTGAATTCAGAACTTGAAAACAATTTTAGCGTCACGAGATTAATGAACGGCCCTGTACATAAACCTTTCTCCTAGTAATATTCGGTTTTATTAAAAATTTATAGTTTGTTTTACACACTTTGTTATGCTTTTTTTACTGGTATCTGCAGGATTGTGTACGATAAAAAAAATTTGTTGGAGTGTATAAATTTTTAAATGAAAAAATTGTTGCGTTTATTTTTTTCGTCACGCTAATTTAAATACTCCAATCAACAGTTATAGACCAAGTAATAATTTGGGTTATTATTAGAATAATTCAAACAAAAAATCGTGTTTTATAAAATGTAATTTTTTTCGTTAATATTTTGAAAAAAATATATAGTTTTAAAGTAAATTACAGCTTTAGATTTTGGAATCCAAATATAATATAAAACAGTTTTTTTCAATAAGCAAAGATTCAAATTCTTATATATATTTTTTAATCAAATACTTTAACAAAGGATCATTGTTCATAAATCTGTGTCGTAATTTAACTAGAAAATAAATATATTATACACATTTATAAGGTAAGCCCCTTAAAAAACCCCATTAAAAAAAAAATTTTTTTTTTAGTAAAAAATTCGACAGAAGATAAATAGTTATATGACCAATAATCTTTGGTTAAAATATTTTATTAAAAAAATAGACTAATTTTAATGTTTGAATACCTATTGAAAATAACGTTTTTTTATAGTATACCTATCGAAAACAGTCTAATTAAGCAATATATTAAATGTATTAAAATTGACATTATTAAAAACAGTTGTTTGAATTATTTCGACTTTTTGACTTGTCACTTGCTCTATTATTTTATGTTTATGTACTTTGTTTAATGTTGGTACAAATAATTTATTTGTTCTACTTGTTTTAATAAATATAATTTAATGTTACCAAATGTGAATAATATTAAACAAGTTTGATTTGATAATATTAAATTCTATTTATTAACTATTTTATTTAAACTGCGAATACTTCACTGTTAATTTTTGTATTTATTTTCCATAAAAATCTTTATTATTAATTTTTGCATTATCCTATGTTGTTAGTTGACAGTGATGTATTCATTATTTAGGTCTCCATGAATAATATATCAAATTTTTTCGGTTTTGGATGTTTGTAAAAATTCCACCAATACATTTATAAATTTTGGGCTTCTAAATTTTCTTCCCATCTTCATAAAATATTGAGAATGCTTTTTATATAAAGCTACTTTATATAGATATTTATTTGTGACTGATCAATAAAACAGTTTATCTATACAATTTTTTTTAAATTATACCCCAAAATGTTTGTAATATTGCCAATGAAATCAAACAGAAACCTTATTATTTTGGGCTTGAAAGAACATAAAAGGTAAGTAAAAATATTATAAAACATACTGCATAAATTTTTATTTATCTATATACTTTTTTTTATTCCTATTACATATTATTGACATTTTTTTTCGTAAATAATGGTAACCAATATAACCACCCGGCCTAACAACGGGAATATTGAACTCATTATTCACGTTGTTAGGCATCAGTGATTGGCTGATTTTAATATTCACTGTTATTTGAACCAATCGGGTTTTAAATTGGGAAAAAGTAAGGTTAACAGATGTCAGATTTGTTGATATATACGAGGGGCGACTATAATGATCTTTAAAATCTGGAAAAAGTGAGGTTATAATAAATTTTGTTATCAATGATCAAATTACCTAATTGGAGTAGAAAAAGCATAGTATTACACTCGAAATAATGCGCAAACCTCATCCTTGTGAATAATAGTGCATTATCTCTCGTATAATAATATACTATTTTCGTTACTCTAATTTACATACTCAAATCAACAGTTATAGACCAAGTAATAATTTGGGTTATTATTAAAATAAGTGAAACAAAATAGTACCATGTTACTATTAGTTTAATTTTATTTCAATGTTTTTTTCATGGATAACTTGTCAGAATAAATTTTTGTAGTTAATATTTTGCATTTTTCTACTTACAATTTTTCAATAAAATTAAGTATAGTTTAAAAAAATCACTAATATGAATTTTTAAATATTTACTCTTAAAAACTGACATAGTAGGCCTTGTATTTTGTAAAAATATGGCGTTTTTGCTCCAAAAATACAATTTATCAAGATCTACACTTTAAAAGAAATCCGGTTAAAATCGCACAATAAATAAAGATTTTTTTGTAATTGACATTATAAAAACGGTTGTTTGAATTATTTCAACTTTTTGACTTGTCACTTGGTCTATTATTTTATGTTTATGGACTTTGTTTAATGTTGGTACAAATTTGGTTTACTTGTTTTATTAAATATAATTTAATATTACCAAATGTGAATAATATTATTATATATTAAACTAGTTGTTTAATATTTGAAAATAATAAATTCTATTTATTAACTATCTACTTTATTTAAACTGCGAATACTTTACTGTCAATTTTTGTATTTCTTTTTTATAAAATTTACATCTTTATTAATATTTTTTGTAGTACCAATATTGTCAGTTGACAGTGATGTATTCATTATTTAGGTCTCCATGAAGAATATATCAATTTTTTTTTCAGTTTGTATTTGTGACTGATCAATAAAACAGTTTATCTATACAATTTCAGTCCAAAATGTTTGTAATATTGCCAAAAATGCACTTCACATTTGAACAGAAACCTTTATTATTTTAGGCTTGAAAGAACACGAAAGGTAAGTAAAAATCCAAGTAATTTTGATAAAAATTTATTACAACATTAAATGCATATTATAAAACATACTGCTTAAATATACTTATATCACACTAATCATCTAGGCTCACAAATTAAATTTATGAGGCAATGACATTTTTAATGGAAGTAGAACCTTCCTAAAGTATAGTATTTACAATATTGCAACGTTTAGGTTTTTAAACCAAATCAAATTTTACAAGAAAGTCCTTCAGTAAAAAAATAACGAACTTTACCGTATGGGGCAAGATTTTACATTATAAATAAAAATATATGTACAAATATACAATGATTTATTTAAAACTACACTTCTCACACATAGTCCGAGGGCACTGTGACATTCTCACTTATGGCGGCCAAACGCGCACTGGGCCTGCGCAGCTCAAAACTGTTAGCACAATTACTGTCCCAGGGCGTCATGGTGACCAAACCGACGACTTCGTAGGCGCGCTCGGGCACGGTCGTGACCGACAGATCCGAGTAGTAGGCGCTGCTCGGCGCGCTGGACTGCTGCGCGTCCGGATCAGTGTACGCCGAGTTCTGATAGGCGGGGCTGTTGCTGTCTCTGTCTAGCTCCGCGTACAAGGCTTCGCCGACCGTGTTGTACGAGTCCTCCATGTGGGTGTAGTGGTTTTCCGCCGGGAACGACGGCGGGTTGTCCAGTTGGGAGGGGGTGGTTACGCTGCGTCTAGATAGCCACGACCAAACGCCGGAGTTGGCGTTGGGGGCGCTGGGGACGTTGGGGAACGTGGCGGGGGTTATGGTGCTTATTGTTTTGTCGTCCGGGGTGCTTATGGGCGGCCTCAGGCTCGGGTGTCTTTGCATTGGTATGCTGCCTCTTTCGGTTTCTGAAAAAAACAAACTAAATAAGCACAAAATGTTCCATCCCACTGGAAAAAATAATATTATGTTACTGAACGTTACATTCGTTAGATGTAATGTTACAAAAATCCTTGTGGCAATGTTGCAGGAACATTGCAACAAAGCCTTATGTCCGGCTCAGGAACAGTACATTTACAAATAAAATGTTGCTTAAATGTATTAATTGCAATGTTACTAAATGTTATTTTTGTTAATGTAAGGTTCCTGCAACATTACATTTGTTAGGTGTAATGTTACAAAAATCCTTGTGGAAATGTTGCAGGAACATTGCAACAAAGCCTTATGGTTCAGGAACATTATATTTACAAATAAAATGTTCCTTAAATGTATTAATTGCAATGTTACTAAATGTTATTTTTGTTAATGAAAGGTTCCTGCAACATTACAGGAATTAAATTAATATGAATTATTATAATAATAATTAATTATAATTATTTATCCGTAAGCTATAGGCCTATTATATATATATCCCGAATGGTATGGTCCAATTACTAATGCACCATACCCACCAACACTGACAGACAGACTGTTTGGTCTCATCAGTGTCAGGCAGTCGGTGACAGGAGACACGCATCAAGCTCGGACTGTTTACTTATAAAGATATAAATGACCAAAACAGCGGCGAGATGCATCGGCAAGTCAGTCTGCAAACAACATTGCAAAAATTATCTTAACGCAATATTTCGAATGAAACATAGTCCAAAACTAAAGTTATAATTATAAATGTAATATTATAGTTACAATGTTCCAAAAATCTTGCAAATTAAATGTTTATATTGTTTATATAAAGCAACATTTCAAAAATCATCTTAATGTAATATTTCGGATGAAACATTGCCCAAAACTTATCAATGTAATATTATAATTGCAATGTTTCAAAAATCTTGCAAATTAAATGTTTATATTGTTTATATAAAGTAACATTGCAAAAATCATATTAATGTATTATTTCGGATGAAACATTGCCAAAAACTTATCAATGTAATATTATAATTGCAATGTTCCAAAAATCTTGCAAATTAAATGTTTATATTATTCATCATTCAACTATAATTATAAATGTAATATTATAGTTACAATGTTCCAAAAATCTTGCAAATTAAATGTTTATATTGTTTATATAAAGCAACATTTCAAAAATCATCTTAATGTAATATTTCGGATGAAACATTGCCCAAAACTTATCAATGTAATATTATAATTGCAATGTTTCAAAAATCTTGCAAATTAAATGTTTATATTGTTTATATAAAGTAACATTGCAAAAATCATATTAATGTATTATTTCGGATGAAACATTGCCAAAAACTTATCAATGTAATATTATAATTGCAATGTTCCAAAAATCTTGCAAATTAAATGTTTATATTATTCATCATTCAACTATAATTATAAATGTAATATTATAGTTACAATGTTCCAAAAATCTTGCAAATTAAATGTTTATATTGTTTATATAAAGCAACATTTCAAAAATCATCTTAATGTAATATTTCGGATGAAACATTGCCCAAAACTTATCAATGTAATATTATAATTGCAATGTTTCAAAAATCTTGCAAATTAAATGTTTATATTGTTTATATAAAGTAACATTGCAAAAATCATCTTAATGTAATATTTCGGATGAAACATTGCCCAAAACTTATCAATGTAATATTATAATTGCAATGTTTCAAAAATATTCCCAAACATTCCAAAATAAATGTTTCTATTGTATATTTAAAGTAAAGTTACAAACATTTTTCATTTGAAACTTGTGTTAATATTTCAATTGAAACATTGAAAAAAAGTTATGTCTGCAATATTATAAATGTAATGTTTAAAAACTTTTATGCAACATTTTATATTAAATGTTACAAATATAACATTGTAAAAACTTTCCATGTGAATCTTTAAATAATGATTCAAATTTAAGGTTGTTGGAAATTATTATATGCAACATTTCAAATGTAACATTTCATTTATGTTAATGCAAGTAGCACAGGAAATATTTAATTTGTAAAGTCGGCGAACATTGCAGCAATATTTTGTAAGGTTTCTTTCCCAGTGGGATAAAGGCATTATTTTTCTTATTTGAATAAAAAATTAAAAAGTTGATAATAATAACAATAAGTTACGACGATTAAAAGTTAAAAGTTTATCAGGCACACAGCATTTTCTTAACTTAAATTAAATGCTTATTTTCTTGAAAGGACTTTTAAAAGTATTTTTTTTGTAACTTACCATTTGTTTCCGAATGTTTTAACCTTCGACAATGTAAAACTATTATCATAATTATTGCTCCTATTAAAGCTGACACTAGAGAAACTATAACTAACGTTAAGACCCATCCTAGTTCTCCTGAGGTTTCTGTAACAAAATTAAATTTTTTTAAACAACATTAACTAAGTATTTTTTTACAATTTATACAGTGTGGTTTTCACTTATGGAATAAAATTTGTTATTTGATAAGAAAAGATTTTTATAAAAACGTTTGGTCAGTTTTTTATTTTAAATCATAATTTTAATTTAAAATATTTTGCCCCCACCATTTTCCCCCACCACATTACGCACCCCACTTTTTTCATCGAAAATTACGACTATGCCCCTGGGGCATTGCCCCATAAGTATATTTAGTTAGGCATAGATTTCAATACAGGGTGATTATTTTCAAATACAAGTATGAATTTGTTACTGTTATCGTCCCGTTTTTATTATTAGTGAAACATTTCACTCTTTACTTGTTGAAGTATTTTTAAGTCTTTTAATAAAATTGCAATAATTTGTTCTTAGTAGGGTTTTAAAATTTCCCGAAAAATTGAACCGACGGAAAAAAAACGGAAAATTTTCAGAAAAATTGACTTTTGCATTTTTTTTATTTTATTCAAAGGGTAATGCCTACGAAAAAATGCAAAAGTAATTTTTTTTAATTTAAAAATTTTTACGGATACTATACGTACAGTGTACGTCGCAGTGGCGGCTGGTGGATTTTGGGTATACCAATATTTCAGTTATTAGACATGGGACCCACATCAAATTTATAATAGTTTATAATGACATTAAATAGACAAGTTCGGCGTAAACAGAATTTAAATTGAAGTTTGCGAAAAAAAGTTAGTTTTTCCTGTCGCCTCACCCCCCTCCAGGCCCCACTATTTGAGATAATTCAAATTAAAGTGGTGCAATTTATTATCTACTATAATTTATCGACAAATTTAAAATTTTATTTAAAAAATCCAAATATTACAGATTTTATTCGATTTTAAATTTTTATTATTTATTTTATTAAAATAAAAAAATATTTAAAACGGAGATATTGGTGTACATAAAATCCACTAGCCGCCACGTGTACGTCGTACACTGATATCCAGAAAAAAGTGAATTTTCGACGCTGAATATAACCAGTGGCGTATTTAGGATTTAGCTCCGGGGGGGGTCCAAAAAAACTAACTAACTAAATATGTACTATGCTATGCATTAATACGTAAGTAGTTGATTTTTGATTTTAATGATTTTATATTTAAATATAATTAATAAATAATAAAGTACGTTGACAGTCTTGAGATTTTTATTTTTTTTTAAACTTTTTTTTGTAATAAAAATAATAAAATATGTGCGCCCGGGGGGGGGGTCCGGACCCGGCGGACCCCCCCCTAAATACGCCACTGAATATAACCATAATATTAAGATTATAATAATTTAGTAAGAATATTCTACCGGGTCGAAAAAAAAACAAATTCGGTGCTGTTAACCTAATTTTTTTTTTATTTGACGCTTCGATTTATTAAATTATAGTTTTGTAATTTAACTTTAAAAATCATTCATTATTTTGTAATTGGATATTTTTAAAGGACTCCTTTTTGGAAAAAAAGACTCAACCGACAGTATATTTAACGTTTACGTTTATTTTCTTAAATCAATTTAATTTATTTCAATGTTTTGTTTTATTTTTTTTCTTTAAGGATATTTTTTTTAATTAAAATAATGTTAAGTTGTTAATTGCCACTTTTTTAAATGTTTATATTAAAAAAAAACAGGTTTTTTCCCAATTTTTTTCGACACTTTAAAACCCTAGTTCTTAGTGCTGTAACACTTGAATACTATGAAGAGTTGACATATACAGGGTGAGTCATTTAACTTGAAACTTTGAAATATCTCAGTTAGTATGCATTTTACGAAAAAATGTTTAAAATAAAAATTAAATGATTCGAGGGGGTAACTTTAAAATTTCCAATGGAACACCCTATTTTTTATTGCAGATTCGGATCATTCGACTAAAAATATGTAGATTTTGTCTAAAACATTTTTTCACATTTGTAGATAGCGCTGTAATGAAAAAAAATCAATTTTGTTCGATTTTTCTTCTTATACGATTCTCACCACCCCACTATGCTCTTCCTGTACGAAATTATTTAAATGACACCTTTCCACACAGGTGGATCGGAAGAAGAGGTTTAAACCTGAATTCATTGAATGACCAGAAAGATCACCAGATCTAACACCTCTAGACTTTTTTCTATGGGGACATCTAAAAACAGGGTATTTAAAATACAACCTGCTAATTTAGATTAATTAAAAAACAGGATAACTGCCCCGGCAAACAATGTTTGGGTTAGAATTGGCCAAAGATTTACTAAACAGATTGAATTTGATTGGCCAAATATTGCAAGTACGTGCGTCCGCAACTACCATCAAACTTTGCCCAATTTCGTTGAGCAACAGTGTTGCCAGATGAGAAAAGTTACAAAATTATTGGATTTTTCAGAAAATTATTACAACTGTACCGTAATACCTACGTTATTCTGGGAGAATAAATTATGTTACTATATGTGATCGATTATGGTACAGATAACTATTTTATTTTTCCTTTTAAGAAAAAAAATATTACAATTTGATAATCATGTTATATCTGGCAACACTGTTGAGCAACCAAAACCACCAATAAATGTGCAATTTTAAGGCAATTAGATATTTAATTTTTAAATATTCGAATGTGGAACATTTAGCTAATTATTTGACAATTCATTTACCTAAATGACTCAATTTAAAAAAAAAATCAAAATTGTGTAAAACGAGGGAATTAATTTTTTTATGGTTTAAGGAATTTTAAGAACAATGATTGGTTGAGTATTTGAAATAATAACACTATTGTAATAACATTATTTATTAAACATAATTAAAAACACTTAAAAAACTGAATTAGGTACTTACTTACCGTACTTACTTGATGCACTTCTCTTGTCCAGCTTTAAAGTTTAAACACAACCCATATAACCAAATCGAAGAATATGGAGGCTTTGCCCGGAAGCCCGCGAATGGCGACAGACGCGCGAAATTTGAATTCTATACAATTTATAATCTTTATAAAGTGTTTCTGTTGTTTCATTATACCTACCAAGTATGTAATTGAATTAATTAAACAACTTTTTTTAAAAGAATATACATAAATAAAGTATAAATAAAACACGTAAATAACATCCTAACCAAACTTAAGTTTGAAACAAACTGTTTGGTCTATTATTGAGTGGTATTGGCTCATTCGCATCGTCAATTATATTATGCAATAAACAGCCGTACGTGCGTCCGCAACAATCGCCAATGTTTGAGCAACTCAAATTGGACAAAGTTTGGCCAAATATAACGCAATCAAATAATTCATTCGCAATGATTGTGCAAAAATGACTCAATCTTTTTTGAATTAAATTGACCCAATAAAATTGACCTAGGATTGAGCCCAATCAAATGTGTTCATGAAGCAATTAGGAAAATAACACCGGAGGTTTTACTAAGTTTCAGAAAGTGAACATTTTGAAATTAAATTTTATAAGATTGGAGAACAGTCTTTTTGAACTTCTGTACTCACAAATATGTACACTATCAATTTTCAATAAAAAAGTGGGGTTGTTTTTAAGATAAATTTGCATAATGTAGTGGGAAAAATGGTAGGGGAATTTTTTTTTAAATTATAATTATAATTAGCTTTAAAATAAAAAACTAAAGTTTACGTTTACAACCACAACAAGGTATTTTCCGGAGGTTAAAGAAAAATGTTTAGCTGTTAGATAAATCAAGAAATTTAAAGAATGTATACTGCGAACAATATCTAGTTACTTTGGCAATTTACTGAACCCGACACTTCCATATATCGACACTAGAAATAGTTCCGTTTCATTCAGCATGTCTTTGTTGAATTTCCAGCTAGACCATTAATTTAAAAGGCTTAACGACGATATTTATATGCAGTACAAATTATGGCAGCAATTAAAAGTATTAAGTGTCTCGACAATAATAAAAACTCAGTGCTTTTGTATGGCAATTTAGCGGAATTATGCCAATCAGTTACTAGCGCTTATAAGGTAGGTTCGGTAATAGAAGAATATCACGGAACTTAATACTTGTACGTAAGATATTAGTGATTAAATTTAAAATATCTTTATAATGCGAACAGATTCTATCGAGGTGATAACGATTGGGTTACAGGTACTACCTTTAACAAGATAGATACTTAGATAAAATAGTTTGTTAGATTTGTTAATCATGTTTTAGTCAACGGGTGTTTTGATTTAATATTTAGGAAAATGTTTTTTTCGTATACAGGGTGCATCAAGTATCCTTCTATGGGTATTTGAAGAGCTACAAGGTTGGTTAAATTAGAAAAAAGTTGCGTAATTACAAGCCTATTAACATGAAAAAGCTAGCGGGTCTTAAAATATTTGAAAAAAACTAAAAAGTAAGTTTTAGTAAATTTTACTAAAACTTTTTACATGTAAACATTCACATTAATCTACATTTCCATCCAATTTCTTCGCTACTATATTTTTTAGTTAATTTGGCTTATCACAAAATGTAGCAGGCGAAAATCACAAATTGGATGAAAATGTTAATAAATGTGTACAGTTCATTTTTTTTATCTGGACTCGTGTTTTTTTGTTAGGTTGGTGGCTCATGCCAGTTTGACTTAGTATTTTTAGTATTTACAAATGGTACTTTGACACTGTCAAATTGACAATAATATTTATTATTGATAATTTACTTGTCAATTATAAATAAAAAGATAATTATGCCAAAAATAATAGCAACGAATTCGAATGTAAAAGCCCTTTTGAGGGCAAAACTTCATTTTGATGAAATTATGCCAAATGCCACAATGGAAGAAAAAGTACATCGCCTTATGGACATTTTTGGAGTAAAAAAGTAACGAATTTGGTTTTATAAATATTACATCACACATTATTTTTACATTATTCACCATTGGTCAACATTTACGTTCACAAAAAATTTTAATTTCTTTTATATAAATTCTTTTCAAAGCGAAGATTATTATCCGCTAGGAATACTTTCTCTTCTGGGCCGTAAAGCAACCTATATTT